TCGCATGTTGATTGGGACCTGCAGGTCCCTGGGGTCCTTGCCGCGTATAGAATGGCCCCCCATGCAGCTACGGGGTTTTCCCCGTTTTTTCTAATGTACGGTCGGGAAGCCGACCCGCCCATGGAAACGCAGCTGGGTCTGCCCGCACCACGAACTAATTCTAAATTGGCAGAGCATATTAAATTTAATATTCATAAACTGACAGAGGCAAGGGAGGCCGCACGGCTTAATTCGCGGGCTCGCCAAATTGCGAACGAGCGGTTGCGGGCACGGAAGGTGTCCGTGCACAATTGGGAACCAGGTGACAAGGCCTGGCTGCATTGCCCTCAGGCACCTTTGGCCACGTCGCCTAAATTGTTGAAGCCGTGGCGGGGACCCGTGGAGGTCGTGCGGGTGGCACGCCCCCAGTGCGTTCAGATAAAATGGGGGAAACGCCGTTGGTACGTCCACCCCTCCCGACTGAAACCGTTCTCGCCTCCGTATGGCCTCCCCTTGTGTCGTGAGGGCCGAGCATGTGACGTGACCGACGACCCTGAGGGGGAATTGTCCTTGCCTGCTCCTCACATGTCTCCGCCTGATCCGCTCCCAGGTGTCTCGGAACTGACTGCTGCCGACCACCGGCGGCCGGATCTTCACGGCGGGGCCGGTCCTTCCAGGCCCGACCCGTGCCGTCTAGAGCTGCCGGAGACACCGGACGGTCGCCAACGTCCCGTTCCATACGACGGACCGGCCAGACGGACTCGCGCTAGGTCGCGCTACTTTGTGTAACCTACCACGTGCGGAGTCGAGGCAGCCGGAGCGCCTCGGCACTGCGTGGGTCACAGTGACACTTGGCGCGTTCGTTTTACGGTGTTCGCTTTTATTGTGTTGTTCGTCGGGCTGTATATTGCTTCATATTTAAGGTTGTGTTATGTTGTTGTTGTTGTGTTACGGGGCACACTGGGATGTGGAGTTCTTTATTACTGCGTTGCGTTATGTTGTGTTGTAGGTTAACAGCCGGGCCGGCTGCAAGCTATGTGGGAGGGGGTGATGTAGAGGTGATACGCGCTGGGATTAAGGATCGTATGCACAGTGCGTGATGATTGGCTGTGTAGGTGGTGACGCGCGCTGACGGTGGAGGATCAGGGGTCAGCGCGGGGTCGTGGGTTACGGGGTACCGATTGGCTGTGGGCGGTGACGCGCTGAGAGAGAGTGCGTCGTGATTGGGTCATTAAGGAACGACGCTCACGTCGACGCCGCATCAGCTCCGTCCCTCGTGAGCAGGGGCTATAAAAGGGGATGCACACAGGCGTAAGGGCAGTGTGTAACCAGCGAAGAAGGAAGACGGGGATGAAGACCTAGAGCCCTGCGGTACCTAGCCCCGCTGTCCTAAGGGGACCGGGACTCTGTGTAACCCAGAGGCGAGTGTAGTGGGTGTAGCCATAGGTCTACACGAGCCGAATGTACTATGTGTAGCCAGGGCATAGGGCTTACACGAGTCGAGTGTATTGTGTAGCCAGAGGCATAGGGCTTACACGAGTCGAGTGTATTGTGTAGCCAGAGGCATAGGGCTTACACGAGTCGAGTGTATTGTGTAGCCAGAGGCATAGGGCTTACACGAGTCGAGTATATTGTGTGTAGCCAGAGGCATAGGGTCTACACGAGTCCAGTGTATCGGGTGTAGCCAGAGGCCTAGAGCTTACACGAGATTAGTGGAGTGTGTCGGAGGAAGAAGAGAGACCACACGTTGTATTGTGATACCTAAAGGATTTAATATATTAAATCTCAAGTGCAAGAAACAATGTTTTTCACTTCGTATATGTTGTTGGTAATGGTTTCACATTACTATTGCAGCACAACAATTCCCCACAATATAAAAAGATAACTGACTGAATCACAACAATGAATCATATTCCAACAGATGGCCTCACAATAATCTTAAGAATTCACTTTTTTATCCATCGTAATTGAATCCATGGTAATGGAATTCATGGAATTACACCATAGAACACGGAACCTAACAATCACAAAGTTTTAATATCGTTTTAGCTCATATATGGATTATAAATGCTGTCACACACCAAGTTAATGTCGTACATAACAGCCCATTGCATTGCTGCATCTAATTTGCCTGCATTATTCTTTTAACTACATTGACAAGGAACTGCCTGTATGCAAAACTGTACCATATACTCGACTGAAATTAACATGGAGAGACAGAAAAAAATAACACGTAGCTTCAAGGAAATAACGTGGGTTAATAACGTCATTGAAACTGGGATGACAGTGAATGGTGAAGAATATTTATGGAGTTGCAGGCAAGGTATGGAGCTCATCCGAGAGTACTGAACCGACTCGCGTGCTGGTGCTATGTGGATTATCACACCGTGAGAGGTGGGGGCGGGGCTTGGCGAGGCCTTCATTGAGCAGTGGATTGACCATGGCCATATGCTGAGTGAACCATGCATGCGCCTGAAGTCACATCAAGACAAATAAAGAACCTGTATGGCCAAAGTCAAGTGAGAGTGTTTCCCTGCTCACAATAGGCTTGATTCAATCGTGGAAATTCCACATTCCCATGATGGGAGCCATGCAGTAAATAGGATGATCACCCGTTGACTTCTCACAAAGTGGCACTCCTTTTAAAGGAAGAGTAGATGGAGTTTACGCTCACCGGAATTTGAACTGGAAATCTCCCGATTGCGGTTGGAGCGCTGTAACCGCAGTGCTCAAACTACAGTATACCATTAGTGGGGCATGCCACCGCATTATGATTGTTGCCAAAGCGACATTCAGAGACAGATTTAATTTCGTATTAAATCGCTTTGCATTGTAATGCAATATGCACCATTATTAATGTGCGACAGCTAGGCCATAGTTATAGCCAACTTAAATCCAACAAATCCTTTAATTTAAAAGCCACTTTTTGATTGGTGTCCTGCAAGAAACAGCTGAAACGTATGCTTATCATAGCTTCTGGGTATTTCACAAAGCAACTCATCAACATCAGCTATGGTCGATCTACTGCTGGATTAAAGGCCTTCCCAAGTTGCCGCCATCCCTCCAAAACCTGCGCTGTAGTAATCCAGCTAGCACCTGCACACATGCCGATTCCATCATTCCATCTCCTTGATTATCATCCTCTTGCATGCATTCCATTCCTTGGCTGCCACTCCAATATTATTATAATTGATCACCGGTCATCATTTCACCTAGTAACGTGATGGGTCCTAAGCCAAAGTTTTTTCTCAAGAGTTTTAATGATGTCACTCACCTGCATAGTTTCTCTAATCCATGTGTTCCTGTTTCCTTCTTGCAGTATAATTGCAAGCAGGCATCTCTCTGCATGCTTCTTTGTGTACTTGTCAGTTTTTGTTCACTTTTGTTATTGTTAATGGTCATGTCATAGTGAGCGGTACTCCCTGAGTTTAGTAGTTCTTTTTGTTGCACATTGATATATCATTTGTCATTTTAAAGTTCAACTCCAAAGGCATGCACCCCAATATGTGCTGTTACATTCACTAACTGATATATCAATTATATATCAGATGCAAATACCACATTAGCATGGGAAGTACATCACACTGATACAGCTGTGAAATACCCACCCACAGCCATATACCCATTGACTATTGGAAACAAACCCGACCTGGTTCAACCTAATCACATTCCGTGAATCTCCCTGTCCATAACTCCCTACAACTGCAAGTGCAGGCAGCTAATAGCAAGGTGTCAAGTTCAGCAGGTCAGGCAACGACTGTGAGCTTTGCTCTCATGCCCATGGTTTACATTGGTTGTTTTCAAGCAGTGGAATCCGCTTCTGTTGCAACACACCCTGTTATTGCTCACACACTATTTTCATTGTCAAAGCCACCCCAATCCCCCATCCCGCCCCCACCGATCTCACCCATTGAAGCTGTAAGTAAACAACTTGAGCACTTCACCTCTGATTATTGGAACGCTGTTTGTGTTCCAGTGCATGATAATTATGTTCAGGCACGCACAGAATTCATAAACAACAACTGAAGTGCTGAGTAGGTTTGACCAGTGGTATGGAGCCCAGAGATGTAGCTTGTACCCTTGATCTACTTTTATGCAGCACGGATGTTTACAGAGCCTGATGCAAATAGCTGACAAGGACTTCACCCTAGATGAACTCAAGTTAGAATGGGCACCCTCACCATACTTCAACTGGGCCCCGGGAGCAGAGATTGTCGTATTTTGTTGTTGTTGCTGTTGCGATGTAGCCCTGGCCACGTGTGAAAAAATTGTGCACGGAAGCATTTTTTGTCGCTGCACGTTATAGAGTTTCAAAAGTGGGTTATATCATGATTGTTATTTATTTCAGAGCCAAACTTTGCCAGTTGATTTGCAGGATCTTTACACAGGCGATGCTTGTCAAATGCATATTGGCATCTTTCAGTGGCCGCTATATTTTCAGATGCAGCAGGGTGGTACAGCAGTATCGTTTGTGTTTCAGAGCAAGAAGCGCCTGGGTTTGATTCCTGACACGGTTACCTTTCCGTGTGCAGTTTATACGTTCTCCCCCTGTTATGCATGAGTGTCCTGCAGGTTCTTGGGTTTTCTCTAATACATGAAACAACAAATAAAATATAACCAGCATTGGCAAAACCTTCCAATACTGAAAATATACCCGCGAATGAATTTTGGATTATACGTAATAACATGGCCCCCTACTGAAAAAAACATGGCGGGACCCACCTAAAAATAGTTGAGTCTCAGTGAGGCTTTCCTGCGTAAACAAGTGTAAGAACAATAAAAACGTGTTGACATGAATAAGCAATGAAGTCAATGATTTTAAACTCCACTGCGGTGCTCTTTTTTGAAAGCAGTCATTGTTCTCGTGCAAGATAGCCTATCGCTTAGGCAGTGGCTTGCTTCAACGTCAAAGCACGCTGATTGTGTGTTACTGATTGCCATCGTTGTGTTGTCAGTTGTGCCCAGGTTATGAGTGCTCATGGTTGTGTGTGTGCGTGCGCCTGTGCTGGTTGCTATTGCAGCTGTTGGACTGGTGGGTTAACACGGCGTATCTGGAGTGCCGCACGCCTCTCGCCGTTTACTCCAGCCCTGGGGTTGTCATGCCCCGGCAGAATTTCCGCGACACCCAAGGACAGCTCAAGTGAGTCCTCACTGATGATTTTGTATGGCCGATGTATGGTAATTCTAGATTTTAAGCTTTCGTGACTGCAAGGATTCATATTCTTAGGTTTTTTCGGTAAATTCACGTAGTTAAAAAATTTAAATTAATTAAAGTAAAATAAAATAAAAATTACGACGTTTTGGAGGCAACACAAGCTTTCGTCTTCAGGTGGAACCGTCACACCACGATAGCTGTATCACTTGATATCACTTGATACAGCTATCGTGCTTTATTAATTTAAATTTTTTACCTACGTGACTTTACCAATGTACGGTAAGCATTGGAGATCCCGTTCCAATTTCTTCATTGGAAGTTTGTGAATTGCAGATAGACCACCCTGAAATGTATATTTAGGGCATCTCCAGGTTCAATGGTCCATTGTTTGGTGTTGGTAGCTGCAGATACACACAGGAGAGTTTTTTTTTTTAAGTTCTACTTGTACACAATCGCCTCATAAACATCTTCCGTTGTTTGTGCAGATTCGGTTAAGCGGTGCCCATTGTTTAAGTTAAAGATGGAAGCTGGGCAGTATGGTGGTGGTGCGGTTGCTGAGCAGGTGTTCTTTGGCACGTTGCTAAAAACCCTTCAAGCAACATAGGACACCAGTGACAAGCCGGTGGTGGAGTTGAAGGCAGGCAGGTGAAGGCATGGCCACATTAACTTTAATGTGGGCCCTGAGTTGTTAACTTTTGAGGGTGTTTGGTTATTTCAGTTCTAGTTTTTTAAGTGATATACGAATCGTATTTTTTTCTGTAATTAAAAATTAACTAAATTATTTTAATTTTGGCACGTAACTGGTAAATAACAATGAGCGACGCTGTGGCTTAAATTACCAGGTGACCTATGGGATTTATCTTTGTGCAACAGTACTGTGATTCATCCATTAGAAAAGTCGAATGCTCCCACATTAAGCCGGCCCTGGCTGCAGGTCACTATTAACAACAAATGCATTCATCAGTCGACTGCTGGATGAAGCCTTCCCCACATAATACAACAGAGAAGGTCGAATTGGTGTACAATTTTGATACCGACTAAATACATAAAGCCAATGTGTGAGCCTAATTGTGCATAATTACATAAATAATAATGTCCTGCCTCTTTGTGAATCTACTGCTGGATGAAGGTCTGGCTACCCCGTGTCGATCATGGGAGTTGTTTGACCATACTTCTCCAAGCTGGTCAGTGCATGTTGGTTAAGGGGGCACCCAGGTCTGGTTTAGATATCACTCACCACTCATTTCGGCCATGGCTGGGAATTGAAATCAGGTCACCGGCTGCGCTATGAACCACTGCACCACCGCTCCTCAATGAAATTGTATGCAGAGGAATACTTTTAATTGGAAACATGGGCAGGAGGCATGTTTGCTTGAAGATGGGAAATGGAATCTAAATATACATTGCGATAACTGAGGTCCAATGGATAGGGTTCTTGGCTGCCAATGTAGGAGACCTCATTAACAGCACATGCCAGTGGGGAAATTTTACTCCCTGTATATACTTAAATTTCAACAAATTGCATTGCAATATAGATAGGATTTTCTTTTAAATGAGTTAACAAAACCAGTATTGTTCTTAATTAGGTGCATGTTACAGCAGACGTATTTTTGTGATCTTTTCAAGAATGTGATTGTGTTACCACCATGGGCAGCCAACCTGATACCCGCTGCTGCGTGGTATCCATGAGATTAAAACAAAGACACAATGGCTCAGAATCTTCACAGTTTGCCAATAAATACACGTACAATCCACTGCTGCATGATGATCCCCCAACGTGTTGTGCAGGTTGTCGTAGGGGGATACTTTACCACATGAATCAGATTTATATTCTTAGGTTTTTTTCGGTAAAGTCACGTAGGTAAAACATTAACATTAATAAAAGTAAAATAAAATAAAAATCACGACGTTTCGGAGGCAACACAAGTCTCCGTCATCAGGTGGGACCGTCACAGGCACAGCCAGATTTGCTGCAAATCTGGCTGTGCCTCCGAAACGTCGTGATTTTTATTTTATTTTACTTTTATTAATTTTAATGTTTTACCTACGTGACTTTACCAAAAAAAACTAAGAATATGAATCCTTGCAGTCACGAAAGCTTCAAATCTAGAACACATGAATCAGTGCAGAATGGTGAAGTTTCAGTTTCATTTATTTGGTAAAGCCCTGTGAGCCATTCGGCTCTTGAATCGGGTGCAACCACAACAAACAAAAAACAAAAACATGAACAAGAAAACATCTTAAAGTGACTATGCGCAAACAGAAAAATCCAGGAAAAAACTGCAAAGTCTTCCAGAAAAAAAAAGCACCGTACACCAACGCTGTGCACAAATCCCAGTGGGATGCAAGTCAAACAACAACAACAACCACAAGACAACTTAGATTAAAGCCATCATTCTAACTCCGTACTACAACAAACAAACATGGCCAAACCAACATTTTTTCGAAATCACCAAAATAAAGCTATAAGCAATGTAACAGTGACCATAGGAACTGTGACCGAAATTTCACAATAAACGACATAAACCACCATAGCTGGCTGCATGAGTCATTCCACAACAGCAGGAGCATCAGTCGGAGTATCAACATTTTTAAATGCACCTTTAAAGATCAGCACACAGGCAGGGAGCATTGATGCAGGAACAAAGTAGAGTGCAACAATCGATTTTGCTGCACTCCTCTCTGCTGTTCACATTGTAATGATACTAATTTTTATCTATAAGGCGAAAAATGCATCCATGGATCTCAGTGCGCCATGTACAAAGTTAGGACATATATATACTACAAAGTCAAGAAGCCACTGGTCATACATGGGAAGTGTAGGCCAGATGAAACAGGTAAGTCTTTAGCCCTGCAAGAGCTGATAACACCATTTGTATGCGTGGTAGTTGCCCATCAAAACACTTAGCTTTCGAGATTGGACGAGATTGCATGCATTCTGGATGATTTTGTCAAAGGGGACATGACCTGAAAGTCGCCAGTTGAATATAACTTTGCAAGCAGCAGGAAAACATCATGAACGCTCCAGTAAAAAACGTGTTAGAAGTAATTTACTATTCAACACTTGCTGCTGACGTTTGAAATGCTGATGTGTGATGATACTCGCAATATATACCGATTCATTTTCACTCCGAAACCTAAGCCCCATGTTGTCAGTTACAAGCAATCACAGGAATCTGTGTGCCCCTCAGGGTGCCATCACGTCGTGTCAAAACGCCTTCTCCGATTATCTTCATGGTGTCCACAATGTGCCGTTACCCCCGTGTTAAGATATACCATCACATGTTGCCCGTCATATAATAAGCGGTGATGAAATATGGAATGACAGGCGACATATTGCGAGTGAATATAATTGGAATATGTAAAAAGGTAAATATAGGTCAAAAGTGCAGCCCTGCAAAAGCTTCGCTCATGCTACTGCTGGCAGAGGGGCCTCTGCTAGAGGGAGCTGTAGAGGGTTATTTGGCCTACTCTTCCACACTGGCTATTCATTTTGGAAGAGGCAGGAGTTTCCACACTTCACCTGACCACAGGCCCACTTGCCGATCGTATCACTGTGGTGTACCTATTTTCACTGCTGGGCGGGCAGAGGTGGGAGGCGTAGACGATTGAATTGGCGACCTCAGATTTTTAAGTCCAGTGTGATGACCATTTATCGGCAGCAGCATCACCATGATAATATTTAAACACAAATCATGACGATGGGTCACTATACATTCACAGCATCAGACCATCGCAGTATTCACTTGAAGCGGCGACTCGTCCAGAACGTTCGTTGATTTATTATTAATCTCATTAGAATTGGAAAATCCTAAATCGCCCTCTGTGTGATTACCATTGTGTTGCCTGTAACATTTACAACAAACACGCTTTAACCAAACAGAGCCTTAGGTAGCCGTCAGGGCAACAGGAGATTGATGGGGCACTACTTACATCGGTGACCTTCAGCGATTTGGTGGGAACTCCACATTTTTTTGCCGGACCAAATTAACATCACGAAAACCACTGCTATTAACCTGAGACAGATGGTGAGCTGTCGTCCCTTGTCCAGGTTTTGAACTCGCAATGTTCAGATTCTGAGTTGAACAGTCGTGCCATGTGGTATTGATGATGATCATCAGCACTGCTAGATGAAGGCCTCCCAACATAATTGCTACTCATCATATTCTCGCGATGCCACAATCCATTCCGCTCCTGCATACAAGCTAAACTCATCGCTCAATCTCTTCGGTGGTCATCTTGGGCAAGCTCCCTCATGCAACTGCCATATCATCACCAATCTCCACTATTAGCCATCCACGCTTAAAACAATGTCTCCTGCCCAATTCACTTATTTTGGACTTGTTCTGTTATCCACGTGTTCCAACCTCTTGTCAGTCCCTTCCCACATTCCGAGCAGATATGACAACAGAGTAACAGCGAACATCTCGGTGAAAACCTAACACTGAAGTCTCTGTTTTCCATTGCAGGTTTGCAGCCAAGCTTATTTCTGGGGTACTGGACTTTAAGCATATGCTGGACACGTAAGTCTCATCCTATTACAAATCTCAGAGAGAGAGAGAGAGGAACTTTCTGCTATGCAGAAGCGCCGTTTCCCCAAAATGTCACCTATTTGATATATTTCTTCCCTTTCAGGGCCACGGTGTTATTGACAAATGTGTGACCTTGTTTTGGTAAATATTAGTGCCTGTGCACCACTGCCAACGCAGCACCAAAAAATATATGTGTATTATGATTACCAATTTGTTTGTGTGAAATGCATATTAAAGACCCGTTCTTGAGCTACAGTCTCTGTAGTCTTCCGATTGCGGCCATGCAAAGCTGTTATTGTAGATTGCCGGATGCTCTTGTGGCTGGGTTTGGATTAATTGAGACATCGCTTCTTTGTCATCACCTTCGGAAATGAAATGGCCAAAACGTTATCCGGTATGCTGTGGCTTTAGAGAGACGGCATTGGTTCTTTTTGGTAATGGAATATGACAGCTTGGTGCCATAAAGCCTGCACTTCTTTATTAGCTTGCAGGACCTGTTCTGCAAATGGTTGCTTTCTAAGTGTTACATTTCTATACAGTATATATCTAGCGTGCCCTTTATTTACCCATACACGACATTGGCTGTGACAGTGTTAGGTGCAAGTGTGATGTGCAAGTCGTGGCACGATTTGCTTATTGTGTAGGTATTGTTTGTAAACAGCGTCAAGAAAACCAGTTTGAAACAAGCTGTCAGGTGCATTACTCTGACAATACGAATGCACAGTATGTGGTGTTCATTTGTGTTTGCTCAATGTATACAGCTGGGATTTCATATTTCAAAGAGACGGATCCATGTACGTAAACAAAGATCCTTTTGATTTATATCCTGCCATATGCATTTAGTGTAATTATTTGCTTTAAGTTTAGATTTTGTCTCTCTACTGTTCTTTTGATTGGCATCCCATGTATTTGCTGTGGTTTACAGTAGCTGTTATTTGTAATTGCAAGCTATAACTATGAAATTTTAATTGTTGTACTGTAACTGAAACTATTAAGCTTATCCTTATTTGACTCATGTCTCCGTTGAAAATGATATTTGAATACTTTGTTGGTTCTTATGTTATTTAAGTTTCTTTTGGTACAGCTAAAATGGTTATAATATTATTGCACATTATTATAATGTTACATGCATTTGCATTGCGGTACATTCTTTGTATAATTTACAACAAATACTTCTGTGTTGGGCTCTCTGTATGCGTTTATTGACTAATGCGTTGACTTTATTGATATTGTATTGAGCTCTTGTCAGTTGAAGCCAATGCCCAGATACAATCCAGAGCGACCCCTGCTGATGTGGGGGGAGTATTTCAGCTGCTCTGCCTGGCCATATATTTGAAACGAACGGGCATCTGCAAACATTTAATCATTTGAGTTATTTTTATTTGTACGCTTTATAACGAAAGATGTTCAAAATGTAATCAAGTTTTAGTGTAAGGTTATCCTACTCTCAGGGATGTTTTATTTTGCAAGCCAACCATATTAATCAAACAACAGAAAAAGGACAGGGTATAAATCTACAAAACACATTTGGTCTTGATAGCTACCCTTTGGCTTCCATATCGGTATTAAATACTTCAAAGGCCAATGACAGGTTGGAAAGTAAGTGTTACAGAATCCATGCAAATGCATGATTTTTCTTGTTCCATATTTATTTTTGGGTAAGGCCACGGAGTGATTTTTCCGGCAATTTTTTTTTCATTTACCCTCCACTCCCCGACAAGATTGCCACGTTAGCAAACACATTGTTCACACGTGCCAGTGTATCGATCAAAGTCTCTGTCCAATAAAGTTTAAGACTTTTCACGACCGAATTCAACGCCTACACATGATGTTTCGCGCAAACTGCTTTGAGCACCACGAGTTGGTTCACCCGGCAATAATTGAACGATTTTTATTCCCTTGTTTTTGTATTCATTTCCCGCCCCCCCCCCCCCACCCCCGACATCTGACGGCAGGAATAGTCTGCCGCACGGCTACTTCCACGGCAAGCCGCTGTGCATGAACCAGTACTACCAGATCTTCTCCTCCTGCCGTATCCCTGGCCCCCGGCGCGACACGATCGTCAACTACTCTCGGCAGAACAATCCGCCTACCCACATCACGGTCGCCCACAACTACACCGTAAGGAATGCCGCGCGACTCCGCGCCTATGATCAGGCTCGACAGCTGCGTTGCACAATCGCTTCAGTCCCCTGAGAACGCCTCTCGCCTGCGGTAACGTGGGTATGCAGGAGGTCGTGAGTTCGATCTCGACCCTGACGCCTGTTGCGTGTGTCGAGTTTGCATTGTCTCTCGCCCTGTGGTCGCGTGGATTTTTCTCCGCGTCCTCCGGTTTTTCCCTCTACATTTAGACTCAACATGCGTTAAGAGTATTTGGCTGCTAGAAATTTCCACATGATCAGCCGCTTCGTTGAGCTATCATTTGTGGCCAGGTCGCTTCTGAAAAAGAGCTATGTAGCTCAGTGGGCCTTACCTGGTAACATAAACAATAGATAGATAGTTAATGTTTAATAATAATAAAAATCCTTGGTCACATCATGACCCTGTGGGATGCACAAAGCAAACAAACAGCTGCGTTGAGTTATCGGAACAGATGTATTTGTTTTAGGACATTGAAATTATTGTGATTAAAAATAAATAAACATCGTGGCTGTGGAGGCCTGATAACTCTATAAATAATCAATTGTGATTATCTGCAGAAGTGTGAACACTACTTCAGGAATGACAGCACAATATAAACAAATCAAAGTCGGGCAGCTAAATCCACAGATACAAATTCACGTTGTATCATCACTGCACTGCGTTTCTGGACATCTGTGAAACTACTGGAAATGTGTTAGAAAGTGCTTGATAGATAGCTCATGGGATTTCTCCAGGATAAATTAGCATAATTTCGGGAAATTATACATTGTTCTATTTTCATTTAATTTTATTATTTTATTAATTTTCCTAAACCAAATATATACAACATTCGATCCTAATATCTACACATTTTCACAAGTTATATACGAATCTGAGCAAAGAATATTTGTTAAGCACTCCTATTTGTGCCTTGTTTTGTGTTTGAGATAGACTTTTTATAATGTAACACAACTTACTCGACTTCCGTGCTTTGTTTTACAAATTTGATAATTCCAAGACATCAATTTTCGGCAACACCTCAGCTGACAAAGTGAGAAATGCACGCTAAATACATCACAGCAAAGTCGACTCTGAAGCATCCGGGGTAATGGGGAGGAAGGGGTGACCAGACAAAAACAAAAACTACTGGTGAAGCAAAACGGACATAAAACTAAGCGAACAAGTACAGGTTTCTCTAGCTTTGTGCGCTAGTTGATGCGTTGCTCAAAGCGAAACAGCACAAGATCGCTGCCTGCTGAGTAGCGCATACACCACAAACAGTACACAATGTTGTCCCACGTCCGACCGCATAGCCGCACGTAAGTGAATTTAAACCACATATATGCTAAATCGCACAAAGTGAATCCGGATAAAGCTAGGGAAGCCTGTAACATGTATTCCTTCCCTGCATGAAATGGCAGTAAAGATGGAGAATGTGTGCCTGCTCCGCTTTTATTGGGGTCCTTTTAAAATAACCACCTTGCTTAACGACGCGGTTGTGATCGTGTGGGCACCGTCATTGACTCTCGCACATTGAAGGTTAGCCCATAACCCGGACAGTCTGCTCACGGATAGTCACGGCTTAACTCTACTCATCTTATATTCTTGGTTCTTTTGGTAAAGTCACGTAGAAGGGAAATAATAAAATAATATAAATATAAAAACAATAAAAAATTCTCACGACGTTTCGACTGCAACACAAGCAATCATCATCAGGTGTGAAATCCACAGAGATAATTTTTTTTCTTGTTTTTATATTTATATTATTTTATTATTTCCCTTCTACGTGACTTTACCGAAAGAACCAAGAATATGAATCCCTGCAGTCACGAAAGCTTTAAATCTAAATCTACTCATCTTATCCCAAAGTTTTTTTATTTTAAGATTCAAGACTGTTCAATAATTATCTTTTGTCCACGTTTTTTTTCTGTTGTTGTTGATGTCATAGTTCTTCAAGCTGGAGGTTTACCACCCGAACGGAGATATTCTCACAACTGGCGAGATCTACCAGCAGCTGGAGAAGATCTGGAACTCCTCCATCAAGACCACCAAGGAGCCGATTGGCATCTTGACAGCCGAACAACGGCACCGCTGGGGACTGGGCCTCAACATCTTGCTCAAGGGTGGGGAACCCACAGGCGGCAGCCTATAAGCACCCGTTTTGTGGAGAGTCGTCGGCGATCCAAGCCGGAGTCAGGCTGAACCCGACCTTAGCATTATGAGATCTGAAGAAACTACATGAGCAGAAAATCACCCCTCCTTGCCATGGCGTATATGTCCATCCACATAAAATATAAATGTATTTTTTTTTATGAATCCCATGAGCCAAATCGACTGTCTTCTGGGACTGTGTTATTTCAGTGTTGTTGATGGGATGTGTAAACATAAAAAAATTGCGCTTAAATTTTTTTTACATCGAGGGACAAATATAGGAAGGGAGGTGTATTGTCTTCTCATTTATCTAGTTACTTGTATTCTCCACAACGATGGCTCATTATTATTTTGTCATGTGAAGAGATCGCCCATGTTCCAGGAGAATTGGTCATGGGCATGTCCACTGTACAAGTAGAGGTGCAGCCCTGCAATTGCTTGTTCATGTCACTGCTGACAGAAGGGGCTTTGGAGAGCCTCCCTAGAGGGTAATTTGGTCTAATCCTTCGCGCTGTCCAGACATCTTGCAAGAGGTGGGAGCACCCACACTTTACCCCACCACCACATGGGACCTACACCGATTAACTATATCTGGTGTGTACCCATTTATGCTGCCGGGTAGACAAAGGTGGTTGTTTCTAATGCCGCACGGGGAAATAGGCATTTAACAGGTGACCAGTGTGCTAACCATTGTTCCACGGCAGCATACATCTCCTATCCGTGTGTCTGTGCAATACGTGAGCGGCCGTGTAACAGCTGTGACGTTTTACCCACAGACAAGCTGAACAAGGAGTCCTCGCGGGTCATCCAGAAGGGCATCTTCGCCGTCTGCCTGGACGGGCCCATGCGGTGCGAGTCCAACGATTTGACCATGAGCCAGATGGCCGCTCAAATCCTGCACGGCGGCGGCAGCAAGGCCAACACGGGCAACCGCTGGTTTGACAAGACACTGCAGGTGAGGCGAGGCGGCCAGGTGGCTTGAAGGTCGCCAGTTAACTGCCTTCGCAAAAACACAAATCCATCACTTTCACTTTGGTTAAAATAATAATCTCATCTTATGTAGATGTATATATCGCTTTATTAAGATGATGACAGTGATCGATATAAAGATCGGGGGTTATTAAAAGTGCGAGTGTATATATCGTTAAAGTTTGGAGCACAGGTGGGAATGGTTAAGGAGGGGTTGGAGGTAGGCATTTTAGGGGTTTGGGTAGTGATAGGGGTAGGGGCAGTGATAGCAGTTGGGGTAGTGATAGGGGTAGGGGCAGTGATAGGGGTAGGGGCAATGATAGGGGTTGGGGTAGTTATAGGGGTTGGGGTAGTGATAGGGGTTGGGGTAGTGATAGTGGTAGAGGTAGTGATAGTGGTAGAGGTTGTGATAGGGGTAGGGGCAGTGATAGCAGTTGGGGTAGTGATAGGGGTAGGGGCAGTGATAGGGGTTGGGGTAGTGATAGTGGTAGAGGTAGTGATAGTGGTAGAGGTTGTGATTGGGTTTGGTGTAGTGACAGGCATAGGCCTGGTTGTAGCGAGGGGACAGGGGCAGGGAGTAGCAGCAGTAGGATGGGCTAGAGGACAAGAGATGTCGGTTTTTAAGGGAGGGACAGAAGCTGGTTCGTGAGGATGATTGTTTTATGTTCAGTGGGAGTTTGTTCCAGTGAACTAACACTAATAATAGGCAGTGTTCCGGGCAATGGGACCCTCTTCATAGCACATAAATTGCATGCTGGGAGCTTATTCAGCCGAGTGAGGGAGTTTTGTTTCTCATGCTTGGGCACCACTGTCAATGCACCGTCAGCAAAATAATGTGTCGACCCCTTGATTGGAAACCTGGTGTTTGATTGTCATTGTTTAACGGCGCACGACAGTTCATCATCGGCGAGGACGGCACGTGTGGCCTGGTGTACGAGAGAGCGCTCGCTGAAGGAGTGCCGATCATGCGGATAGCCGACCACGCGATGGCTTACTGGTAACAGTTCGGTTTTTAACACAACATCTGCAAGCACGGTGAACATTCCTTATCACAGCTGTCATCACTTCGATCGGTTTATATCCCTATAAGATCATCGTCGTCATCATTATCAACGTCGTCGTTTTTTGCGCTTGTCATTAAGATTGAATATTTATCTGCATAGTCATCGCTGTAATCAACCCCTGTCATCAACATCATCATCTTTGTGCTAATCATTGAAATTGTATACTTATTGGCACTGCCATTGCCAAAATCACCGCCTGTCATCGTCATTATCATCCTGGAAATTGAACACTTCACACTGGTGTCACGGCATGGGGGAGGCCTTCATCCTTCGGTAGGTTAACAAAAGGATGAAAATGGTAAAATAGCAAGTAAGCTTTTTTAATATATACATAACACCTTTTCATAAGAATTCGTGATACTAATCTAAATTTTCCTTTGGACTGCCAAAGTTACTGATACATATCAGATGACAGGTCCTGGCTTGAGCTTCATGGCGCACGTGTTTGACTTTCTTCTCGTTCCAGCAACAAGAAGGAGTTTATCAAGTGCATGACTAAAGAGCATCTCCCCATACCCACCAAACTTTACTTCAACATCAACGAAGAGGTGAAGCGCATGATCGAGTCTGCCAAGTTCCACCATGACATGTGAGTGCACAGAGATATTCTTTCTGGCGTGTTATAAGTGCACCGGAGCTCATGGTAGAACACTAGCCAACGTCACTGAAAATCTGCTTCTGATACCGAGGTCTTGAACTGTTACAGCCTCACGTCTGTATACACTACTAGAAACTACACTTTACGCTACTACACACTACTATACACTACACCACCATACACTACACTATACACTACTTGTCTGCAAAATCTGCCGCGTTATAAATGTCATATTGTATTATTTGAGGAGGGGTCGACCATACTTCACCACCTTGGTTCTTTCGGTAAAGTCACGTAGAAGGGAAATAATAAAATAATAAAAATAAACATAATAAAATAATTCTCGGTGAGAATTTTCGGTGAGAATTATTTTATTATGTTTTATTTTTATTATTTTATTATTTCCCTTCTACGTGACTTTACCGAAAGAACCAAGAAGATGAATCCCTGCAGTCACGAAAGCTTTAAATCGAAACATACTTCACCACTCCGGCTTGCGTGGGTTTGGCGAAGGGAAAGCCGAGTGCCTTGCCTGCCTGCTGTTGGGTTCCCCTGTCCCAGTATCCCTACTCAGGTCTACAAGGCCTTTAAAAGTCTCTTAAACCTGGGCAAGAAAGTGAATCTTTGAAGAGGTGGATCATCCTAGGTTCTAAAAATAAGTACTTTAATGATAATTTTGTAGCATTGTGCCTTGCTTTCGTTTTCATGACATTCGTTCGTTTAGGCATCACGATAAAACATTAATTTTTTTACAAAGAGTAAATTTCGATTTAAAGCTTTCGTGACTGCAGGGATTCATATTCTTGGTTCTTTCAGTAAAGTCACGTAGAAGGGAAATAATAAAATAATGAAAATAAAACTATAAAATTCTCACGACATTTTCTTGCTATGGTTTTCACACCTGATGATTGCTTGTGTTGCAATCGAAACGTCGTTATAATTTGATTGTTTTATTTGTATTATTTTATTATTTCGCTTCTACGTGACATTACCGAAAGAACCACTAATAAAGAGTAAATTGTTAAACTACTTTGTATGTATTCACCATTGTGCTGTACAGCTCTCCGATGTGTTTTGTGGGTTGTCCCGTGTGTTGTTTGGCACGATGTCTGACGATTCGCTGCACGTGCTGGGAGCTTCTTAAGGAACTGAAGAAGCCGAAGAAGGTCCAAGCACATGGAGTGAATCGTCAAACATCGTGGCAAATAAAACGCGGTGCATCCCGAGAATACATCGGAAAGTTAAATCTTTAGGCTTGCATGAGATGGTGACACAAAGTCTGAATCTCCAAGACTGCTGTCTAATTTTTTCGATCGCAGCCGTAGTTAATCATCTCACGACCTACAATTATGAAGTTAATTAATAAATTACTACGTTAAGTTTAAATGCTGTTGCTCGGCCTTTTAACCAGAAATGCAATAACTCCTCTCCCTTTCCTTTCCTTCACAGCCAAGTCGGAGACCTCGACATCCAGTGCTTTGTCTACACAAAGTTTGGCAACGCATTTCCCAAGTTCCACCGTCTCAGCCCTGATGGCTATATCCAGATGGCCATACAGCTTGCCTACTTCAGGTGCTGACCTCAAGAGAATACATGTGCGTAGATGCATATAGACTGGCACAAGCGCGGTGGTGACGTCACCGCCACTTAGTGGCTATTGGCGACTGTTGCTATTGTACGTGTGGTTAGTGCACTGTGCTATGAACCTGATGACCTCGGTTATATTTTCAGCGAACTAACACCGTAGAAGCGCAATATCGTAACCAGTGCTGGCTCTCCCCCCGGACGTCTCGGCCTCAAACAAATCCCCCGCTTCATCCACAGGCTGCACAAGGAGCTGAGCGTGGCTACAGAGAGCGCCACCACGCGCATGTTCCACCTGGGGCGCACCGAAGAGATCCGCTGCACCTCCATGGAGTCGCTGCGCTTTGTGGAGACTTTCGATGACGCCAACGTGTCGGTACGGGCACCAGCCGCCAATCTGCCATTCAACCAGTGGCGGCTCCTGCAAAATCTCTCAGGGGGGGCAAATGTCTGGATGATTGATAAGGATAAGGTCCACCTATGCAATGGATAAATTAACAGCTTAAGCATGTAAAGGCAACTTCACTTCTTTAATATTAATGAAAAATAAAGTGACTCTTACAATACATCTTGTTTGTTTCTATACTCACTATTAAAACAAACCACTCAAGTTTATTTTATTAAAGATTCCACTAGATTTTGATGTAAAACTTTCGTGACTGCAGGGATTCATCTTCTTGGTTCTTTCGGTAAAGTCACGTAGAAGGGAAGTAATAAAATAATAAAAATAAAACATAATAAAATTATTCTCACGACGTTTCGGCCACAACGCAAGCAGCCGTCCTCAGGTGAAAACCAGGTCCGTCGAGGCGACAGAGTCTGAATGAAACAGCACACGAGCTTGGAGCATATATAAGCTGGGCGCCTTGACAAAGGAATTTGCATATCAAGAGGAATTTAGCATATTTATGGGAAATGCAGGAATGTGATTAGTACTGCATATGCATGTGCATTATGCAGGATTAACATCATCAAAGGGAGCTGCAGTTGCTGCTGCTGCTGCAGTTGCTGCTGCTGCTGCAGTTGCTGCCTTATCCATTTTAATATAACACTTTGTATTATTCTACCCACCCTAATGTGTTTCACACTGCTATATATTTACTATACAATTACGACATCATACATTACTCTGCACACTGCACCATGCCAGTGAGTGGAACGTTGTGGCCGAAACGTCGTGAGAATAACTTGCGTTGTGGCCGAAACGTCGTTAGAATAATTTTATTATGTTTTATTTTTATTATTTTATTACTTCCCTTCTACGTGACTTTACCGAAAGAACCAAGAAGAAGATTCCACTAGGTGGCGATAAATTATATTGTTGGATGAAACGTGCTTACGTATGATGACGTTAGCACGTATGATGACGTAAGCACGTTAGGGCTTGCCCTCCCGGAAGCCATAGAGAATGCATTGGAGCGCCCCCGTTCGAAAAAAAACATCTTTCAATGTAAGTCTATGGGGCCACTCGGGGCGATTCTCAGCCGGAGTGAAATCGCCCAAAAAGAGGCGGTACTCCACAGAACGTGACATGACGCTGATTGGACTATATCCAGAGGCTGACAGTGACGGCAAGCGTGACTCTGTGGTTCAATGACATTGGTGGTGCGTCGCCCAATCGCCCTAATGAAGAAACCGCCCCTGCATTCAACAGTTGTCTCCGTCTAGCTCGCAACGACATGTAAATAAGCAGACGGCGTGGGGTCTTTCCGTATCTTTCCTCTATGTAGAAATGTCAGTATTTTGTTTTCTTCTTCACAGCCCATCAGAGATACACGGCCTGTTGAGAGAGATTTATTTCTCAGTAGCGTCGGTTTAATGCAAGCAAATTCTGTCCCTGATTCAACATGTAGTGTCTCATCAAGAGTCAGGCTTGCTGAACCCAATGCAAATATGGGTAGTATAGCCCGCTATTTTGTTAGTTATATTCTCCAAAACTGATGCAAATTATTAATTCGTATTCTCTATCTAGTGTCATCCTTCTAACTCAGGGTCAATGTGTGATGTATATACAGTAAAACCTTGGATTGCGAGCACAATTCGTTCCGGAAACGTGTTTGTAATCCAAAGCACTCGTATATCAGTTGTGATCACGTGACGCTCGGCAGACAAAGCGTATACACGTACTACTCGTATTGCAAGACCTCGCTCGTTTATCAAATTAATATTTATTAAAACATTTTGCTCGTCTTGCAAAACACTCGCAGACCAAGTTACTCGCAATCCAAGGTTTTACTGTAGCCTCATTTGTAAGGTGTCTTGGCTCAGTTATTTTTAAGAAAGGCATATTAATGCGATTGCTCATAATTGTTGATATATATTGTTGTTACTCTTGTAAATACGAAGCGAACATTTTCCTTTTCTGCATAGAATGAAGAAAAGATGCAGACGATGAAAGTGGCTGTGGAGGCGCACAAGGAGTACACGCAGTGGGTGAGTGCCGTTAGGTGAGGGTTAAAGGTGAAGCCCTTGCGATTCCTTTGCTCGCGCCACTTGGCGGAAGCGCCTCCACGAGAGGGAGCTCCATTTGTCACACTTTCAATCTGACCAGACTTCATGGAAGAGGTGGAAGTTTCCCGCACGCTTCACCCCACCACATGCGGCCTGCCGATTGACTTAACTGTGGCAGCACACACCCATTCGTGCCGCTGGGTGGACAGAGGCGGCGGTGACGGCGGCGGCGATGATGAGTTAAGAAACCAGCTCCGTCATTTCAACTGCTGCTGCAGCCGCCGGCCAGGAGAACAAACCAGACCGGCGACTTGCGGGTTTCGCAAGTTCCCAGTGCGCTGACCGTTAACACCACGGCGGCATGAAGTGGCTACGGCTGCGGAAAATGTTTAAAAAGATTGGGCTTGGCAGCGTTATAAACGGACTTTTTGATGAGCTATGAGTTTAAACTTGGCCACACTGCCACACAGCAATGATTGTCACACTTGTGCACTTGCCACAGTTGTTTTAGGCACTTTTGAATGCAAAGTATGGGCGTTAAACAAAAAATTGCATGACTAATTATGGTGTGTCATGTTTGGCAAGCATCCCCTGTCGAGAGGCCGAAATACCCTTTAGAGTTCTCCCCCTAGTGGAGGCCCTTCTGTCAGCAGTGGTGTGATTAAACTAAAAACTATAAAAGAAAATTATTTTTCCAGGTAAGGCCCACTGAGCTATATAACTATTTTTTCAGAAGCGACCTGGCCACAAATGATAGCGCAACGAAGTGGCTTATTGCGTGGAAATTTATAGCAGAAAAATAGTCTAAACGCACGATTATCAATGGAGAACATGCAAACTCCAAATATACAGGCATCAGGGTCGGAATCGAATCTACGACCTCCCTAGCAGAGCTGCACCTTTTACATTTTATGCTGCCGTTGTGTCTATGAACAACTCATCTTCAATTTGCCTAATCTCTTGGGTGGGCAATTCCCTTGCATAAACAGGTGTTATAGGCTGCTGCTTCATTGTGGGCAGCAGAGGGAGTTCAGTAAAGTCTGTCGCTATACTGTACCACATCCCTCTCTATGAATATGAAGTGACCAGCGTGAAGTATGGGTAAATAATGGCCACATTCTGCACAGAATGGGAAGGCCCCTTATCCGGCAGTGTATTGACAAAGGGCTGTACATGTGATATTTAAACACAATAGACTATATATATAAAACAAATAATTATGGAACGCACGTAAAAAAAATTCTGTATAATATAAGACACAGATCTAGATTTGAAGTTTTCGTGACTGCAGGGATCCATACTCTTTGGTTCTTTCAGTAAATTCACGTAGGTATAAAATAAATTAAATTAAATCACGACGTTTCGGGCGCAACACAAGCGTCCGTCATCAGGTGGGACAACCACAGCAAGAAACAAATGAGCGGCAAGGGGATTCCAGAAACGGGGTGATGTTGATATGTGGTTTTTACCTAACTAGATATTTTTAAAGTAATTTTCAAACTTTGTTACATTTGACCGTGTTGCCAGCACACATGGATCACTCTTTGTTGAGTAACATCATGGGATCTTCAGCTCACCTGTGAAGTGGAAGGCACATGCTATCCACACCACAGCGAGACTTCTGCAAACAAATTGCGCCATCGATGCTTGTCCATGTCACTGCGAGCAAGTCCGTTGGGCTTTGTGGTTTTCAGAGTGAGAAACGCAGGGATTTGTTTTGTTCTCTACCAGGCCGTCAATGGGCAGGCCATCGACAGGCACTTGCTTGGCCTGAAGTTGCAGGCGATTGAGGATCAGTACAACATCCCGGAGCTGTTTATGGACACGTCCTATGCCATTGCCAGTCACCTCAAGCTATCCACCAGCCAGGCAAGCCACACATCACGATGCGTCAGTGTTCCTGACTTCATAAAAGTGTGTGAGTTGCAATTGATTGAAGGGCATTACTGAACGATGAAGGGTATTGTGTTTTTGTTTTACGAAGGTCATATGGAGGGGTCATGGATTTTGATGTGGGTATTGCACAAGCATCGCACAAAGCAAACAGGTTTTCAACTGGAACAAATTAACATGCATATTTAAACATCATAAGAGAAAACGGGTAAAAAATTATGAAAGAAAAGAAACCGGAGGCATTAATAAAAACCACAGGTTATGAACAACGATTCTAAATACGCCTAAAATGAAATTCGGAATAAAATAAATATATTTTTAAATGTACAGTGGTACCTCGGTATATGTCGTTAATTCGTTCCAGAAGGTAGTACTTATACCGAAAATGACGTGTACCAAACACATTTTTCCCATAAGAAATAAAGGTAAAGGAAATAATCCATTCCAGAGTATAATAAATTATATTTTTATGGCATATTATACATTAATGGGGTTGTATTAAATAATTTAGACACTACTTATTACTAAAATGCATACATAAATTTATATAAATAGAAATAAAAATAAAATTTTACATCACTTTACCTTGCTGAGAGGAGTTGATAGGCTACGAGGATGGTGGTGAGGAAGGGGCGGAGTCGTGAACGGGGTCTACGCGGATACGCGGTGACTCATCCCGACCCATACAAGTTCTAGCAAGCGCGTCGTATCCCAAGCAAGACGTCGTATCCCAAGACATGTTTTTCTCGTCAAACACAACGTATACCAAATTAGACATATTCCAAAGCGGTCGTATACCGAGGTATGACCGTACTGTGCTATGAATCTGGCGAACAGTTTAATTCCTGTCTATGGCGAACGTCAGTGATGAGTGATATCTGAACCTGTCCAAGCCACCCTCACCCCCCCGCCAACTCTTCAACCCACATAGATCGAATTGGAGAAGTATGCTCAAACAACCTCACGCTGTGTGTGCCGAGTTCTACATCCAGGGAGCGGATTGACAAAGGGCAGTCGAGTGGAGTAATTGTCACGCGGCACAACGTAACCTCCCGTTTCTTTACCCGCCCGTGCACCGTTTGCACCGTCGCCACCCGTCGGCTCGGCAGGTCCCTGGCAGCATGGACGCGGTGATGTGCTATGGTCCCGTGGTGCCCGACGGCTACGGCGTGTGCTACAACCCGCAAAACGACCGCCTCAACTTCTCCGTCACGGCGCTCAACAGCTGCTCGCAGACGCACGCCAACCTGATGGCCGCCGAGATCGAGAAGGCTCTCACGGACATGCACGAGCTGCTAAGCTCGCGCTCCGGGGACTCGCCCTGGGAGCAGGCCCAGTGGTGAAGGCACGCGGAGGGCACAGCGGGGCACAGCGGGGCACAGCGGGGCACAGCGGGGCACAGTGGGGCACGGCGGAGCAGCAGGCCTTCGAAAGTAAACTAACTAACTAAACTATTTTTAGTTTAACATGTAGGCTTACTGGGTAAGGCCCACTGAGCTATATAGCTCTTTTTCAGAAGGGGCCTGTGGCCACAGATAATAGCCCAACAAAGTGGCTTATCACGTGGAAATGTATAGCAGCCAAATACCCTTAACGCATGTTGATACTAAACTGGGGAGGGAAAAACCAGAGGGCCCGGAGAAAAATCCACATGACCACGGGGAGAACATGTAAATTCCAAATATACAGGCGTCCAGGTTGGGATAAAACCCACAACTTCCTGTATACCAGGTGAGATAGTTAACATCTCGTCACTGTGACGCCCATAAACCAAAGGTAAAAATGGCACGCGAGGTGGCTGGGTGGCTCAGAGTGGCGACGTGTCAGCGCGCCTAACTGCTGCTGCTGGGAATCCAGTTTCCACTGTGGGTTTCACCCACATGTGATTAAAACGAGTATCTCAAGTAGGGTTGCCACCTGTCCAATCCCAGGATGTAGCCATCCTGGGACATCGGTTAAGTGTCTCTGAGACATTCAACTTTAAAAGTCTCGGTTTTGCCAATTGTGCGATAAAACACCACTCTAACAACGTATTTATACGTGGTTATCCATGTATTCTGGTATCGTGAAATATTATTTTTTTCATGATATCGCCTGGTTTTAAATTTTGTGGCAAACCCTACTTGCAAACCAGGGCTCTCCAATTTTATACAATATCCGTACAATTGAGGCAATTGCATTTAAATCCGATCATGGCATTTGGCAATCCTCACTAATGTATTAAATTATAATATATTATTATTAGAAATGTCAGCCCTACCGGGTAGTTGGTTTTAAAATATCAATCGTAATTAATCTAAGGCAGGATGTCGATGCTACTCAACCCGTGTGCCAACCTTTGTCCTTTAGTGTTATCTTCGCTGGGGAGCAGGAGTGCAGCGGTTAGCGCACTGCGCCACAGACCTGCGAAACCCGGGTTCGACTCCTGCTCACGGCCAACACCAGTGACGTCTATTTGAATCGGTGCTGGGCCTCCCCTAGGTCGACTTAGCCTCAAATAATTACCTGGTGCGATGTGTAAACCTCGCCACTGGGGAGGCAAAAGCAGCCGGGCGTGGTGCTGGCCACCCACCCCCTTGTGTGCTGTGCCGGCCCTCATAGGTGCTCGCTAACAGAACTTGCCCCGACAGTCTGTTAAGGCTACATGGGGGACCTTTGTCTGCGCTGAAACTGTGAGAGTAAAATTAATAAACATAAGGAATCGTTCCCCGAAGACATGGTGCTACAAAGTTTGGGCCTTGCTAAATTTTGAATTGGCAAACCAAACGCCCTGCGGATTGAGTTATAACTAAAAAAGTTTGGAAAACATGACACCCAAGTGCAGTGAATGGTTATGTTTTTATGAATTTAAATTGACAAATTGAGAGAAATGCAGGTGTTTTCAGGGGCCTTAATGTGACATTAAATGCAAATGAGGCTTATTTTGGCTATAAGGTGGACATTTCAAACCATCTCACTGATCCCTCGCACGTAATATTCCCACTGAGGACTGTGACGCATTCTTTGGGAATGAACGTCAGATTAGGCTCCTCTGTGTGCACTGCTGTTTAGTGATCCTTCAGAGCTGAATCGCATAGCACAAGATGTCCACATAGCAGATACTGTGGTATAGCTCGCACCATGAATGGGAATATGCTACCAACGCCCAGGAGATGTCTAGTTCGACTTAAATATCATGTCACGCCAGACCAAGCGCAAGTGACTCCTTGCGTAGATGGTAGCTGGGGTAGCAGAAGTCAGTGGTGGCACGAGGCATTAGCAAACCAAGCAAATGCTTATGAGCCCAAGTAGCTCAGGGGGCCCCAGGTTCTTGAACAGTATAGGGCTGCATCAACTATCAGCTCAAATTCAGATGCGAATTAACAAGCTATTTAACGTACAAAAAGCCAATTCATATTTCATCTTTATCTTGTCCGAATCTTATCACTGCATCTACATTTGTCTACATATCTCTTATCTCACAACATATCCACGAACTCTCTCCCTGAAGCTCTTTCGTGGCGAGAAGATGTTAACCTTGGTATTTAGGTCTTCAACATGTTGCCATATGCAAGAGTAGGATTTATCAAGTATAAATATTTGTTCTGTCATCTCGCTGGGACATGACACGTTGAAACTGAGCCCCCCCCTCCAAAAAGTGTACTTCTATTTAGGCCCCCCAATGGGTTAGCACCACCACCACTGGCATTAGTTGTCCATTGGCAGCACTGAGCGAATAGTTGGAAAGCTATTGAATTCCAACAAAGTGGTACTAATTTTATTGACCTTGTTAGAGATGATGGGTTGAGCCAAACACCCAACCTGGAATTTAACTCGACTACCTTCTGATTGTGAGTCAAGGGCTCTTACAGCAGTGCCACCATCATCGTGAAACAATCAATGTGCACAAACATCCTGTCATCTCTTGCTGTGGTCATTTTATTTTAACTCAGGAATGTTTTGTTGTTAAGTAGATGTTTATTTTAAATAGTTTTAACGCTGCATTAGTGTGTTCACTGCAAAAGTTCCGTTTTAACTTTTCACGTGGCATTTTGTTCAATGTGTATTTCATTTAATATTTGCTCAGTTTGCATCTACCATAATACCTTTATTTAACTTTAAAATGTGTTGTTTGTCGTTATGGAGTATTTAAAAGTTATATTGTACCGCATATATAATGTATTTATGCAAATGCTTGTTTTTGCATTTCCTTCAATCTGTTGGGCATTTTAAAACTTGTAGTTGCACTGTCAGCACCAGACTTGTGTGTGTTTCGCTTCATCTATGACAGCCACTTATTAAGATATATTTTAAGATATATTTTACGACTGCATAGGTTGTGCACTCCGATGTAGGTTCGGGTCGCACCGCATATTGTTCAGGATGATGTCCGACGTTTCACGAGACGTGCTGAGGAGCTTCTTCAGCACATGGAGCAAAATGTCAGACATCATACCGAATAGAACGCAATACAAGCTGAAACACATCGGAGAATCGGACACATTTTACATTGCAATGTGGCATGTCTTTTGTGTGCAAAAAAGGAAAATGTTTAACTTTCAACTAATCCAACAGGGTGCCAGTGTAATTTATGTAAAAGCTTCATTGTCATCACCATCATCTTAATCGCAAAGGTTTATATCCTCGGTTTGGCACGTTTCGCTTGAATGGCTTTGACGTGAATGTGAAGCAATCTGCACCAACAACCTCTGTAATACGTGAAGTGAAGTGTGAGTGATTTGTTCCAAATCTATCTGCTGCTCCTCCACCAGGTAGTGTATTTGCTCCCACGCAAAACCAGCAGCCTCCGTGTACTGTGTGCACCTCTGCATGCTTGTAGTTCTCAACTGCAGCCACATTTAACTAATGAAACGTCAACAACAAAGGGGGCATCAGCGCTCGTAACAACAGCTGGCATATTAGTCCATGAGCCCAGAGCAAATACATTACTCGTTGGTACCCACCGATTATGGGGTGGCTTTCGTGGTTCTAATTTCTTGGTGCGGCCAATAACAGCGAATTGTGATATCCATTTGAAATGAGTGGGTTGCCGGGTAGTTGGCTCGTAATATCCACGTGAATAAATTGGCACGGTAAAATTTTAGTTCCCTTTGTGGCGGTACCAATGTCAGCTCATGCCCATGGACTATATTTCAGAATTGAACTCTAGTGGTAGTGTGTGTGATTAGATTGTGTTCGTGGTAGGTGATATTGTTGAGAGATAAAAACATTTAGACAAGGTGGCACCTAAATGTTGACACTTTAGATTGTCTTGCTTTATGGCAGGAACTAAATATTATATTGACAGTTGAGCACTTATGGATTATGTAAGGCCTTTTGATTAAAATGTGGAGTACTTTTGATGAATGTTCACTTTACATTTAATATAATATATTTAATATAATGCACATGGCCAGAGTGGCATAAATAAGACATTTCAGGGCTGCATCTCCATCTATATACTCACACATATTACATGGATAGTTGACATAGTTTCCATGGATCAGAGAAGTAATATGCAATGGATGTGTACAGGAGTGTGTTTTTGATATGACGAAAGCCATTTGAGTTGGACAAAATTATTGAAGACATCTTAAGAACCCTATTTCATTTCTTGGTATGAAAAAAATATAGATACTTAAATTAAATGAAAAGCTAAAGCATATAAATGTATTTTAAGAGTTAAGTATTAATATGTATGTGTTGCAAACGTAAACCAAATATGTCTAATATATTGTAACATGGCTGAATTATATGTGTACGTGTGTATTTATGGTGTTTGCACTGTTCATGAATGGGGTTTAATCAATGCAGCAGAAATATAGAATGAGGAAAATGGCCCTGCAGTTTGATTTAAAGATTAAATCATCATCCTGAAGCCCGGATGGCATTTCCTGGCAACGTAACAAGGCCTATTCTTTGTTACCCTTTTAAAATGTCCCATTACAAACCTATTATCATCAGTCACTATTGGCCACTGCGAATTACCATTTGCCGATTGCCTCCTTAATTTAACATTGCCGCAAGTGAAGTTTTACTCTTGCCGAGCCATTTCAGAGCTCATTCTGTCAAGAGAAGTGACAGATTTAGTCTGACATGCCTCAGTGTGCACACGCGAGAAGCAAGGCTTCTCAAATTAATTGCCTAAAATTAAAATCATGCCAAAAATGATTTTGTTTGAAGACCGGATAATGTTTAGATTTAACGTTTGCGTGAACAGGTTGATAACTGTGATCCCAATGATTTAATGACGTTATGCTCTTACGGTGAAATAAATGTTTTAATGTGTTTCATCTACATTCTTCTGCAGCGAGACATTCTTTGGAGCTTTTTACATTTGCAATGCTTGAATTTTCTTATATATATGCTGCAATGGGGTCCAAATGACCGCTTGCAGTCACTGGAGGCCGCTGCATTGACCAGTGTTCAGCAAAAAAACTGATTATTTAATTAATTTATGGCCCCCAAATCGTGAAACGTCATCATATTTAGTAGGATAAGGGGGGGGGGGGCAATAACCATTACACCTCTGTACATCAACAATCCTCACCATCACCCCCATGCAGTATAGCCAAGGGGACCCCCCAAACCATTGGCAGCTCTAGCTGTGTAGCAACAAAGATAATGCAGCAATGGCATGAAAACAGGCATGTTTGCCAGTAGGAAGGGGGGGCGATATTGCAATATGGTTCCACAATTAAGTAATTTAAACTAAACTAGATTATTTTTCACCAAGTAAGGCCCATTCAGGTATATAGCTCTTTTTCATAAGTGACTTGCCCACAAATGGTAACTCAGCGAAGCGGCTTATCGTGTGGAAATTTACAGCAGCCAAATACTCTAAATGCACGTTTCTCAATGTGGAGGGAAAAACCAGGGGACACCGAAAAAACATCCATGTCACCACAGAGGAGAACACGCAAACTCCAAATATACAACAGGCATCAAGGGTCGGGATCGAACCCATGACCTGCATACCAGGTGACAAAGTTAATATCAAAATTGGACACGCAATGCGAGCACACGTGGCAAACTCTTTATCGGATGTCACGGGATCTTGAATGACGACCGTGAAAGCAGTTGGTTTGCATTTTATTGTTAATTCAAGCGCAGTATTAACCAGGGAAACCACTGGGCTCAAACCACGTGCCTTTTTGTAACAAGCAATACATGAGCTATCGCTGGGCCATATAGCGATGGCTTTAATAATGAGTTGTAAATTATTGTTGTCCTGTTAATATATCATTTCCATTGAGGTCTCTAAAATATCGCATGTAAAACCATCGAGATTTGTAATGCCAAGGCTGGCATATCCGCTTCTATCTTGGATTCCCAAGTAATGGAATGTAAATAGTCATTTAACAAGTGGAAAATCGTGCTCGAAGCATCTGTAATGCTTTAAGCACGATAAAGTAACGTGTTTACCCGCCCCCACTGGACATCTGTGAAAAATATATTTATAGCTCATCGGATTCCTCCAGTGATTATAATTCTAATGCGCACAGCAGTCTGATCACACTGTGTTCACTGCATTCATGTTGAGGTCTCTGGAAGTGGTTGAACTCAAGGTTTGTTGTTCTTGAGTTCGTCGGGAGAGAGAATTCCACGCGACAGGGCCTTCTGGAAAGCGCGGGTCGCCACGCGTCTCGAGGCGGGGTTCATCTCACGACGACAACGACGACGAGGTTCCACCACGAGCAGCAGCAGCAGCAGTCGACCTAAGGAGTTGTCGATCATTGGTCACATGCGTGTGAATAAAACCCGACGAGCAGTCCTTGTTTGTCCTGAAGCTAGAAATGTAAACACAACAAAAGGAGAATGGCTGCTTAGAATGAAGTGAACTCGTCTATGGCAGAAATTGCCCATTTTCCTAATGGACCTCTGATAAAAATGTACTGGGTTATGCATCACTGTCAATATTTGAAAGCATCGACGGAAATAGAAGCACAGCCAACTGCTTTACTGGCTGGTAGGATGACAGATTGAGGCTTCAGTATTGCTCCCAGCACACATTGTGTGGTCTGCTATTGGTAAGTGCTTCAATTCTTAAATGCCATGGGGTGGCATTTGCACGATGAAATGTAAAAATGACAGGACAAAATATCAACACTATACCGTTTCAACTCCACCATGGACTTTGAAGACCCGAGTCTATATTCAATACAATGAATTATAATTTACAGCCCGCTAATAATCCACTGCTGGATGAAGTCCTCCCTACGCCATGTTCGGCATGGGGTAAGTTTGACCAGACTCGACCATGCTGATCAGTGTTGGCCGGTGAAGGCAGGGAGCATATACGTCAGAGCATAGAAGTACAATACAACAATGGATTTTGCAGCATTGCTGTGTGATGTGCATCGCAGGACTCAATATCAACTGGTTTAGTTCACCGTGGTCACAAATCCAAGCACGATCCACGCTCAGCCCTGCTTTGCTTTTGGGACCTGATGAAAATCGGGCACATTCCGGGTCTTTTTAAAAGTCGACGGCTCGATCATGTAAAGTGTTTGTATGGCATTACAACATCTCAAAACAATGAGCACATGCTAACGAAGTGTCGACAAGTCAAACGGTAAGAGCGTCACACGGGAGTCTGAAAAGTTGCATTCTTTCATTTTTTTTATTTTAAAGGTATATTAAGGACTCTGAATAATACAAAACTGTTTGGATAAGAAACAGCATCAGGCTTTTATATTTTAATTTTTCCGTGTGTGATATTGTGTCTAACAGCTGTGGGCTGGCTTCACAAAGACTGCTCCCGAGGGATGCAGAACTCACTGGGCACGCCCGTGCACTGTGAGCCTTACGCTCCGCCATCTCAAAAGCGGAGAGCTTTTATTAATACCACTCCATATACGTTTGTAAAGTTGTATGTTGTATTATTTATTTAAATTGCAAATAGAAACTTTGACACCCACACACCCCCTCCCCCCCCAAACCCCACACCGCCCCCCTTTTGCTCAATATGAAACCCCCAATAAAATCCACAAAGATGGATGCGAGAAACGAGGTTAACGTAAAATCAAATCTTGAATTTGTTAATTGTTTTCTTCCAAGTTGCCCGCTCTGCCTGTTGCGGGTTATAGCACACCTTTTTATCGCATGCACCACATCACATGCATATATTTGTTGCAGAAAAGCACAGGGTTCAATGAGCGACGCAACAGCAGCGTCGTCGGTCCGGACCGGTAACGAGGAGCGAGGCTTGACGCTGGCCGCACGAATCGAATGAAGGCGCGCTTTGAAAATTAAACTTGACAGCACGCCCAAACCCATCCGCCTCCCCACCCCTCCTCCCCATGAGTTTGGTCGTCAAACCACCGTGCAACCTGCGTGTGAAACACTCATTTTGTTACAAACAAAAAAAACACCGACATCACGTTTGTAAACGCTGGGGTATTCTGTTTTTCAATGTACTGCGTGTACATTGTCATTTCTTTAAAAGCGAATATTTGTGTGCGTGCTGCCGTGCGGGAATTAACGCCGCCTCTGGCTGTTCACTGATTGCATCCAACGTTGATCTTTCAGAATGGGTCACATGACCAAGCTTGGCCGTTTTCTTGGTGGACATTTAAACCATAGTTGAGAAATTTTTTCTTAATTTTTTTTTATATCAACACTGCAATTAATTTATTCAGAACTAATGTTGAATGAAAAACGCCCTCGGCTAAACATCAACTCTACTTTACCACATTACCATCATTCAGTAATTTTTTTACTGAGCCGAGCATATTGCTAAAACACTGAGAAATCTTACAGTATTTTAAAGCTATATAATACTCTTTGCAATTTGCCTCAATTGCAAAAGAACATTATTGATTTGTTGATTGAAACTGAGTGTTTGCTTTGGGGAACTAATTAAGATCAATACAACACCATTACATTCTTTAAAACAATCGTCACTATTAAGTCATTCTGCTTTCCATAGCATACCACTTGTTATGACACTTTTATACAGCGCTGATAAGTATCACAGTATTTGCAGGTTTACCAATACAGTGCTTTAACCTAAACAGACATTTTACTTGAAATTATCCTGTTTTTACACAGACCCTTTCCCAATAATATACCGTGCCAAAAAGAAAATATTAAGTGACAGAAAAAAGCCCTGTATAATATAAAATAGGATCTGTGAGAAAAAATGTATAGAAAACAATATTAATCATCATCATCATCAGCAACCATAGACTACCTACTGCTGGTCGAAGGTCTCCCTCCACACCATTTCCATCCGTCACAGTCCCATCTCACTCCAGCGCATCAACTGATTTCATGGATCCATCTCTGCGGTGGTCGTACTGTGGGGTACGTTCTATGCTTTGGTTGACAATCTGCGGCCAATTTCGTCCATTGGTCTTTTGAGCGATGTGTACCACCGTGGCCCACTTTACCTCCTGTAACAGTCAACGTGATGCGATATCATGATGGGAATTGTTCGAATTTACAGAATGTAAATAAAAATCACGCAAGCTACGTACAATGCGAAAAAAATACAATCGGCATTCGAAAGAACATACTGGACATCATATGCACTAATACATATTGATGGAATAAAATAAATGCAAAAAGAAAAACCCATATTGCAAGCTGTTGACAAACTTCACCTAAATTCAAAAGTAATTACCCCCAATAAACATAGAAAACCATCTGCGCTTTACACGCATACCATGTTCAAGTCAAACCATTTGACCGGCAGCGCCCATTGGTGTGCTCGTTTAATCATCCACATTTAAAGTGTAGCTTTCCTGTCCTTTACACAATGTACAACATTTATCAAATGTATTGCCCGTTGATAAATTATCCTGGCACTGGCAACTCGAGTTGGCAAAGGAAGGGTAAAAAAATTAAATATCCATTAAAAATGTAATAAAGACGACAATCGCCATAACAAAATGAATCAATATGCTCAATATACACGGTCCGACATCCCAGAAAGCCCAGGCTTTCAACCATGTAGCAACGTGAGTTAGGGTTTGGCCAACATCGCAGGATTAGCGCTGCACAAGGTACAAACGTAAACATGCCCACGCAAAACGGTAAGGGCCAACCTCTGACCGTAGCGCGACTGACTCCCGCAAAAACCCGCGGGCGAAAACGCACACCCAATTTTTTGTTGTAAATCCAGCCGAGCGTCACTAAAGTCGCCTTCTCCTCCACGCGTTACTTTTGCGAATACTGCAGTAACAAACGGGGGACGGGGAGGAAACCTGTTTAAAATTTGCGGAGCAGATTTTTTTTCCCGTTATAAAACAACCGTATATATATAAATCAATCGATTAAGAAATACAAATCCTGCGGGTACTCCGCAAAAGGCTGGGTGGCAACACCAATACATACACACGCACACACCCACGCACGCACGCACACGTCTCAAAAGCATGCAAAACGGCGCGCAGTTGCATAGCCTTCGTCAAAGGCCACAAAGCGCCTTGGAGCATTTCTGCAGCATGCGTAGATTTAACGGAGGGGGTCTTGGCACCCACCACAAAACAAGCGGACTCGATCGGCAGAACAAGGCAGTCAGATTCTTGCACAACAGCAATGCAAATAAAGCATGCTTGTCGACGATCGGAGAGGAGCGATGGCACGACTGAATTCGGAACGAGCTGAAAAACCCAAGGCATGACCAACGTTACCGTGAAAATCAAGCTCGAGATCTGGAGGAGGAAGTAGAAGATGAATAATAAAAAACAAAACAAGACTTTGCCGTCCTTCTCAAAGCCGCCATGCAACTGTTTCCACTAAAGTCACTCTATTTTATTACTGTGTCCCTACTGGTTGACGCTTCACTTGGTAGCTCCGGAGGGCTGCTGTGCGCGATTGCGCACGCACCCCCCCCCCCCCCCCCCCCCATTCCTCGCTAGCACCAGTCGTCTTCGTCCGTCTCGCTGAATGTGTTTCGTTTCCTCGCGGAACTGCCCAAAACCGCCCCGGCTCTCACGCAAAATCCATCCCCGCCGCCCTCAGTCCCGTGCCGACCGCCGGCCGCCCCGGCCCCGCTGTCTTCCACCGTCACCGCCACCGTCGTCGCCGCCGCCGTTGCCGCCACCGTCACCGCCGCATCTCCTCCTCCTGCCCCGGCGCCAAAATGGTTCCCGTTGAGAAACCTGCGGCCTCCCGCCACGCCAGGCCCGGCACGGCATGGATGCTGCTGCTGCTGCCCGCCCACTGCCCCTCTGGCCGGTGCCTTGGATGAGGCCGCGCCACCTCCGCCTCCCCCGCCCCTATCTCTGTCTCGATCTCGCTCCCTCCTTCCCACCCTCGTCTGCTCATCCACGCAGAGGTCAAGGTAAGGATCGGAGGCGTGGTGTTGCCACCTGCGGTGCTGCTGCTGCTGCCGCAGTTGCGGTTTACCTTCCAGCAGCCGCTCGGTCGAGCTGGCGTCATCGCCGCACGCCGTCTCGCCCACCGTCGCCCCCGCCGTCGCCGTCGCCCCCGCCGCCCTTCTCAGACGGGGAGACACGTTCCCCGGGGCCTGTTCCCCGCCGCAGATCTCCCCGCGACCGCGCTGGGAGGCATGCGGAGAGGACAGGGGCGAGTAGCCCTCAAGGACGAGCGAGGAGACGCGAGGCGTCGTCGTCGGCGGCGGCGTGCCAGACTTGGCCGCGCGACGGGCCGGGGAGTACATGACGTTGGGCCGCGGCGTCGCCGGGGTCTGCGGCAGCTGGCGGCGGCCCCTGCGGGGAGTCACGGAGCCCCCCGGGGACAGCAGGATGGGGCTGCCGCTCAGTGAGCGACTCGTCTGTGTGTGGGGGGATGGGGGGGGGAGAGGCAACGGTGAGTCAGAATCGGATTTAGACTGGAGGAATCTGAAGAGCTGTGAAGAGATTTTTTTCCCACAGATGTCCAGTAGGGGCCCGTCAAAATAAAAATGTGGGGGCGCATGGAGCACCGGACACACGAGCAGATATTCGCCGTGACACGGAGCTACTGTGCTCACGAAATCGTGCCGATCTGTAATATCTGCCCCTTCCAGTATTGTGAAATATTCACGTTCCCATGATACGGCCCGCTTTTCTTTTTGCACCTCGTGAGGCGGAGCATGCACGTGCACGCGTGCCGAGGAGCATAATAGCGGCACAAAACCGCTTACCTGCCTGCCACGCTCTGGCGAGCGGTGGTCCGGACAGGTGGGAGGGATGCCAGGGCCCAGGGGCTGCTTGGAGGGGTCACAAGGGCCCGGCCGAGGTCTGGGCCTTGCCACTCGCTCCATGTCCATGTCCACCAGGGAGCCGGTGTGCTGCTCTTTGCCTCCTCCTCCTCTCGTCGTCCGCTCTCGGTCACCCCCGACAACGAAGCCACTGCTCCCTACTGCTGAGAATCAGAACCACACAAGGTCCGTGTATGAGTCTTGCGTTTTTTGTTTGTTTGTTTGTGTTTCGTTACAAAGTTGGCGAGCACAAACGTGAAGGCACGAAGCGACCGGTGCTGCCAGAGTTGCTGTACTACAAGAGTGAATGCGTTTCTTAAAAAGCTATGCGTGCTTGACAAAATAGACGTTGAGAGGAAAATCCAACATGCGCAGTCTAAGAGAAGAAGCATAAAGAGAAGTGTGTGATGACCTGCAGTGTGGTGAGCGAGTGGTTGAGTGAGTAAGCGAGTGGTTGAGTGAGTGAGCTGGTGAGCGAGTGAGTTGTTGTGACCTGCGGTTGAACAAAGTAGGGATGAGACAAAACGGCCGATCTGCTAGACTCGAACACTTAACATGGGTGGAGGAATGACCGGGTAAAGTTTATGGGAACAGTGACCAAGGCAGTAGCAATAGCAGAGTGACAAGGTGGTTAACTCCGCACCCGACTCCCCGCTGTAGCGGTGTCGCACGCTGCGTCTCTGGGCCCTCGGGGCCCCGACCGGGCTGACCCTCTCCAGCGAGTAGTCATCCAGCTGCGGCCCAGGGGACTGCGCCTGCCCCAGCAGCGACACGGACCGCTTCATGGGACTTGTGTCTCTGATCGGCTAACGGGGACACAGAGAGGGGCCCACACGCGCATGTGCACGCACAGGCACGCACACGCACGCACACGCGCGCATGTGCACGCGCACGCACACGCGCGCATGTGCACGCACACGCACGCACACGCGTGCATGTGCACGCACACGCGCGCACGAGCCAACGCGACAAACGTGGGCGCGGCGAGCAGCGCGGCCAACGACACAGAGGACAGAGGATGGGGAGGGGGGGGAGGAAATTGTTAAAACGATTGCTTCTCCCTGAAAATTGAACAAGCAAAGAAAATCATGCATATGCATAGATACGGTTATGCTTTCTAGCATGCGTTTGTCCTCGAAATGATTTATTTTGATGTTTTTAATGAATGCCGCTGAGCTTTGGGCTACTTCTTTGATGAATTTGGCCGGTTTCCAATGGAGTAAGTCCTCAATAGCAACACAACTTTACACCACAAACAAAATAATTCACTTTATTAATCCAGCAAAGCCTCACCGAGCCTTAAATCATCTTTCTCAGCCAGGTGACAGGAACTAGAATACTGTAGAACACCCATGCACATAAGGGGGTGACACTCGCCATTTTGCACAGATAGATTCAAGAATCCACTTTCATGCTGGCATCTCCTGAATACCTCACAGACCAAGCCTATATCACCTGGTATGCTTGGCAGTTTCCCATCCAAGTACTATGGAGGCTCAACCCTGCATAGTTGTTTTATGAACTGACAAGATGTGGCACAATCGGTATCTACAGTTAATATGACTCATGTATACATCTCTGTGAAATGCTTAGAGAATATATCAAATGCGTTCCGAAGTAACGATTTTCCAAACCTGTGCAGGCAAATCCAGAGACCGCAGATGGGATGCATGCCATGCAGTGGTCACATCACGTTCATGGTGAGTGAAATTAAGCGTGTAAATAATGTACAGGTATGTATCGACCATCAGCTGTGTTCGTGTTGATGTTTCTGTGAAAATTGGGGCCCTGAACCGAAGTTTAATTAAAATGTAAAAAAAGTTTTTAAAATAAAACAATTTAAAAACTCATACAAACTTGAAACATGGATGTTACTACGTGCCCAGAAGTCAAACCCAAGCCGTGTCAAATCTTCTAACGAAAAACGTGCAAAGATGTGGAATACAACCTTTGCCCCCATCACTCACAGTTGCTTGGGCACAGCCAATTTAAACTTGCATTCGTAACGGATCAATAAACTGTGGTTTATGCCCCTACGAACGGGGGATCCAAACGACCTTCATTTATTACCCATATTTAGCAAACGTTCGTCATTAAAAATGTGGTCTTAAAATGAAAGATAAAACCAAAATTTATAACAAGCAACGTTGTTGGAAATGGCCCTTATTTAGAGCAAATACACCTTCACACCATTTTTTAGCTATGAAGAAGGACCATGACCGATAATGTTGTCCATTCTATATTTTTCCTTTTAAGGCCAAGGTGTTATTGACAAATGCGTTGAGTTTTGTGTTAATTATGCCTGTGCACCACTGCCAATACAGCAGCAGCATCACCAAATAATCACACTGTACGATCAATCCACAATTAGCCTCTCATCACGTGTCTATAAATGATTCACCAAGATTATTTGTAATGGAATAATAGAATATGTAGAGGCTAACCAACCACGTGAGCGAGCAAGATTTAGGAATGGCTTCTCTACCGCCAACCACGTTCATACTATCATGCAAGTGCCGAAAGACATCAATGGATTTCAAACACCAATGTGGGTAGTTAAGTCTCTGTGCTCTATGAAAAGGCATACAATTCAAAACAACACGGAACAAATTTGCCATGACACCCCATTTGCGAGTACCGACATCTGTCGGTACTCGCAATTGGTCGAAGCAGGGAGGGGGAGGAAGGGCGACGAAGGATGGTATCGTGAAAAGTGTGACGGGCAAGACTTTCTGGCGCACCAGACACAATGCAGGTGAACAGTGGGAAGGGTATGAAAAGCAGGCGTTACATACAGGGAGGCTGGGACGCAGAGGCTGAGAACGTCTCTTCTGCACACGACACAGCACCACGTGACGGACGGACGGGTGGGCGACGGCCAGAGATGGGTTACAAGCCGTGGACAGGAGACGACACACGTGACCAAAGACGACATTTCCAAGGAGTGGACAAGGGGAGGGACAATAGAGAGAAAAAGGCAGGGATTGGGTCTCAGAGTCAGTGAGCAATTAAGGCCTGGCAGAGCACACTGCACAGCTGATGGGAGAGTTAGTCACCAATTAAAGCGTTATTATAATCAAAGGTCAATAGGTTCATGTTTCCTTGATCAAATGAGCAGTGAGGTTAGGGCCACCCGGAGGTGGAAAAAAAAAATTCTGCCATGGACCTCACACAAAGTGCTATTGTCACCAATGCATAAGAGGGCTGGGGCCCACATTGAAATCTTCCCTGGGTATCGATGTCCAGGACTCCAGGAACCCATGGGCAGCCCTGAGCGGAACTCACTTCAAGTGGTGGAAATTCCATGTTCTTGTGGCAGGACCAGTAATATCAGAGGATGGCGACGTTTGACTCTCCACAAGTGGTACTTATTTTTGTCATGAACTTTGGAGGAATTCTAGATCCCTGACTGGAGTATAAACATGCCATCTTCGACTGGTACACCTGTGGCATTGACAACAGCTGCTTTACAAGTATATTAGAACATGATAATTGGTTCTTTACCCTTCTATCTGGCAACAAAACTGACACCTTTTTGCAAGGAGTCATGTTTGCATAGACCGCAATACCTGCAGTCATAATACAAACAAAAGAACATAACTCTGATAATGTGCACTGTCCTTGAAGTTGATTGGTCCACACCCGAGACAGCTTTCCTTCGAGCCTAGTCTCATATGGGTTGGACCAGATGACGCCAAAAGGCGCACAACTCAAGGACAATGCACCATCAGAGTATGAGAGCTCGGGGCAAGACTCCTTGTAAAAAGGTGTCAGTTTTGTTGCCAGATAGAAGGGTAAAGAACCAATTATCATATTTTTACTGGCAAATGAGGTCCCCATAGTATATTAGAACAGTCTTGCATTGTAGAGCAAAACAAATGTCTAGATATTTTGAATGTGATGTTGGTCTGCTGCAATCAAACCTGACACGCAGGGTCAGGTTTTATTGTCTAGAGATATTGTAAAGAAAATACAACCACAGTAAGGTCTTAGAGTACGCGGAATCAGAGTACGCGGGCCCGCTCACACGCGACTGACCCTGACTCACACTAACACTTTGTGACTCGTACTTTCGCTACTCTCACGGGGCGGGAAATGAGTAAAATTAGCCCCCACCATCTTATGAACATGTACTTGCGGGCGTGTAAGAAATGAATCCAAATTAATCTCTAGGGTTGTATCTGACCTGGATGCTCCCAATGATTAATTAGTCATTTACAGCACAGTACTGTACTTTGTTAAAGATGTATGTACATTTATATACATGATATATACACACTCTAACATTTTATATCTACACTCGTATATAGGCAGATGTCAACTTACGCGAATTCGCGCTTACGTACGCGGGGCTACAAGGAACCTAAACCCCGGCCGCGTACTCTGAGACCTTCCTGTAATTCTAAGCCTCTACACATCTCCCGCGAATCTCAATACACTCATTACAGCCTGTGATGTCCTCCTCTGAAAGATAACGTTGAGAGAGAATGAGCCATCGTTTTCACAGTATTCAATCGCGAGTTCGGGGAGAGAATTAAGGGGGTCATTAGAAATCAGTGGGGGAGCTAAAAATGAATCACCCTGTATTAAAATACAGATCTAGTCTCTTCTCAACAGGTGATTGAATAATATAAAGGTGATTATTCCGTATCTCACAGAGGACCAGAGCAAAGATGTAACACGTGTATCGATATCGGTGGGAGAATATGCTGAGCATTAAATGTTGATTTCTTCTTTTTTTTGCCAAAAAAATAACACCTCAGGGAAGTAGTTTATTATTGAACTAAATGTTTTGGTACAAGCCTAAATTAAATAAGTGTGTTTCTTGCCAATGTTATCAGGTGATAGCGGGTAAGTGCGTGTGTGTAAAAATACACACGTGTATAAAAATGTTGATTTATATATAATCCTCTCGATCATTTTGGTGGGGCATCCGTCAATATTTGGCAGCAGTGGTATGTCAAGAAATTGCAGGTCTACGCCTTTAACGTTACCTCGATAAATGGATCACCCTCTATGTTTCTGGATGGATGTGTGGCTGGACCATATCCAATGTGCATGAGTAACAATCAAATGTATACCAATCACTGTCTATCACACGAGGACTAAACTTAAATCAGTTGCTACATGGGCATGTATTCAGAAGTGATGTTATTGGATTTCAACAAGATACTTCGATGCGCATCCACTATGTATATATGTAAATCTACAAATGCCCCATCACTTACAAATGATGAATGTTTTTTTTATAGGAAATTATTATTTTGCATCATCCACTGGATGGCAAAAGAGGGCCTTGGAAGAGGAATTCAAGCTCCACCCCTTCTCTATTTCCCATTCTCTTCCTCTCCTCTTGCCCCTCCACGCCTTCCTGTTCCTCCCCTGCCCTTTCTTGCCCCATGAGTACCCCTCTGTCGTTGTCACTCATTCCTCAACCCTTGCAGCACGCCTCTGCCATCTAAATCATTCTATTTTTCGATTTAAAGCTTTCGTGACTGCAGGGATTCATCTTCTTGGTTCTTTCGGTAAAGTCACGTAGAAGGGAAGTAATAAAATAATAAAAATAAAACATAATAAAATAATTATCACGACGTTTCGGCCACAACGCAAGCAGCCGTCTTCAGGTGAAGAATGAAACACCACCAAGCTTGGAGCGTATATTTAAGCTGGGTTGGAGGTGCTCTTTTTCCCACCTCCCCCCCCTCCAACCCAGCTTAAATATACGCTCCAAGCTTGGTGGTGTTTCATTCTTCACCTGAGGACGGCTGCTTGCGTTGTGGCCGAAACGTCGTGAGAATTATTTCATTATGTTTTATTTTTATTATTTTATTACTTCCCTTCTACGTGACTTTACCGAAAGAACCAAGAAGATCATTATATTTTGTCACCGTTTTAAATATTACTACGTTAAGTGCCTTGAGTGACGGCGTTCTATGAATATAAAATACGATTAAATTAATTGCCATCCCATGTTTGTTTTATCCTCTTTGGTCTAAAGTTAGCAAATGAACGTGGTCCACCTTAACCTGCTCCTGTTGAAGGAGGGAAGCCTACACAGAGGACACCACAACTCCACTGTCATGCTGATACTCGTGTTTATATGTGCCCTCTGCTGTGATCGGTGATGTTGGTTCAATAAAATAATAATAAATGTATTAGTTGCCTCATGACACGCTCGATATGGGATCAAATAGACCCCCAAGAGCCCCATGCTGTGTGACTGGGCTAAGGTCAGCCGCTACTCAGTCATCCAGCTGACTCCCCAAAAAAGCCTTAGCAAACGTCCACGGTTATTTCAATCACATGCATCATTACGAGTCAGATTAACTGAAAATTTGACTGAAATCAAAGAGGAAAAAGGAACTAAACCTACATGAAGGGAGAGGTTGGGGGGGGGGGGAATTACATATTAATTCATTACAAGTGGCCAGCCAGCTGTGATCTGAGCCCTTGTCAAAAAGAGACAATCCAGCTTTTGATAAAGTCCACTCTATAGGCGTACAAGACCTATGGTGCGATAGCAAGCGGTGTGTGTGGGAGGGGTTGTACCTGGATGTCAGGGGTGAGCTTGGGTAATGACGTCGTGCGCCCGTAACTCTCCAATGCCATCTGTGCCTCTGGGTCGTAATACCCAGGGTGCACCATGTCCCGCATTTCCAACTGCTCCCGCATCACAAAAATAATAGCAAAAACAAACTGTGATGGATTTGTTATTATTTGCGATGGATTTGTTGTGAACACTGCTCACAATGTTGTGGATTTACTCTCCAAAACTCCGGTGGGCTGAAGTAGTAATTAACTGGCGCGTTGTTTACGTGACAAACCTTACTGGCTGTGTCGGGTGATTGAGGGTTACGACACATTTATACTTAAGCGATCTAACCCTAAAACCTTTATTATGAATACATTTTCCTTTCTATTCTAAAGGCTTGGTTTTGTTTTTATTTAACGCGCCATGGTGTACCTGTACAGCCCGCTAGTCGACCTACACCCATCCTGACCGATCTATCTGGTCAGCATGTGTGTTTTTGGTATATGCGGGCAGCATCCATGTGGGAGCACAGAAAGTACAGACCGTGAATGAATTTTTCTGCCTCACGTCCCTCTCCTAGCGTCCACCAGAGGTCGCAAACGGGTTTTGGTTCCTTACCCGTACCTGGCCACACCAGGGTCAAAAAAAGGTACCCGTACCCTACCCGATACCCGGCTACCCGTACCCGGCCGGGTATCGGGTAGGGTACGGGTATCGGGTACCCGGTTGCGACCTCTGGGATGAAGCCATGTTGCAGGCGCGGGTGGGTTGATTCTAGGAACTTGAATTTGTGAGAAGAGACAAGACGTTGGGAAATGAGTGACAAACAGTTACTCACCAGTGACTCACGTCTACCCGTACCCGTACCCGGCCGCACCAGGGTCGCAAACGGCTACCCGTACCCGGCCGGGTACGGGTAGCCGGGTATCGAGTAGGGTACGGGTATCAGGTACCCGGTTGCGACCTCTGGCGTCCACGCAGCGCTCTCCTCCCCCTACCCCAAACCCGCCCCTCTCCCCCCCTTGCCCCTCCCCCCTTTCTTACCTATATAACCTCTTGCCACAGCAGCTCTCTCTCCCACTTCAGCAAAAAAAAAAATTGCTGTGGTTTTCCCACCTGATGATGATTGCTTGTGTTGCAATCGAAACGTCGTGATTTATTTTATTTTATACCTACGTGACTTTACCGAAAGAACCAAAGAGTATTGACTACCAGGAGGTAGGCCGGGGCCTCCTATTGGTGCAGAGAGGCCTCCATAGTGATTGGTCGGGAAGGACGGTTTGAAGTGATTGGAGGAGAGGTTCAAGCTGAAAAAGCCAGGAAGCGACGGTTGAGCGTTGAGGCGACGGTGGAGAAGCGTTGAGGGAGAAGGACGGGGATTGGCTGAAAGGAGAGTGGCGAGAGAAGTTTCGAGAGAAGGGGCTCGAAAGGGATACAAGGGGAGAGCACAGGGAGAGTAGGAGTTTCAAGAGTGGAGCCAGAAGTGGGGCCCAGTGTTGGTGCTGTGTCAAATAAGGAAAGGCTCCAAGTACAACGCGTGTCAGCGTCTTTACACATGCACACCGGTAGAATTTTACATCTCAGAACCACAAGCGATTGCAACGGATCTGGGAGATCCTTATCCAGCCGTGGATTGATCATGGCTGATGCTGATGATAAACACACGCCATGCTACGTGCATGATTCCACGTAAACAACAATAGATTGGCCACCTTTGCTCCTCGGATTAATAACACCCACGTGGACGGTTAAGCGAATAAAAAAATAATTACCGCGAATAAAATCTCGTTGCGCCACTGAATATAATTTTTGAGTCAACGTTGCGTCAAATTGTCGACTGAACTGTGGGGCAGAGCCCTGCTGTGGACACGCCAGCCGGGAGGTTTTGTCTCGCTTGGCCATCGTGGTGGGCTGGGGGGCGAGAGCCAACATCAATGTTCACTATCTATGGCACCTTTTTGCCAGTATCAAAATTGCCGTTCTCTGTTCTAAGACCGGTGAGACAAGGCGAAACAAAAAGGCTGTCTCTCTGGTGTAGGTCCCATCAGTTTCAAAGACAATGCATTATTTTATCAGAGCATGTTTTTGTTGGCATGTTTTGTCATGCGTATATGTGGGTTAATGCAGACTTGATGCCTTGCAAAAGGTTTGGACTTCTTAACACCGGTTTTATTGCCAGAAAAAGTCAAACGTATTGTCAATATATATTTCCAAGCCTGCTTATTCCGGGAAGACGTCACATTTATGCTGTTGGATCAATCAGTTTCAAAACAATGAATATATTATCAGAGCATGTTTTGTTTGCATGTTCACTACAAGTACGTGTGGTTAATGCAGACATGATTCCTTGAATAAGGATTCTGTTTGGTGTTTTAACATCTTGACACACCTGTTTTATTGCGAGAAAGGGTAAAACCTATTGTTATATATCTTCTTGGTTCTTTCGGTAAAGTCACGTAAAAGGGAAGTAATAAATATGTTTTATTTTTATTATTTTATTACTTCCCTTCTACGTGACTTTACCGAAAGAACCAAGAAGATGAATCCCTGCAGTCACGAAAGCTTTAAATCGAAATCTATTGTTATATAGTTGTGTAATAAGAGCCTATGTTCGGCTCATGTGGTGATCGGCTCTGCTGGTCCTGCTTTACAGCCAATGGGGGGAGAGCCTGGGAGCATGGCCCTGGCGTGATCGAGGGGTGCCAGCTAGGGTGATTGGTTCTGCTGGTTTTGGCCTCAGCCAATGGGAAGACAAGTCAGGGGCGTGGTCCCGGGAGTTGATGGGGAATCTAGAAGATTCGGCGCAGGCTACCAAGGATTGGCTGGAGCGTACCACGTGACCCAGGCATTAAATAAGGGAAGAGATGAACGACACGTGGTCAGACGAAGAACGAAGGAAGAGAGGGCCCACGCGCGAGCGGGGCTCCGAGTGCCACGTGGCGGTGCGTCTCGTGTGGTCTGTCTGCCTACTTCCCGTTGCCTGCCAGCAGCGGGGAGTACTTGTGAACTGGAATAAATAAAAGGACCGATTCCACAAGCCGTCTCCAAGAGTAGTATTACAGTTGGATGTTCATCGCGTTACACTGCGTAAAACTTCTACAGTGCACGCAGACACACGGGCAACACCGAGCCTCTTAGCTGAATTGGCTGAACACAGCACTAACAATGCGTGCATTTTACATTCTTACAAACGTATCGTACTCCCGTTTCCCCCAATATATATAAGTGGTTTAAAAAAAATCAATACAGATCGACTTGTTCTTGTGAGTTAAAATTGGCAGTGAAAAAGAAACTGTCCCTGTCAAGAACGAACAGCCCACATGGCAGCTGTCGTTTTGTTTTGACGCGTTGACAATCTGTGTGTGTGAGTGAGGGCACCTAGACTAGATCCCGTGGCCTTGCTACAAGGTTTTCCTGACAATGATAAGACTCCAACTACTTGTCAGGTCCTGTCTCATATGCATAAAAGGAGGTTGCCTCTGGTGTAGGCAAATCCGTTTCAAGGACAACGCATATACTATCAAAGCATATTTGTATGCATGTTTTACCACAAAGCATGTGCGGTGAGTGCAGAATTGATGATGAGTTGTGACGATAGGTGCATATTTGGGGTATGAACATCTTAACACCGCCTGTATTGTTGCCGGAAAGGATGAAGCCTATTCGTTTTTCATCATCTGGATACTGGCAAAAAAGGGTCCCACAGATATAAATCTATATTCCCTATGCTTCTTTGGTATACCCCTATGTTTGAAAAACATATTCTATTGTGGCTTTAAATACATGGTTATGAATAGCTATGAATGTTTATGTAAATCCACTTCTGGATGAGAGCCTCACGATGCCTAATTGGCAGTCGGGGTGATTTGACCATACTTCACCACGCCAGTCAGTTGGGGTTGGTGAAGGGGGTGAGACCCAGGACTGGTTCAGATATTACTCGTCGCTGATTGTTGGCCGTGACCCCGAGTCAATATCGGAAAGGAGGGATCGTAGCGCAGTGCGCGAAGCACTGTGCCAACAAGCAACCTCAATATGAGAGCACTGCAACCTTAATACCGTGATACAATTTGAAAATAAAGCTAAGAAATGCTTTCAGACTGCCGTCTTCAATAATTTCAGGTTACCACAAGTTAAGCGAAGCCAATCAAAACTAAAAAAAATATTTTAAAAAACTACAGAAAATTCTGATGATGATTGTAATAATGGTTAGAAAAAAAAATGCTCAAGTCAGTTTCCATGGCTGCCATTTGTCTTCACACAACAAAGCACAAAGCCTGCCTTCCTTTAACATGCAAATTATGAAGCTAATAAAAATGTGTTTACCGGCGCAAGCGCCAAGAGAACGTAACGGTGATAAATATTGTGCGTCCGTTCATTTGATCACGCACTGCCTTTATAAGCCCAAAGTGCCTTTTGGCAGCTGAGCGGAAATAATATATGAGAAATATAATTGCACATAAATCGCAGGAACTGCATGGGCAGTGCTGATAATGCATAAGCCCAGGTTGTCTGTCATCTTTGTGACCAAGGCTCGGCACGAAGGAGAATTAAACACCGCACATACGCAGAACGAACGCTCCGTGCCCTTCATCACAGCTGAATGAATGGAGATGTATTTTATTTGGTCTCGGTAACTCATACAAAGCCAGAGAGATCCTATGACTCACGTGCAGACAGATCTTTCACAGTGAGTGCTTAATAAGAAAAGCACTGTCAAGAGTGACGTACATATGCACTACCCACTACAAGTGTTCTTTCGACTTGATGCGTAAAGCAGGGCATGGCCATATAACACTGGGAAATACATCTAATAGTGGAATCTGAATCAAATTCAGGTCATAGACTGTTAACCATGTGTTAGTGGAACCAAGGGGCATAGTAACAATGCACAGGTTACATAATCGAAATTCATTGTAAAGCTCGCGATACACGCTTCGAATCGTTGTGTTTGAGAATCTATACATATGTAGTGACAGGGTGCCATCTGTTGACCAGGAGGGATAATTACGGGTATGGGTGCGTTATATAATAGCCAACCATGAGAGGGGCGCAACTGGGCTAAAGGTCAGGGGCGGGAATCAGTCGGGAAGCTCCGGGAACCTGCTCGAAGGTTCTAGAAGGGGGCATGGCTGGAGGCGGGGCTTGGCCACGCCGAGGAGTATATAAAGGGGACGTAACCGGGGGTTCGGGGCTGTTGTGGGAGTCCGGGTCCTGGCTGCCGTCGCTGTCTTCGCCATCATCCCTTCTTCATCGTCCGCTGTACAGCTCCCATCGTCGTCGTCGCTGTATTAGTCAGCCAGCTATATAGTTAGATGCCGGCGATGGGGCTGTATGAGTGGATCAGCGATGCGTAGCCCAGTATATATGTGTCGCTCAGTGATTGTGCCTGTAAAGCGTGAGGAATAAACAAGGAGCCCTCGACACGTTGTGTCTCGGAAGTCACTCACTACACATATACAGGGACTCCCCTACTTACGGACGAGTTAGGTTCCAGAGGTCTGTTCGTAAGTCGATTTTTCCACTTACAACTTTACTCCTGTCGATTCCAAACATGTACGGCATGTACCCTAAACACGGGGAACAGCTTTAAAAGTTATATAATCTCCTGTAGATGCCACTGGTTCTTAATGTTCTGCAGATGTAAATGCCACTGGTTCTTCATGTTCTGCAGATGTAGATGCCACTGGTTCCTCATGTTCTGCAGATTTAGATGCCACTGGTGCTTCATGTTCTATAGATGTAGATGCCACTGGTTCTTCATGTTCTGCAGATTGTAGATGCCATTGGTTTCTTCATGGGCCGACCATCACACTCACCTTTTTCCGTCGAGGAGCGTAAACCATCATCAAGCGAACTTCAGTCATGCTTGCAGCAGCGGCTCTCAGCTAGCCATCGGACAAAGATGGTCGTCGCCGCATTGCGCGACACTTTCAGATGCGCTTCTGGGGCCGTATGGAATGATCTTCCTTCTGATATTAGGTAGCCACTGGAGCTATGCACGAGATTGAAAACTAATTTCTTTAGAACTGCTTTTTGTGTTTAGTTTGTTTTCCTTTCCCCGCACCTCCGATTAGCATGATTTGTTATGTACAGTGTGAAATAAATTCAACATACATACATACATACATCACGCGGTCATTTATAGCACCCAGATACTCTAAACGCATGTTTCCAAATGCGGAGGAAATAACCAGAGTACCCGGAGAAAAATCCACGTGACCACAGGTAGAACATGCAAACTCCAAATATACAACAGGCGTCAGGGTTGGCATTGAACCCACAACTTCCTGTATACCAGGCAAGGGAGTTAACATCTCGCCACCACGCTTACCTGGGAGGGCGGCCGTGCGTCCGGCTGCTCGTCAGACCAGCCCCGCTCGCCAGCCCGGCGCTGCCGCGTGCGCTGCACCATCTCCTGCGCCCGCTGAGTCACCCACGACGGAGACGCCCGTAGGTCCCCGCTGCTCAGGGGTTGCGGGGGGTATAGCGGCAGGAGAGAGGTGCAGAGTTTCGAGATTCAGATTCAAGACTTTCACTAATAGAGGTTTTTTTGGGGTTAGATCGTGCCACCACCTGGCACAGCCAATTAGTGAGGTTTGTCACGTAAACAAAACATGCCAATTAGTTACTATCTTCTTGGTTCTTTCAGTAAAGTCACGTAGAAAGGAAATAATAAAATAATAAAAAGAAAACATTTTTATTTTATTATTTCCCTTCTACGTGACTTTACCGAAAGAACCAAGAAGATGAATCCCTGCAGTCACGAAAGCTTTAAATCGAAATTAGTTACTAGTTCAGCACACCGGTGTGTTGGAGAGTAAACCAACAACGGTAACAATTAGAGGACGACGTTTTGCCAAACTCAAGAATTTCTACTTCCCCTCCTCTCTTCTGGCAATGACCGACGCGTTTCAGGTAAAACGTGCCCACCCAGCGCTCGCTGAGCTGCGTTGGCTTCCGGTTTGAAAGTCCACAGCTCCAGTGGCTTCCTGATATCGCAAGGAGGAGCATTCCAGACGGCCACAGAAGAGCATCTGAAAGCACGCGATGCGTTGGCCATCTTTGTTCGATGGCCGGCGAAAATCCGCTGCTGCGAGGATGACCGGAGTTAATTGAGCGCAAAGACGCATGGCACGTTATATCTCCTTCCCAAGTTAAGTCGTTGTTCGAGCACAAATCATCAGACGAGTAGAAGACTAAATGCATTGTGTGCATCACTCTCACCTGCCCCAGGGCTTCGAACCAAAGTCACTCACACGGTGCCGGCTCATTTGCATGAGCCATGCAACAGTCTACTTTCTACATCCTAAATCGCCTTTGTCTCTTTTTTTCCTATCTTCTCTGTGGCCGCCCGAGCTGCATGTGTCAGCGATTCCATGCATTACGCACAGCGAACCGAACGAGACAGCCCACTGTCCCGAGCAATGAATTACGAGCCGATCGTGGAATCATTCGTACGGATAATAAGAAGAAGAACAAGAATAAGTAAATGTTGCCAACATTGCAGCAGGGACCGGAATAACACGGCGCTACATTCTCAGAACGTACGAGCATCAGCTGATGTTGCAAATGTGCTGAGAAAGCACTTGTGAGGATATGTTCTACCTGCTAACAACAACAACAACAGCGCCGCACATGCACAACCAACGCAAGGGCGGTGCCACGCGCAAAGTTCTCGGTCCTTGGTTCGTTGTTCTCAAACGTGCCTTTTCGGTACCCGCTCGGATGGCAATTGCAGACACAGATTTTCGTGAGCAATTTTACGTCTAGATCAGAAATGCTGATGACATCAAGGTTATTGTCACATAGTCTCACGTAGGAAATGTGTCATCAAGGAATGCTCCGAGCGTGATTTTGTGAGAGAATAGCGTTCTGGAAAAGATGGAGAAAGCAGCAACTAATGTTAGATTTGAAGATTTCGTGACTGCAAGGATTCATACTCTTAGGTTTTTTCGGTAAAGTCACGTAGATAAAATTTAATAAATATTAAAAATAAATACATAATAAAAAATAATAACTAATAGAAATAAGAATAATAATATTATTGCAATGCAGCATTTATTATTTATTTATTTATACCTACGTGACTTTACCGAAAAAAACCTAAGTGTAGCAACTAATGTGACACGAAACAACGACGGAACGTGAATGTAATTAGAAAGCGTGTCTACATGAATCAGAATGGCATACGCACGCAGCTTTCTTCCCATAGTGGATATCAGCAGCATTTGCCACCCCAAGTGGTACCAAAACAACCCCTCTTTGGTCCCATGGGTGACCTCCAGGCAATCAAAACGACCAACGCAATGCACTTGGGCAGCACGCTGTGTGCAGGCCGGTGTGAGGTCTTTTGGGCCTCCGGCAGACATCCACAAATGGGGTCCCCCAGGTACCCCCTTGGATATGCCTTCATTGCTGCAATTAAAATAATAACGTGCTGCTGCTTCTGCTGTTTCCGTGCCTATGCACCCATGGTTAAAAGGTTTTTAGCAAAATGCACGTTATGTCTAAGCTTAAATGCGTGTTCACACGACGTGTCTCCACGGGGTTTCAGAAACTACTTTAGACTTAAAACTTTCGTGACTGCAGGAATTCATATTCTTGATGAAAACCGCTTGTGTTGCGATCGAAACGTCGTGGGTTTTTTCTTTAATTTTTTTTACTTTCTTATTTTTATTTTATTTTTTTAATTTGATTGTTATTTTATTATTTTTTTTCTTTAAAACTTTTTAAAATATTTTCTGGTTTTCTATTTACGTGACTTTACCGAAAGAACCAAGAATATGGACAAACTACTTTCTTCAGCTGCGCGGTTTGGCGGTGTGGGAATTGTGCGTATACGCGCGGAGCGCGACTGCACGTGGCGACGTTTCCTCATCTCACTTCTTGGTCCCACCATGGGATGGCTTCATGATTTCATAGCGCACGCACGATTCAAAGTTGCATCGTTGCACGTATTTATTCATTGCCTGCAATGTATATGACATACAAGTATTTCCTCGCTTAAAGCGTTTTTTTTGCTGAACGCGGCACTATTCAGGAATGCATCTACTGCGTTAAGCGGAATTACCGTACAGTGATGCCCTGGTTTACTTAGGGGTAGGAGGGGGGGATTCCTTCCTGAAAGGTGTGACAATGAATATCTAAACGACGTCAATCAAAGCGACTTACGGGGTGAGGTGGAAGCGAAGGCTGAGAGGCGACGAGTAACAGACGATGCCGTCGGCGACGTGAGTGTGGGTTGAGGTGACGCAAATCAGGAAGTGGTGTTAATGATGGGGAAGACGTAAATCAGGGTAATATCATCGATAATAAAGGTTTTTTTGGGTTAGATTGCATAAATATCTGGCTGCCGCCTGATGATGCCGGTTGTAATTACTGGCGGAACGTCGTAGTCATATTGTAAATGTTGTGGATGTGCTCTCCAACACACGGGTGTGCTGTACTCGTAACACATTGCCATGTTCTGTTTACGTGACAAACCTTACTAATTGGCTGTGTTGGGTGGTGGCGGTTTAACGACACATTTGTATTTACACGATCGAACCCAAAAAAAACTGTATTATGGGTAAATCAGGGTATTACTGCATCTGTGGTTCGTTCTGAAGAGGTAACCGGCGACCTCTCGATTCCAAGCCACAGCGCTCTCACCGCCACGCTATCCACGCCACAGTGCTCTCACCGCCACGCTATCCACGTCACAGCGCTGCCTCACCAGCGATTGGGTTCGCCCAGGAGCGGCTGTCCGAGCTGCAGGTCCTCCGGCCGGCCGGGGGGCGGCATGTCCATGAGCTGTCCTCCCGGGCCGCTGGTTCCCATCGGGCCCCTTGGGTCGCCCCCCGCCCCCCAGGGACCTCCGGCACCCCCGACGCTCCCAGCAGCCACCACAGCCACGACCGCCCCCACCGCTCCCACGGCACTCCCGGCACCGCCGGGCACTCCCGGTCCTCCCAGCCTCTGGAAGAGCGTGCGGTTCTGCGGTGGGCGACCGCGGTGACGATCAAAGAAAGTTAGCGTCATTTTGCTGCAGTTGTTCAAATGGGGTGGTGCTCATCCTATTGGGGGGCTTGTACAAGATGGCTATCGCACGGGGGGAGGTTACATCGATGAAGGCTGACCAGGGACCAATGGCGAGGTTTCTGTTGACCAATGATAATATTACCATCACTCATTAACCTATGGCATTCACACGATTCGTATGATATGGTGGTTAAATTACATCATTGTCATTTTCTGACAGCGCGTGCTTTATTAGCGTCACAGATTGCAAAGCTGCAAATGATTAGAGTACCGCCGACGTCACCTATTCCCCGCCAACCACCTCCCGTCCAGTGGTACTATTACGTCGGGCGATCGAACCAACAATCGGTCGGGTAAAACTGATCGCTCAAAAAAGTTTCGAGATGCCGGCTCCGGCTGCGTCGCAGCCGCCACCGGCGCCTGGCAGCGCCAGTTCGCTCTCAGGGCGAATTGCGAGCGACGAGCGGACGTGCAAACCTGCTGCATGGCGGCGGCCTGCTGGAGCTGCATCTTCTTGTTCTTGTTGCTCTTGTAGTAGTTGTAGATCATCATGGCCGCGTACACCTTGCCCACCGTGAGGTCGACGGCTGGAGGTGCAAAGCAAATCGCCGTTCGCATCGAGAGACACTCTTCCCCCCCGCCCCACCCCTGACCGGACGCTCCGCTCGGTACCACGTGCACGGTCACACGGCGTTTTGTTGGGACGTCCCTTGACCACATCTAAAACTGTTTTGGGATACCTTCGCCGTACCGAAACATGTTGTGAGTGCTTCTCAGCTGTTTTTGTTGTGTTGTGGCGTGTCCCATAATAATAATGCAATTTATAACGCGTGCAAATTTGCAGACGTAACGGCCGCAACTCAGAGGCGCGGAGCCATAGCCGCATGTAAAAATGTTGAGGGTGTCTGGGTCAACCACAACACCTTATTTACAGTGGCTCTGCCATAACCCATACATGTAAATGTTATGGATATTTATAAAAATATATATTTTGCGAGATAATCAAATGTATTTCTCAGCAGGCATGTTTCGTTATCATGTTATTGTCCTTCCCCCGCACGTCCGATATGCACAATTGGCTACGTACGGTGTGAAAGCAGTTCAACGTACATACACGTGCATACATCTTGACTTATCAGCAGGTTCAAGGTCAGAGTGTCTCCAAGATCGAACATGCGCTGGCTCATTCCCATGATGAGTCCTTATCATGAGACGCTTGTTGTTTTGTTCATTGGAAGTGGTGCCAAAGTGTCTCCGTACACGAAATTAGCACAACTGCCGCGATTTGTTCGGCACGATGTCTGACGTTTCGCACCACGTGCTGGGAGCTCCTAAAGCAGCTCTCAGCACGTGGATCGGAACGTCGGACATCGCGCCGAACGATCGCACGGCACAACCCTAACACCACATCGGAGAATCGCACAGCACAACCACGACAACCCCTCGCAGTTGCACAACCGTCTACACCAGGGGCTGGTAAACCTGCGGCTCCGCACGCGGATCATTCAGGACCACTTCGTTGACGTTACTTGTTAAGGACCCACCATCTCGTATTCACCACATAGTGCATTGTGGCTCCTGAAATATTGAGGATTCTTTTGATTGAATTCGTAAAGAAAATGGCTCTTCCTATCACTTTGGCTGCCGACTCCCTGGTTTATACGATTATAATACTCTCACGTTCACGTGAATTCTCTCACGTTCACGCGTCTTCCCTCGAATCTTTAGTGAAAAGGAACGTCACCTCTGTGCGGTGGCACCAGGATGTCCAGCGTCTTCTGAGAGAGGGTTGGCCAGATTGCCATCATCTCCTTTCGCAGCTCGCTGTCGCACTCAAACTTGTCGGCCCCAGCTGCCAGAACAAACCGACAAGGCATCATTAGTTAATGGGCGCCATGGTGGAGAGATATTCACTACCTGGCGAGGTATACAGGAGGTTGTGGGTTCGATCCCGACCCTGATGCTGGTATATTTGGAGTGTGCGCGTTCTCCCCGTGGTCACGTGGATTTTTTCTCCGGGTCCTCCGGTTTTCCCCTTCCATATTTAGAAACGTGCATTTAGAGTATTTGGCTCCGATACATTTCCACATGATAAGCCACTTCGTTGACCTATCATTCGTGGCTGGGTTGCTTCTGAAAAAGAGCTATATAGTTCAGTGGACCTTACCTGGTAAAATTAAAAGTTTATAGTTTTAACGTCAACGTGCCTCTAAGGAGCCAATGACAGCAACGGTGAAAAGAGAAAAAGATGCCCCAGTTAGCCCAATGGACTGAAGGGGGCAAGCCAAAGTCACGCTAGTGGAGGCCCGGGATAGGCTTAGATGCCACGATGCAAACGCTGTGGATTAGCCACATTATCAGCGGTGACAGCTTGACGATGAAAATTCTGTAAGGAGAGATGTTGCGAAGGAGGTCATGCTTGCAGGCAAAGTAAAATGCTGCTTGACGATTTAAAGGAAGGGTGGGGGGGGGGGCTTACATTGGCATGAATAAGAAAGCTCAAGATCAGAGAGGATGCCGTGCAATATAAATTATTGACCCAAACCACTACCTATATTATTGTACACTATAAGCCCATGAAGGAGATTAAACAAATTTGATCTAGTATCATGGGAATGAAATTAAATGATGAGGAGTGCCAAAATTATTCTTGGAAACAGCGTTCCGGACTGTTCCGCCTTAAGTTAACCACTGCATAGAACCCAGGCTGTCAAGTTCACAGGGCAGTGTGCTAGCCCACTGTGCCACGGCTCTAAACGTAGCAGCAAGCAGTAGCAGCAGTCGCATGAGCACTCAACTGGAGCTGTAATGAGCAACAGCCTTGAGGGCACGTGACATCAGTTCACGGTAAAAGAGAGAGAGAGAGCACTTGTGCCGAGAAAAATGTGTGAGCACAGCCAGCTTGGCCACTCATGGGCTGGCAGTGCTCACCAGCGCAGATGAACGTTCAGTGGTGAGCAAAACTGATCTGTCGAGGCTCTTGAAAAATATTTAAACATCAACACTGTGGACGGTGAAGTTATTTGCATCAGGGACGTGCGGTCAGGGGAGGCAGGGGAGGCAGAGCCTCATCTGTCATACTCCAATGAAAATAGCTGTTACGAAAAGTATAAAAAAAGAATAATGAAATAATATAAATATTAATATTTTTCCACTGATCTGTGTTATAAATGTCATTTCTGTACCAAATTTGTGGAGCTCCGCTGCAATTACAGGAAGAGACGAGAGGTGAGGCAGCGACGAACTCAGCCTCCCCTCTGATTGCGCAACCCCTCAGTAACTGGATGGAGCGAGGGCAATACGCGCGTGCCTGTTACTATCTCAGTATGTCACCAATGTAATGTTTGTAGACTCCTTCATTTCATGTCCTCGCCTTCCATACTCCAGGTAACTTATTTCACGTATGTGTATAAAGATATTTAGGCTCGCTGGTCTCGTCATGAAACTGCAATGAAAAAGCACCAGGGGAGGCAGCTATCACGTCTGCCTCAGTGAGGGGGACGTGTCTAACACGCCCCTCAGTGACGACACGCTCCCTCAGTGAAGCCACGCCCCCATCAGTGAGACCACGCCCCCTCAGTGAGGACACGCCCCCCTCAGTGAGGCCACGCCCCCCTCAGTGAGGCCACGCCCCCTCAGTGAGGACACGCCCCCCTCAGTGAGGACACGCCCCCTCAGTGAGACCACGCCCCCTCAGTGAAGACACACCCCCCTCAGTGAGGACACGCCCCCCTCAGTGAGGACACGCCCCCCTCAGTGTGTGAATCTGGCTCTGACACGAGCCAGTGCCTCCCCAGCCATTGACCTCACGGCACGTCACTGATTTGCATGCAGCTGTCATTGAAGGACGCACACTGGCCATACTGGGTGTTTGGGAATTGCCTTTTTGTATAATTTTGCTTTGTCTCACTCGACTTCAACACTGGCACCGGGCCTGTGCAGAGCACGGGTGATGTTTGTGTAATTTCGAGGCAAGGGTGTTGGTGGATCATGCAGAGATGCGGAAACTACGAAACCCTGGTGGGCTGCGAGGTGTCCAGAAGACGTCAGCACAACAGGTTGGCCCGTGAGCCCATAATGTGCACGCTGTTGAGTGGGTAGCCCATTGTATGTGTAGAGGTGATACGCGCTGGGATTAGGGATCGTATGCCAGCGCGTAATGATTGGCTGTGTAGGTGGTGACGCGCGCTGACGGTGGAGGATCAGGGGTCAGCGCGGGGTCGTGGGTTACGGGGTACTGATTGGCTGTGGGCCCGTGACGCGCTGAGAGGGAGTGATCGGGTGGCAGCGCGGTGTGATTGGTAGAGGAGTGTTAACACGCGCTGGGGAAAACGGATCGTAGAGAGAGTGCGTCGTGATTGGTCCACTAGGGAACGATGCTCACGTCGACGTCCGGATCAGCTCCGTCTCTCGTGAGCAGGGGCTATAAAAGGGGATGCACACAGGCGTAAGGGCAGTATGTAACCAGCGAAGAATGAAGACGGGGATGAAGACCTAGGGCCCTGCGGTACCTAGTCCCGCTGTCCTAACGGGACCGGGACTCTGTGTAACCCAGAGGCGAGTGTAGTGTGTAGCCAGAGGCATAAGGTCTACACGAGCCGAATGCATTGTGTGTAGCCAGGGGCGTAGGGTCTACACGAGTCGAGTGTAGTGTGTAGCCAGAGGCATAGAGTTTACACGAGATTAGTGGAGTGTGTAGTCGGAAGAAAGGAGACCACACGTTGTATTGTGAACGTAAAGATTTAATAAAAGTGTGTTACCCGTCAAGAAGTTCCTGCCGTCAATTCCAATACTTCATATGTGTGGGGTTTCTCCGGGTTTCTCAAGTTTCATCCCATATACAAAGCAACGAGCTGGTCAAACATCCAAACGCAGAGCCCTCCTGAAAAGGATCTCAAGACTCACCGCTGCTTTCTTGAAGTAATACATAAATGACGTAATTCTTATGGGTCGTATGTATTTTGTACTTCTTTCGCAGCGTACGTAGCCAACCGTGCTAATTGGAGGAAGGATGCGTAAGGCGGGGGGGTAAAGTGTGGATAGTATCCAAGTCACATGACTCGAGTCCACACCTGGTGTGGACTCGAGTCATGTGCCTTGGACTCGAGTCAGACTCGAGTCATGAATTTGATGACTTCAGACTCGACTTGGACTTGCATAACAATGACTTTGTCCCACCTCTGAGGTGTGGACTCGAGTCATGTGACTTGGACTCGAGTCAGACTCGAGTCATGAATTTGATGACTTCAGACTCGACTTGGACTTGCATAACAATGACTTTGTCCCACCTCTGGTGGATACCGCCACCGCTTCCATGAAGTCTGGCCAGCATGAACGAGTCGGCCAAAGCACCCTCTCTAGAACTCTTCCTCAAGTGGAGGCCCTTCTGCCAGCAGTGGCGTGAGCAGGTAATTGCAGGGCAGAACCCTTACCTTGATAACACTGGTCAACACACTTTTTCTGGCATAAGGTATTCCAACGGTTTTAAGGTAATTTTGGGGTGCTGATTCCAAATCTGGCATCAGTTTTTGTCTATCACATCAGGTTTTTGAGATATCAAATATTGCATTTTCAATAAAAACTGCAGAAGAAAAATATTAAATAAATGTGGATATCTACATAAAATGACATTATAAACACACTATCCTAAAAATACAGCACCATATTTTAACACTAAAGCAGTCACTGACTCGCAACAACTTGCAATCATAAGTGTTAATTTCGGGTAAAATCAATGAAAATGGGGTATGCCGATAGCATAAAAATGACGTGATAGAGCAAATCTGAGATCAGATTTGAAATCAGCACCCTGAAATTAGTCTAAAACAGCTGCAAAAGTCCAGGCCAGAAAAACATGTTTTTTTTTTGTTGACCAGTGTTATTATAGTTGGTCATCAATGACATGTGATCAGAATGTACAGGGTGATCCATTTTCAGATATCCCCACTGATTTCCAATGACCTTCTTACTTTCTTCCCAACAGGTGATTGAATTGATGTGGAAACGATGTGGCTCCATGACCTCACAGAAGCGGAAAATAAAATGTTTCATAATGTGTGTTGAGATTGATAGAGAACATATAAAGGCTTTGGAAAAAACCGTTCCTCTCTCGAATTTTCCCTGTTCCTTTAGCGGGGTATCTACAAGTGGATTAACCTTCACTCGTGATTATTATCATCGGCCATTGTCAATCCACTGCTGGATGAAGGCCTCCACAAGCCACCACCACCTCTCACGATCACCCTGTACTACATACAGGTGCCAATACCTTGGCATATTTTTCAGGAACAAAAAATAGTAGATTCTCCACTCCCCTCGAAGTGATGAGGAATAAACAGAAACAAAACAACCGTTGAAACACAAACACTCCTGGTTCATCTTCTTGGTTCTTTCGGTAAAGTCACGTAGAATAGAAATAATAAAATAATAAAAATAAAACATAATAATGCAGTCACGAAAGCTTTAAATCGAAATTTAACTCCTGGTTCAGTTCGGGCCACTGTGGGCAAAGCCAATGTTAGTTTAACACGCTTTCGGGACTAATATCTATTATAAAGATTTTTTAGGGTCAGATAAAGTAAATTTATAAATCACAATGGATAACTGTGAGCAATAACAAGTATAGTGATATTTTGGCCCAAAAACAGCAAAAAGTATGTACATAATGTACATGCATAATGTACATGCATGATTGACATGCATTATATATGTTGATGTGTGAATAACCCAACTAATCAAATATATCCATTGTAATTTATATGACTACATCAACTACCCCCCTGGCCTTCGCACCCGATTGGCTCACAGGTGATGACATCACATGTATCCCTCTATTTAAGACCAAAAGAGGAGGATTTCTCCACAAATCTGGCTATCACCTGATGAGGTTGGTTGTAATTATCGGCAAAATGTAGTATCTCGAATTGTAAATGTTGTGCGTTTACTCTACAACACACCGATGTGCTGAACTAGTAACGAATTGCTACGTTTTGTTTACGTGACAAACCTTCCTAATTGGCTGTCGGGTGGTTATCAGGGTTTAACGGCACATTTATATTTACGCGATCTAACCCAAAAAAAAAGAAACCTCTGTTGTGGAAAGGAAATGTTATCCGCCGTTTGGCCATCATGGCAGCAACATGCTCAATGGCAACGCGGAGATGAGAGCCCCATGAAAAATTTTACGTCTGCAAAAGAGCTGACACAGGTGGTGGTATTTACATGCTGAAGCGGAGAGCCCTATTAGTCAAGCGTTTTGCGTTGATGCAGCCGTGGACCGAAATAGCCATTCCACGGTTTGATCTACGGCGCCTCTTGGTACACAGGGGATCTGATTTGCACGAAAAAAGATATAATAATATTGTGGTGGCACACTGAATCAATTAGCGTTTTTTGGGCACCCGTTGTACGTGTTATTTTCCAGGCGCCCGCAGATCTAATCCATCAGAGATGTTGTCTGAGACGTGAAAACACATTGGTATTACATCACTAACCCAAGCGAGGGGCGTACGATTTATAGACTGAAGTAAAAAAACTTGCATCCACCAGTCGTTACAGGACTAATATTAATTTGGGGCTTGTTTATTTCAATTGTAACATTTCCATGGGCACTGTGATTTTACCAGAGTCAAGTGAAATGGTTTCACCGGTCGCGCGCGCGAGAGAGGAGTTCCGTGCTGCAGCCCATCGTCGTCAGCGGTGCTGAGCCAACTCATTGATTACAACTCGTGAGAGTGGCGAGGGGCCTTCGATGGGCAATGTGAAATAAATACACGTTGCTTTAACATACCTTGCAAAAGGAAATTGACTTCAAGTAATGAAATATGATTACGTTGCATTTTGCCAGTTTTGGTTGACAGATTGCCGAACATGGTTGCTAAGTCAAGAAACAAATTTGCCAAGATTCCAACTCAGGTCAATGGGTTCAAAGGGCAGTACGCAAACCACTGCACCGTCGCTCCACCGAATCAACTACGGTATGAATCTTTAACAGTGTAAGGGATGCCGAGAGGCAAACCCTATTCAGAAATACCCATATAAATAGATATCACTGGGTCTAAGGAGCCGGCTCGTGAGTTCGAATTGCGTGCTGTGTACGAACTTTTAACAGGGTAAGGGATGCCGAGAGGCAAACCCTATTCAGAAGTAAATAAATGAATGAATATGCACTCACCGGGTCTAACGGCTCGTGATTTTGACTAGCGGCGCATTACTCTCATTGGCTAGGAGCTATCATGGGCGGAGCCAACGTAGGGGGCACAAATTTTAATTTGAAGGTGGAGAACGTTCAAATCATCGGATTGGTTGTCAGGGACAACCAAGTGGAAATTCGGGGAGTGTGGTTTAAGAGACTGTTAGGATAAATTAAGGAGATTGGTGGAGAGTCATGGGAAGTTCCAGAAAGGATGGATAATAGAATAAAATGAGGGATTGAACGGTATTTGGGGGGCCTGTAAGTTCGTATGTTGAACTTCTTTTGCACCTTATGTATCCAACCATGCTAATTGGAGGTTTAATTACCTGATGTGTGTAACACGCTGTGCGGTAGATGTAACAAAGACAACGTTCAATACTCACCCGGGCTGGAATTCCTTTCCAATAGTACAATCACATTATGAAATCACGATTAAACATGAATATTTAAAGGGAACTTCAGATTTCGGCAAATATAAGTGACCTACCCTTGGCAATCTTGATGTCCAACGCTGTGCGAATGAGTGCCATGAGGGTGGTGGTGAAGTGAACTGTGTTGTCCTCAGCTATCGGCATATCCATCCGCACGAGGCGCTGGCACAAGAAACACAACAAGAATCCGAGATAAATTATTAATAATAATGATCGAGAGAAAGAAAAAATCAACCATATGTCTAATATATTTTTTCTCTCGTATATGTATTCCAGAATAATAATAATTATTATTATTTCAACCATGATTTACTTAATTTACTTTTCAAATAGAAGACTACAAGTCATATCAGAAATTGATTCCAGGGCCAGTACGTTTTTCCCGCAGCGATGAAGTAAACGTATATTTTACGTATCGATGCCATATCTGCATTTCAAACTCTGACCAAGCAAGACCCAGGCCACTTGTTGCAATGCGTCATTTGCAAAGACAAAGCTTCACGGGTTAAAAACGCGAAAAACTCCCCGCAAATTATTCAATCGGGTAACACATCGTGACTTCGGTCCCTGCTGCGGTACTTTATGCAGGACCCCTCCTAAAGAAGACAGCCTTGCGACTCAGTGAGGCTTTCCTGGGTAAGTAAAGGGCACGAAACTAACAAACAAATAAGTAGCAGTCTGGGTCTGGGCCTCGCCGCCGGTCACTGAATGAACAGCACAGTGAGTGCACGTGCGAGTGAGTCAACGGTACGGAATGCACCTTGTACGCGATGCGAACTGGGCACTTCTTTCCGAGGCCGAGCGGAGGGGACATGTGACGCAGCAGCTCATACATCTTGGTGTACGTGATGCGGCCTCTAAACACACACACACACACAACAAAGACAAAGATCCCCCGTATAGCCTTGGCAGACTGTTGATGCAAGTGCTGTTAGCGAGCACCGATGAAGGGGTGGATGGCCAACACCACGCCCGACCGCCTTTGTCTCCCCAATGTTTACACACTGCACCAGGTGCTCATTTGCGGCTGGAGCGACCTAGGGGAGGCCCAGGACCAGTTCAGATAATCGTCACTGGTGTTGGCCGTGAGCGGCAATCGAACTTGGGTCGCCGGGTTTGTAGCGCAGCGCGCTAACCGCTACACCACCGCTCCCCACTACACACACACACAGCACCACGCTCAATGTACAGGAGGGAGCAGTGTGGGTACAGCAGCGTTACGGCTCTCCGATGCGTTCTCGGGTCAACGTCGGACATCGTGCCGTTCGGCACGATGTCCGACGTTTTGCTCCACGCGCTCGGGGAGAGCTTCTTTAGGGACTAGAATTCGGCACGACATTACAATGTCTGAAGACTATTGCGAAGCATATGATCAAGTTAAAGGTGCAAGTGCCTTCATTCTCAAACGAGAATAGTAGACTCTCAATAATTATCCGCATATTTTTCCGATTTGTGCACCTGAGATTTTAACATAAATTAATAACTCATGGATTTTCCCTTTAGCCCAAATTAATAGTATAAAAACAGTTCTACATTGTTATTCTTGGAAAAGTTTATTGCAAGTCACGTATTTAAATCGAACAAATATGTGCTCTGGTTAATCCGAAATCCACGTGATCGGCTCTACAGTACAGTAGTTGCATATCTTTACAACAGTGGGTGGAGTTTTATTTATTTTCATAGGCGTGGTTCTACTATACACGTAGTTGTCTGCTATTAACAAACTCAATTGTAATAACTTAAACATAATCTATACCTATATTAGTGGTTATTGGCATAGAGATCCACAGAAAATTGTGATATATTTTTGGATTCATAATATAGGTTTTTGGGTCAGATCGCGTTATTTATAAATGTGTCGTAACCCTCCACCACCCGACACGGCTAAAGAGTAAAAAATGTCACGTTTTTCAAAGGACAAAATAATTCACTTCTTTAGCCCACCGGTGTGTTGAAGAGAGAATTAACAGCATGTTAAAATTTTAGTAGTACGACGTTTCGCTGATAATTACAATCAGCTTCATCGGGCAAGAATGGTGAAGCTCTCCTGTTCAATCTGGTGCAGTGATTCGAGGCAAAGAAGGGGAGGGTATTGTAATTATATAGATTGTTAATCATTCATCTGTTATTCATTAGTATTTGTTTCCCTTATAAGGAATTGTAATTGTATTTATTTGATAATACGCTTCCAGGCCGCACTAAGCCTGTAGCTGTCACAGCGATTGAAGTTATTACTGTTTCTCTCAATTTCAATGGATTCTCTAATTAGTCTTGGCCATTCGCAATTTTTTTATTATCCGCGGATGTCCTCCCTATCATTAGCTCGGATAATCAAGAGTCTACTGCCATGAGCCAAAGCTCATCCCATTTGGTGATCCTGAGCCAATGGTGAAATTCTTCATTCCCATGATGAGGGCTAGTCTCTCCGTAAGACAGTCACTGTTTTGTATATTAAGAGGAGTGTCCGAGTCCAAGTGTTTCCACGCTCAAATGAGCATAACTCTCTAACTCTCCGATGTGTGTTTCGATTTGTGCTCCATGTTGTCCGGCATGATGTCCGTCGTTTTGATTCATGTGCTGTTTTTTTTTTTAAGGAACTGGATGATAATTATAATAATCGCTCAGCACACTGAGTGAAACGTCAGACATCACGCCAGACATCAAGTCGGACACCACGTGGGACACCACAAGGGACAACCCTAAAAGGCGTAAGAGAGAGCTGTACAAGCAGCACAATCACGAACATCCGACGCGGATATAGCGCCACAGTTTATTTTCACTCACGTTGCAGCGGGATCGTAATCCCCCCAGATTCGCACAAACTCGTCGAGGTGATGAGGCCCCAGGATAGACGAGTCCCGGGTCAGGTACTCGAAGTTGTCCATGATGACTGCCACGAAGAGGTTGAGCATCTATCCCGACAGGAACAGCACAACGTGGTTTAGATACAAGGGTGCATGTCCCTGCAATGGCTCACTCACATCACTGCTGGCGGCCACGGCGAGAGAGGCAGCTGTAGAGAGCCCTTTTATACTGGTAGGAACCTCCTGTTTACACCAGCCCACAGGGGATTCTTGTGTCCGTCCCTCCGTCGTGCAGGGAGGGACTGGGTGGGGAGGGAGGGGCTGGGTGGGGAGGGTGGGGCTGGGTGGGGGGTGGGAGGGAGGGAGGGGCTGGGTGGGGAGGGGCTGGTCACCCCGTGGTGCCCTTATAAAACTCAACGTTTAACCTACTCACGCCGGCTTGTGCCCGCCCTCACAGTCGGGCATATTAGCGGAATACACCATGCCGCCGTTGACCCTGGCCATTGACCGAGCAACCCAAAGTTCCTACCAGCTCCCTCTGCAGGAATGTGTTAGAGGGTACCGTTCCTACTCTTCCACGCTCGTAAGAGGTGGAAGTAGCCACACTTTAGCACACCACACGCGGACTGGCCGCTCCACTGAATGTGCTGAACCCGTTTAAGCGTACGCTGCTGCTGGGTGGACGGAGGCACTGAGGGATTTAATAAACTTGCCCCATTGTGTCCACTGCCATGCCAGGAGATCGAATTGAATCGAATTGAACCATTGCACCACAGCAGCATCCCAACACAACAGCCATGTGGTGCGTGAAAACAATGTCGCTTTTAGAGCTGGCCTCGGTTAAGTTAAGTCAGCAAAACTATTGTCTAGTCATTGTTGAGTCTGTTGAGACAAACAACTCGCTCCGTTCGAGAAAATGGTTTCACTATTTTAAGTTGCTGCTCGATTTTAATCGGGGATCTCAGTATTGTTGTCTCAGAGCCTGTGACACAGGCTCCATTATCTGAACCGGTCCTGGGCCTTCCCTAGGTTGACTCAGCATAAAATGAGTACCTGGTGCGATGTGCAAACAACACCACTGTGGAGACAAAGGCAGTCGGGCGTGGTGCTGTGCCACCCACCCCCTCGTGTGCCCTGCCGGCCTTGAAAGCTGCTCGCTAACATCACTTGCCCCAACAGTCCGTAAAGGCTACACGGGGGATCTTTGTCTTTGGTTTTTGCACGTGGACGTGCGTGTGGACGTGCGTGCGTCGGGCACCAGGAACGAGCAGAGGAAGATGAACGAGACGAAGTAGAAGTAGGCGAAGTCACTGCCGCAAACGTTCTCGCCGTTAAGCGAGTGCTGCTCGCACGGCTTCTTGCTCAGGCAGGAGAGCATGATTTCTTGCCACGCCTCCCCGGTGGCACTCCTACATGCCCGGCACCACCGTCGCACGTCATCACAATACCATGGACTCACAGTCGGAGATCATCGCAATACCACGGACTCACTGTCACATATCATCGCAATACCCTGTTGCAGATCATCGCAATACCACGAACCCATCATCGCAAGGATTGAATAAACAAATACCATGATTCTAGATTTGAAGCTTTCGTGACTGCAAGGATTCATACTCTTAGGTTTTTTCGGTAAAGTCACGTAGGTAAAAAATAATAATAATAAAATTAATAATAGAAATAAAATAAAATAATAAATCACGACGTTTCGGAGGCAACACAAGCCTCCGTCATCAGGTGGGACCGTCACAGCTAAAATTACTGCATCAAGTGAGGCAAAATTCCAAGAGACCAGCCCTTAAATACAAGTTAAGGGGGGAGGGGCTTATCTGAATGTGGTAACCGGTTTAGGTCGAGGAACACCGATTGTTCTCTTGCACATTGACGACGTTCACCAATTTCTCTTGTAGCCCCGCCCACCACCCCCACGTTCCATTCCCTGGTTACCACATTCAGATAAGTCCCTCCCCCCTTAACTTGTATGTAAGGGCTGGTCTTTTGGAATTTTGCCTCACTTGATGCAGTAATTTTAGCTGTGACGGTCCCACCTGATGACGGAGACTCGTGTTGCCTCCGAAACGTCGTGATTTTTTATTTTATTTCTATTATTACTTTTAGTAATTTTATTTTTTACCTCCGTGACTTTACCGAAAAAACCTAAGAGTATAATTACCATGATGCCAATATTATAGATTATCACATGACCATGAACTCACCATGAAAGATCATCGCAACACCATGAACACATTGTCAAAGGGACAGACACAATACCCTGGCCTCAATGTCATAAATGACCACAACACCATTCAACTCACGACCACAAGTTATTTATGGGTTGCAGTGCAGCTGCATTGTTAAAAGCCAATAAAAGCAGAATTCCGTTTGGTATCTCCATATAACAAAAAAAAACTTTCAACCTATCAGGCTATCGGCCCACCAGACAAATATTATCAGGCAGCATTTGTTTCGTCCTTCCGAATCAAGCTCGCTAAATAAATGCTTTTGGAACAGCAGATGTTATTGGCTAGATTTCTCCCATATATATGCATAATTTGACTCAATTCAACAGAAAAAGCCGTCAAGAATAATGGCTGAAAAGTTACTGCAATACCACCAACTCAAGATGACAAATCCTCACAACACCGTGAACCCATCATCTCAAGGACAGACACAATACCCTGGCCTGTGACGCAGATGCTCCACGATACCATGACCATGACCTCAATGGCGGAGAAGTGGCTAAAATTCGTGGCACGCACTATCACAGATCACAACAATGCTCCGAGACTCCACCGTCACGGAGATTGACAGAAGACACTGACCTCATCTTCAAAAGTACAGATACAATCCCACAATTACTATAAGATCTTGACCCCACCATGGCAGGTCATCACTATCCTCCAAGCTGATCGAGGGCAGGCACAGATACGAGGATCTGAAGCCTGTTGTGACATATCATCGAAATTCAATGACCTAAATGTAAAATACGAATCAGCACAATACCTGAACCCTACCGCCACAATAACAGACACAACCAAGTGACCACCGCCATCCCCCTTCCCACAAACACGGATCATTAGAACGTTTGGAAGTCACTGGAATCTTCACCGACCAGAATGGTGAAGTATAGTCATACGAACCCCCATGACCGACACGGCACGAGAAGGCCATCATCCAGCAGCGGATTGGCACGGGTTTGTAAGTTATCATCGACAACAATGTGCACGTGTAACGCGGCAGCGATCAACAATGCTGGTCGTGAGAAAAAGTAATGTTAAAAAAAAACTTCTTTAAAAACACGCTTTAATGAAATGTACCGTACTAGTAATGGAAGAACTCCACGACTCCAGAAAGTGGCCCGAAGCTTGCCATAACGTAAGGGTCCGTGGCCAATTACAGCCAACGTCAGTTTAACGTGGACAATTAGAGCCAAGCCGATACATAACATATAAAAAATAATGTTTTAAAATATGTTTTTTTATTTTTTTATGATAGAATATAGTATTGTCATCAGTATGACATAACTATACCAAGTTTGCAGTCGATACTACATTGGGAAGTGGGTTAAAATTGAGTTACAAGATTTGAGCATACAACAACGACAACAACAGACAGAGTGAGTTAAATAAAAGCGTGTAATAAAAGCGTGTAATAATGAAAGTGTGTAATAATGAAAGTGTGTAATAATGAAAGTGTGTAACAATAAAAGTGTGTAACAATGAAAGCGTGTAACAATGAAAGTGTGTAACAATGGGCCACTACTTACCTGAATAGGAGCATCAACGCTTGAAAGAATGTCTGGAAGTTGTTGTGCTCGGTGATGCCCCCCTCGTCATCGAGTTTCACGTTGCCAAACACCTTCGGATGCGCACAGGTACACACACACACACAGAAGACAAAAGACAAAGATCCCCTGTATAGCTTCAACAGACTGTTGGGACAAGTGCTGTTAGTGATTAGCGAGCGCCTATGAAGGCCGGCGCAGCACACGAGGTGGTGCTGTAGTCAGCACCATGCCTGGCGCCTTTGTCCCCCCCAATGTCGATGTTTACACACCGCAACAGGTACTCATTTGAGGCCGAGTAGACCTAGGAGAGGCCCATGACCGGTTCAGATAATCGTCACCGGTGTTGACCACGAGGGGGGAATCGAGCCCGGGTTGCCGGGTTCGTAGTGCATTGTGCTAACCACTACACTACCGCTCACTACACACACACACCGCCCCCCATGGATTAGTGTTGCTACGGGAAGCAGCATCGTGTTTGACCTGCCAACACAGAGGATGTCACGAGCTTTGTGGGATGAAGGCACCGAGAGCTGCAGCACTAAGTGGCTTATAGTCTCCGATTATCCTCTCTTGCCGTGAGAATTAACGAGGCACCCCCCACCCCAAACTCACACCCTCCGCATAAATTACTGCGCTGATCCCCGGCCACGTACGGCAACTGAGCGCCTGTAATTAAATACAAAATACAAGATTCAACTCGGCACTGGTGGCCGGGTGGCTCATGGGTCAGGGAGCCGAGCTGACACTGCTGACAACCTGAGTTGGAATCCGGGCAGTGGCGTGCGATCAAACACCGTGTTCTCAAGGGTAACTGCATTGGTGTTCTCAGCCCTAATCACCGGCACAAAATAAAACAAATAAAACATCGTGTTGAATATTCTTAGTTTTTTTCAGTAAAGTGACGTAGGTAAAAAATTAATAAAAGTAAAATAAAAATAAAATAAAAATCACGACGTTTCGGAGGCAACACAAGCTTCCGTCTTCAGGTGGAACCGTCACAGCACGATAGCTGTGTTGAATTCCATTCTGCAACTCAATTTGGCTGAATACCAGCTGCGAAAATGTTTTTTTTGTTTGACTGTCATGCAAAGGATATCGCTCTCGTATTCCGGGTGGGTTGGAGAAGTGATGTGCCAGCCCCTCGATTGTGTGGGAACCAGAGATGCACAGAAAAGACTCGAAGTGGACACATCAATGGGTCTCCGTGACATCCACTTCTGTGGGCCATTCTCGAGCACAAAGGCTTGCACTGCTCTGTGAGAGATGGCAATGGATCCTTCTTCTCATGGCGTGATGCCAAGAGCACAATCGGGTTAACATTGTGGGAAATTGATTACCATGTACACGTATACAAAACAATATTCAACTTGCTAAAACTTTCGTCATTATGTCGGCTGGCATTATTAACATATTGCTATATTGGCATAATGCTGTCCACCTTGTTATACATGTATATACATATATATACACTGCATCTGAGTGGGTTGTCAATTTAGGAATTAATTGGTTAATTAATTAATTGCTAGGTAGGTAGGGGGAGGGGTGAAGCATGTAAGAGAGGGGGACAGGAGCGTACGTCGTGGGTAACGAAGGGGTCGTGGACGGGGAAGGTGGCAGAAAGTGAGGAGTCTGGGGGGTTGAGAGGGGCTCTGAGAGAAAGAGCTAAATGAAGCCCTTCCTCTATTCTCCCGTCGTATGTGTTGCTTCAAAATAGCAGACTTATTGTAGGGGAAGCAGCAAGTTGCCAAAGGTTTACGTCAACGTTCTGCAGCAAATCCAGGGCCCTCTGGGGTGAAGGTTTTAGATGGCCTGAGGTCAGGGCATGCGGAGAGAGTACTAGAGAAGGCCAAGCGTCGATCCCCACCCACATTACCTGCATGCCCACGATGGCGTAGATGAAGAACAGCATCGCGATCAACAAGCAGACGTACGGCAGAGCCTGCAGCGACACGGACATGAGTGATCACATCACAGACATTCTGAACAAGTTCTTCCTAGGCACAGCCACTCTGAACAAGTTCTTCCTAGGCATGCTTTGCATGCATTTTTACCCCGGATATCATAACTTGCTATTGCAAATTAAATATTCGTTCTGTTAGTTTGAAAACCAGCCAGGTCTTTTTTGTTAGATGTGCTCACTAAATCACAAACGTGCACAAAAGTAGTTGTTTATACGAATAGATGCGTAACAATGCATCGATTATACAATGACATTGATTTCTATGCTTATAAAATACAAGTGTGAAAATATACTACGTACCATCCATATATATATATATATCACTCGTCTATCATTACTATCATGGTTGCTGTTCTCTTGAACTTCACTCATTGAACCCTCAATCCATATTGAGGCCTCGGCCTATCAGATTCCACATGTGTCATCTCATCCACACTGTGTCCAACCATCACCACCACCACTGCCGCACTGCAGGTCACCTCTCACTTCTCTATCAGCTCCTTTGCTCCCACTGCTCCACTCCGGAATTCCCTCTCCCGTCATCTGGCCTCCCCACACTCTTCAAACATTACCTCATCTCTTGTAAACTTCAACGGGGTTGTTTGTTGCAGGTTGCTTGACATCTCGGGCCTTTGGGTTGGTGCTTAGCAATGGTGATTAGAATAATGATAATCAATATATATGTATATATAAGCATCTGGGCTGTACCTTGAACGACTGCAGGAACGTCCAGAGGAGGATGCGGATGGTGTAGCCCTGGCGTAGGAGTTTTATCAAACGTGCTGCCCGGAAAAGCCTTAAGAAGCTTAGGTTGATGAAGTTTTTCTGTAAGGAGCAAGGAAAAATGCCTGGAACATAAGAGACTTGCCAACGGCGAAGGCCATGGCACAACGACGCACGCCATTCATGGAAATTCAAAGATGCTCTTTGGTTCTTTCGGTAAAGTCACGTAGGTATAAAATAAAATAAATCACGACGTTTCGATTGCAACACAAGCAATCATCATCAGGTGTGATTTTCCCACCTGATGATGATTGCTTGTGTTGCAATCGAAACGTCGTGATTTATTTTATTTTATACCCACGTGACTTCACCGAAAGAACCAAAGAGTATGGATTCCTGCAAGTCACGAAAGCTTCAAATCTAAATCCAAAGATCTCAATTTAAAAGCATACTTTTTCATCGCAGACTTTTCAACGATAAAAGTTCAACAGTCTGACGCGAATCTCTCGTCCGCGCGACAATTTATGGCTCTCCGGAGTGCTCTCAAGGTTGCACCGCCCGTTGTTCGGCAGGATGTCCGACGTTTCGTTGTGCGTGCCCACGCCGGGAGCTTTCGTCAGGAATTGAATTTATTAATTCAGGAAGTGGAATTCATTTTTCGATTTAAAGCTTTCGTGACTGCAGGGATTCATCTTCATGGTTCTTTCGGTAAAGTCACGTAGAAGGGAAATAATAAAATAATAAAAATAAAACATAATAAAATAATTCTCACGACGTTTCGTCCTCAGGTGAAGAACAGGTCTGTCGGGAAAACGCTGAACAATACGTAGCAGGTGTCTTCACGACAGACCTGTTCTTCACCTGAGGACGAAACGTCGTGAGAATTATTTTATTATGTTTTATTTTTATTATTTTATAATTTCCCTTCTACGTGACTTTACCGAAAGAACCAAGAAGAAGTGGAATTCAGTTACGGAAAGAAGCTCCCGTACACGTGGAGAGAAACGTTGGCCACACCATATCGGACGCCACACGATTACGAGCTGAAAACTAGTACGTCATGTTTCTGATATTAAGGTGGAGGTAAGATGACGATCGCTTGTGTTGTGCATGGCAAGTAACCCAGTCACTGCCTTGCAGCACGAGAACTGCTCAAGGCTACTGTCCAACACTGACACTCGTCCGCTAAATGAATGCAACAATTATAATAATCAGCAATGCTATGAAGCCACTGCAATTAACATCTTGTAATCTAGAATATATAAAGACAGAAAAGGGTCTATGGACCGGTCAAGCGATTTAAAGACCGTTATGCAGGAATATGCTGTGCATTCACAATTAAAATTGTACATCAATGCCACTCTTCGACCAAATACCAAGCAGCATTTTTGCCACAAGTGCTTTTTGTCCTAATTGCTGTTTGATCTCTTGGCCCAGTATTTATAAACCGCTGCCACCACATCTCTCCACATTTCTCAGTGGATTTTTGTTTGTTTGCTTTAACACTTGTCATGACACCTGCTACGTATTGTTCAGCGTTGGAAATGTCACGTGTTCTGTATAATACACGATGTATGTATGTTGAGCTTATTTTCGCACCGTACGTAGCCATTCATGCTAATTCGAGGTGCGGGGGAGGGACAGTAACATTATAACTGAACGCGCCTGCTGAGAAATACATTTGACTTTCTCGCAAAATGTAATTAAATGTTTATAGAATATTTACATATATGGGTTATGGCAGAGCCACTGTAACCTTTTTTTAGATGCGGCTATGAGATATGCCGCAGCATAACATACAAAATGGCTGAGAAACACCCACAACATTTTTAGATACGGCGAAGATACCCCACATAATATTTAGATGTGGTTAAGGGACACCAAAGAAAACGTGTGTGACCGTGCACATGGTATGCATACACGGAGAGCTGTTCACAATTCAAGTCAAAGTATATCTCTACATATTTACAAAAATAACGATTAAAAAAACTAGATATTTTTGTAACCGCAATCAAACCACCGCAGTCTGCGCCACAATGAAGAGGGACACAAAAAACCACGACGTACAGATGAGAAGAAAGTGTGGCGTGAATATGCATGTGCGTATGTAGACTTTATTTCGCACCGTACGTAGTGAACCGTGCTAATTGAGGCACGAACATGAACGTGTGTGGCACCGACTCAACGGGGCGGGGGAGTAGGGCGGGTGGGAAATAAAACCACAGCCACCGTGTGTGTCAAGCCATGTGACTCGCGTGCTCGCGTCAGAAAAGGACCGTGCCGTGTGCATGCAAAACTAACCGGGCCTGGGCTCTTTATGGGAGATGGCGTGGCAATGGCATGGAAGATGGAGGAGAGGGAAGGCAGGGGGACAGGGCAGGACGTGGTCAGGATTGACGATGCGTCGGGTGGATGTGTGGAGTGGTGAGGGGGGGGAAGAAGATGGAGACAAACGCACACGCGCAGAGACGCACGCATGCACGTGCGCGCGCGCGCACACACACTTCAAGAGCACGCATCGAGTCAATCGGATGGTGCGAACGAACATCAAAATGAGTTGAAGTCAGCGATTCATAAAATTTGAAGGCAGGGTCGGAGGGGGGGTAAGAGTATGGTTGGGGGCAGAGCCAGCCGATCCTCCGCACGGTCACCGCTGTAGATGCTTTGCAGAGAATTGATCGTTCGATTCGCACCGCCACTCAGAAACTTAGGTGGGAGAATTAGCAGAGCACTCCGTTTGCGCTAAAAGCGGCTGTTTTGAGGTCCAATTGCAATGACAGGAATAGCCCATCGTGTGCCGAAATCAAACCCATTATTTCAAAAATGCAAGTCTAAAGATTCCCGGTTCATGAGAGCAATGGTGTGGCACTCATTTCTGTTCGTGGCCCAAAAGCAGCGGTGGATGCTGTTTCCGCATTTCCATGGCAGTGGTCAATTTGTATCCAGGACAATGATGGAAAAATGAATCGTGATAAAAACATAAAAAATGTCTTCACGGGTCTCCATTATTAAAGACAAGTATAAAATGAATATCAACGTGATGACACCATTGGAATCTCCTTTGCCAGTAGAAAAATATGATAATTGTTTTTTTACCCATTTATCTGGCAACAAAACTGACGCCTTTTTTTACAAGGAGTCATGTTTGCATATACCACAATACCTGCGGTTGGAATGCAAACAAAAACACAACTCTGATAATGTATGCACTGTCCTTGAAATTGATTGGCCTTCCCCCTTTGTCCTCCCGATGACGATTGCTTGTGTTGTGATCGAAACGTCATCGTTTTATTTTATTTACTTTTATTTTTTCTATCTACGTGACTTTAACGAAAGAACCAAATAATATGAATTCCTGTAGTCACGAAAGTTTAAAGTCAAAATTGAGTAATCGACAAACATAAATGTGTGATCGACTGATATTCGAATATGGACAAACTTACCCCAAGCTCCGTGACGAGAATGTCTGTGATGCTTCCCAGCACAGTAACGAAATCGAACACGTTCCAAGCATCCCGAAAATAGTTCTGTGGAGACAAACAAGCATCGACTTACAAAGGTACTATTACAAAAAAAAATCAACATGTTCTGCTTATTGAAGCAACGAAAAAACACTTGGCGTTAAGGTCAAAGTGCCTCCCTGCTGAAATGTACAATTGCACAGCGCTGATCTCCATTGGCAGCTTGGGACCAGTGGTGGGTATTCCACATGCCGATGGTGGGAAGCTGATTGTCCATGGCATGACGACTATTCAGGGCTTGAGTTCTCATGGAATATATACTCTTAGTTTTTTCGGCAAAGTCACGTAGGTAAAAAATGAAATTAAAATTAATAAAAATAATAATATAAATGCAATAATAATAAATAAATAATAAGCAGAAGTGGAAGGCATATTTATTTATTTACTATTATTATTGTATTTCTATTATTACTTTTATTAATTTTAATTTCATGTTTTGCCTACGTGACTTTACCGAAAAAACTAAGAGTATGAATCCTTGCAGTCACGAAAGCTTCAAATCTATAATTCTCATGGAATATTTTCTATAGCCCCCCACCCCCACTAACCCCCAACATGACTCGAAAATATTTTCTAGAGCTCAGCGCTGGACCACTCCGGCTGAAATTAAGCCCTACTTATTAATGGACTCCCTGCAGCATTGGAGTGATAGGCTAAAGTTGCGCAGAGACCACGATTTTGAGCTCACAACCTGTCAATTGTGAGCACAGCGCTTTTAACCGATGATAACACGCCGTGCATAATCCATCATCCCGTTAGCATACCGTGCGGGGGAGCGTACCAGAATTCCAAACGCGACAATCTTCAGTTTGCACTCCAGAAAGAACAGCACGGTGAAGATGATGTTGAGGTTGCGCAGAATTTTCTCGTACTCAGGTGAAGCTTCGTGGTACTGCAAGAGGGAACAAAACGCTGCACATACAACTATACCAATGAGCACAATATATATTTTTGTTACAACTCAAAGAGAGCCCGATACGAAGCGCTGATCACAGAACGGAGGGAGGGGGGGGACACAATATCCGCAAACAGCATCCCCCGAGTTCGGTATGACAGGGCTTAATGAAGTGGGGGAGAATTGGCCACACTGCTCCACCCAGGTGGGGAACCACTAACGGGGACGTGAATGCTCATATATGGGGAGGAGAAAATGGTTAAGGGAGAAAGATAACTAACATATTGGGAGAAAGAGAGGGACAGGGGAAGAAGGGGAACCAAGGGGGGGGGGAGCACAATTCGTTTTCTTGGTTCTTTCGGAAAAGTCACGTAGAAGGGAAATAATAAAATAATAAAAATAAAACATAATAAAATGCAATTCAAATGACGTTTCGGCCACAACGCAAGCAGCCATCCTCAGGTGAAGAACAGGGCTATCGGAAAGACAGCGTCCGACAGCCTGCAATCACGAAAGCTTTAAATCAAAATTTGAGCACAATTTTCTTTTTAATATCACAATTACCGAGCACAGGTCCAAAGGTCCAAGACGCGCAGTGGGCAGAAGGCAGAATTCATTATATTTAATACGTTTCTTGAATTTATGACGGTTGTAAGAAAAGGTAGAGAAAAGAGAGACAATGAGAGGGATTTAAAAGTCGGGCTATATGCGAGAGAAGAGCAGTGTTGTGACCTGCACCATGGGGGTTAAACACAGAACTGTATGGGTTGAGACGGAGCGTTCGGTCCGATCGTCTGAATTCTCAACATTGGGTTGAGGAGTCAACGAGCAAAGTTCTTGCGAATGGTGACCACGATAGCAGCGAGAGAATGACAGGGAAAACCAAAATGATGCAAACGCAAAGCTATGCGCAATGACAGCTTGTGGCGGAGGTGTGATGCAGGGAAGGTGGTTTATGAGAGTATTCAGAATGCGACGGGAAGGATGTCATGAAATCGGTGGTTGCACTATTTTTTTGAGGAACACTGGTCTGGAAATAGCCAGCATCAGTACAAGATTTGATGTCACTGCAAATTAATTATCCATTTCGTTTCGTGAAAGTGTCACCTAAAAACTGCAAAACCCATGATGAAATGTGTCACCCTCTCCACCAAAATAGAGCCACAATCTGCCACTTAAAAATACATGTTTTAAATATTTCAAGAAAACCCCACACTGAAACTTTTAATTGACTCAATGGCAAATATGACACAAGCCCATAGGTCCCAAACAGACTCTTCAAGGCCAGGCGCTAGGTGTCCTGGCTACAAACGATAAATAATAATTTCGTAAAAAGAGAGAATGACTCAGTAATGTGAGGAATCACACAGATAAGCGGGAAGGCAGCCAGGTGGAAAGGTGGCATCAACAATTGCCCAAGCTCTGCGGGTCCTCTATATATGAAGATGTTTTCAGCCAATTAATAAGTGTTTACACGTGGGAGGAAGCCGCAGCAGCCTGAAGAACACCTACACATGTGAGGGGGGGCAACACTATCCCACACAGATGGAACGATAGAGGTCAGTCAAACATGTTGCTGGTCTGCGTTCTCATGGCAAGCCAGGGTATGGTTCCTGCTAGAATGCCACAACGTTTATGTGCTCCAACAACCCTCGCAGCCTCCGCAGTGCTGGATTACAGGCGCAGGCCACCAGTGCTTGGCTATGCGTGTGCGTGCATGTCAATTAACCCCGAAATCGCAACTGATTTCATGAATTGTCAAGATTCAGGGTTGCAATTCAATTCAAGGACAGATTCATTTTTGTCTAATTTTAAAATCTCATTTGCATTGTATATAATTTTCTTTTGTCTAATACAATTTGTTCCGTCCATTAGCCTAAATGTAACAAGAGCATAACATTTGCATGTAATTTCCATAGATCATAAATAACCGAGTCTCGCACGCACATTTCTAATGCACGTTCTGCTAGCACAACAATAAATCAATTAAATAAGGCATCATTATATACATATCCACAGCTCCAATCTTCAGTTAGCGTCTCCGTGTGTTCACGGTCTCATATACCTCATTTACATTGGCAAATCCGAACATTGTATGGTCCTCACAGTACTGCTGGTTTTCTATTGGCTATTTTTCATGCTAAGCCGGAACCAAAAACGGTGGCATGCTGGCCTCACGAGACGTCTAAATCTGGTTCAGGCCAAGCAGGGTCAGGGCTAACAATGCGTTCACTGCGTGTGGCATCAGTCAAGTTCGCAGGTGACACAGCATCGCCACGTCATCTCCATGCGACTCAACTCGCTCAATGAGTGTGACATCAGTGGCACGGCTCGTGTCCTGCAATGGAAGAACAACCTGGGCACCTCCTGACCCGTGCTGCGCTCGTTTGGAAACAACTCCGGCGTGGCTCGGTTTGTACAGCAAGAAAATTGGCATTTAGTGCCGCCACCACTGCAGCTACGGATCGCAGGCCCTCTCTAGAGTGGCTCCCAGCCTCCATGATGCAACCCACCCAGTCACCCCACCCAGACCCACGGCTGGCACGAAGGGAACGGGTGGGAGGGTTGGAGGTTGGGGTCGTGATAGGGGTAGAGATACCTTCATCATGAGGACGATGGTGTTGAGCGCGATCATGGCCATGATGAAGTACTCGAATGGCGGGGACACCACGAACTTCCACATGCGGTACTGGAAGGTGTTCCTGTTCTGGGGCATGTAGCGCGTCAGCGGCTTGGCGCTCACCACAAAGTCGATGCATGCCCTCTGCGAGAATAGGACGCACGAGGGACAGGAGTGCGAAGGCATCGGTAAATGGGAGGAAAGCGAGAGTGGGGTTGGCGTTTAATCGCAATGCATTAGTGCGTTCGGAGATGACCCGCGGTGCCAGGGTTTGAGCAATGAGTCAGCACCACCAAGATCCCTGCGTTCAAATCTGGACAGCAATTGGGTGAATAAATAAATGTAAAGCTTTAAGTCGAGTCATATAGTGAGGGCAAAAAAAGATAAAGGTTCAGCCCTGCAATTGCATGCTCACCCCACTTGCTTGTGGCAGGGCCTCCACTAGAGGCATATTCACAGAGCTCTTCTCTTTTCTTAGTGAGTGTATAAGCACTCATTATTTGGCTGAGATACATTTCCACATGATAAGCCACTTCGTTGAGCTATCATTTGTGGCCAGGTCGCTTTTGAAAAATATAGGCTCAGTAGAGCCCTACATGGTAAAATAGAAAATATATGTTTTTTTATAGTTTAAAGTTGTACTTATAAAGTGGCTGTATTATCTCAGAATTAAAAACCAACGTAGGATCCTGAAAAAAAGTCCCTGGGCTCATTGTGGCATTCGTGGACACATGTTTGGAGGGTATTTGGCTTACTCTTCTACGCTGGCCAGAAAACTTAGAAATAAGCACACACTTTACCCCACCACACCCTACCAACCTGCCGATCGACTAACTGTGGTGCACTCATTTATACTAAACTATAAAACGCTATTTGATTTTACCAGGTAAGGCCCGCTGAGCTATACAGCTCCTATTCAGAAGTGACCTGGCCACAAATGACAGCTCAACGAAGGCGGCTTATCATCGTGTGGAAATTAATATCAGCCAAATACTCCACGTGATCTCGGGGAGAACATGCAAACTCCAAATATACAGCAGGGGTCAAGGTCGGGATCAAAGCCATGACCTCCTGCATACTTGGTGAGGGAGATACCATCTCGTCCTATACTGCTTGGTGTACAGGGATAGTGGAGAGATGGGTGAATTGAAGAAACTTCACCCAATGTTTCAAGTGCCACGTCAGGAGATAGAATAGAAGCGGCGACCTCTGGATTGTAATTAACTGTGCATGCGAACCAGTCCACCGTGGCAACGGCTCCACCACGAACACCGGTGCACCACCAACCTCATTTTTCTCCAAGCTGTACTCGGACATGACTTTGTCTCCTTGCTCTTGGAATGTGATGATGATCAAGGCCACGAAGATGTTCACGAAGAAAAATGGGAAAACGACAAAGTAGACCACGTAGAAAATAGACATCTCCATGCGATAGCCGGGGCTGGGGCCTTGCTCTTCATAGGTCGCCTCCACCGAGTGCCTGAGAACTCTGCACAGACAAATTTAAAAAAACATTATACAATAATTGGTTTTTTACCCTTCTATCTGGAAACAAAACTGACACCTTTTTACAAGGAGTCATGTTTGCATAGACCACAATACCTGCAGTCATAATGCAAACAAAAAAACATAACTCTGATAATGTGCACTGTCCTTGAAGTTGATTGGTCCACACCCGAGACAGCTTTCATTAGAGCCTAGTCTCACATGGGTGTTTTGTTTGCATTATGACTGCAGGTATTGTGGTCTATGCAAACATGACTCCTTGTAAAAAGGTGTCAGTTTTGTTGCCAGATAGAAGGGTAAAAAAACAATTATCATATTTTTACTGGCAAATGAGGTTCCAAACATTATACAGTTACTACATTGTAGCCGGTGAAGGTGCAGTCCTTCACGTCACTGCCAGTGCGAGGTTCTCTGTGCCAGAGGGAGGCTCCGGAGAGCCCCCCCCCCCCCCCCCCGTGCCTGCTGTGGGGTGTGCGTTTTAAAACGGGCACCCACTCTGGCCAGCCTTCACCAGTGGACACCGTGAAGAGGGTGAGAAGGGCCCACAGCACGTTGTCGTAGTGGAAAGGGAACTTCTTCCACTCGCGCCTCTCCGCCTTGACCGCGTTGTCCTTTCCATAGAGCAGGTAGTAGCCACTGGAGAGGAGTTAGAATAAACTTTTAATTCGTTCACGTTCAGAATTCCATCGTTATTCGCTAGGGATACACGCTCTGGAGATTCTCGTGAATAGTAAAACGTCGTGGATAATGATATTGGCCTATAGATATTGCACAGCACAACGTCTGCAGATGCTTCTAAAGCTTCAAGAAGTTAGCTCTCTCTCATCTCTTTATCTCTCATCACTGTATCTCATCACTTTCTCGCATCACACTCTCGCATTACATTCTCTCTCGTCCCTTTATCTGTCATCACTTCATCTCATCAGTTTCTTTCTCTCTCTCAATGCAGTCGCGTAGAGTTCCAGATGTGATTAGCGGATACCTAAAATCGCGAATAGCAAGTTCATGAATAACGAATGAATGCTGTATATAGGTTAACATCTAGTGTACATCTGATTGATTGTTTCTATGATGTCTTGACATACGAAGATGGGTCAGGTGACACTGTTTTAATGACTCCCTGGATTATATTCAGACTTCCAATATCTCAAGCAGAAATCCACCCATATGGAGACCCACAGACTCACATAGATAACCATAGACACACACAGAGGCCCAATGAGAAATTTAAATCTGCTGGCAGTGGCATAAAGAGCAGACATGCAATCATCATTAGTGCCTCTCTGTGTGGTGATGGTAGTGTTGGTGGTGTCAATGCTAGATTGGCCTCTGTGTAGGAGGTTCGTGAAGGATGCTGCTGGGGAGTTGGAGACAATCGACCTCCAGCAACAACGGAGGGCAGAAGAGCGACGCTCTCAAAAACGAGCGGAGCGCCGGACAGCTAAAATGCAGCAAGTTGGCATAGTGGGGAGCACAGTTGGCGCATCTGCCAGCCATCTTAAGTCAGTCAATCCATGGCACCTGGGTCTATTCCATGACTTCCTGCCAGCGGGCCTCTGACAATTCACGTGGCCTCATCGTGCATCTAGCATGGCACAAGCGCCGTGGTGACGTCACTGCCACTTGCTTCACCTGCACTCCTTCTCCAGGGCCTTCGAGTTGTCGGTGCAGTAGAAGAACTTCCCCTTGAAGAGCTGCACGGCGATGACGGCGAAGATGAACATGAAGAGCATGTAGACGATGAGGATGTTGAGGACGTTCTTCAGGGAGTTCACCACGCAGTCGAACACGGCCTGCGCGGGGAGGAGAGAGCAGCAGCAGAAGGGCAGGAGGAGGGTGAAGGAAAGAGACGTGCAACTGAATAGATTTTTTTTCTTTGGTTGTTAATGCGACCGATATTATCCATTCATAAAGTTTTTTGGTTAGATAATGTAAGTATACATTTATCGTAACCCTCCATCCACCCGACACAGACTGTAAGGTTTGTCACGTAAACAAAACGCGCCAATTAGTTACTACTTCAGCCCACCGGTGTGTTGCAGAATAAATCCACAACATTTACAACTTGAGTACACCGTTTTGCTGGTAATTACATCCAGCATCATCGGGCGATTTGCCAGAATAGTATCCATAATAGAGGTTTTTTTCAGTTAGATCGCGGGAATATAAATGTGTCGATAAACCCGCCAGCACCTGACAGAGCCAATTAGTAAGGTTTGTCACGTAAACACAATATGCTAATAATTTACTACTTCAGCACACCTGTGTGTTAGAGAGTAAACCCACAACAGTAACAATTCCGAGTACGACGTTTTGCCAGTAATTACAACCAGCATCATCAGGTGGCAGCCAGAGTTGTGGAGAAATCCTCCTGCTGTTTCGGTCTTAAATAGAGGGATAGATGTGATGTCGTTACTTGTGAGCCAATCATGTGCCAGAGGGAGGAGGGGTTAATGTTGATCATTCAAATTATGCAAATTTAATGCTTTCGTGGTTGCGCCGCGCAGCTCTGCGACGCGTCCCCCCCCGTCCCCCAGCAGGATGTACAGCAAAAACGTCGGACACCGTGCCGAACATCACGTGATACCGACCTTACCACGTCGGAGAGCCAGGTAAAAAGAGACGTATTACACGTGTCTTATCTAAATTTACATAGTGCCTTATTCCAAGGCGTTTTACAGCAATTATACAATTGTACACGATCTGATTGTGGTTGAGAGTGAGTGGGGTTGTTATTCAGAGTGGTGGTGTAGTTATGGTGACATGAGACCAGGTGGGAGTGGTTAAGCAGGAGTTTGGGTAGTGATAGGGGCAGAGGTAGTGATAGCAGTAGAGGTAGTGATAGGGGTTGGGGTTGTGATAGGGTTGGGGTAGTGATAGGCGTTGGGGTCGTGATGGGTGTAGTAATAGGGATTTCCGTAGTAATATGGATTGTCGTTGTGATAGGGGTAGTGATCGGGCTAAGGGTAGTGATAGGGGTAGGGATAGTGATAGGGGTAGTGATAGGTGTAGTGATAGGGGTAAGGGTATTGATTAGGGTAGTAGTGATAGGGGTAGGAGTAGTGATAGGGGTAAGGGTAGTGATAGGGGTAGGGATAGTGATAGGGGTAGTGATAGGGGTAGTGATAGGGGTAGTGATAGGGGTAGTGATAGGGGTAGTGATAGGTGTAGTGATAGGGGTAAGGGTATTGATTGGGGTAGGAGTAGTGATAGGGGTAGGAGGAGTGATAGGGGTAAGGGTAGTGATAGGGGTAAGGGTAGTGATAGGAGTAGGAATAGTGATAGGGGTTGGGATATGCCTGGTTGTAGCTCAGGGGCAGGGAGTAGCAGTAGCAGGATAGGCTAGGGGACAAGATATTTGGGGTTGTTGTAATGCAGGAACGGAAGCAGGTTAGTGAAGGTGACTGTTTGATGTGTTGCAGTGGGAGTTTGTTCCAGTGAAGTGGAGCAAGAAGGGCAAATGAACAAAGCATAGACACGTGGCTATGTGATCCAAACCACGCACACGCACACACATGAAATCAGCACACACAGATACCTCATATGGCTTCCATGTTGGGGGAACCACTGTTAGTGAGCACCTATTAAGGCTGACACTGCGTATCCAGAGGTGGTCTGGTCAGCACCACACCTGGCCCCAGTGATGATGGTTACACACCAAGTACTCATTTAAGGGTGATTTTACCAATCGAAATTTTCTGGATTGATTCAAATATCGCTCGCCACCGATGTCTGCCGTGGCCAGGAATCAAACTCGGGTCACTGGGGTCTTTGCGCAGTGTGCTCACCACGACGTCACCGTTCCCAAGTAATGATCTCATTTCACTCGAAGGAACAAGGGATGTGGTATTGATGATGAGCTACACCTGGAGTCAGAAAACTGAATAACAAGAAGAGCCGCAGTTTTAGAATTGAGAGCTTCTCGCAGCTGGAGTATTGCAATCATATAGACCAGGGGGTCAGCAACCAAAATAACGAGAGCCATTTTTTCTACAAATTCGGTAAAAAAAGAAGATCCTTAATATTTCAAGAGCCCCAATGCATGTGAATAAGAGATGGTGGTCCTTAATAGATAACCTCACGGAGCAGTCCTTAACCCTTTCCTGCTCCGAGCCATCCGCAAGTTGCAGGGTGGCTATCCCGAATCTCGGAACGCGCGAGCGGCTAGAGTTAATTCTATTTAAAGAGGCGCAGTAGGGCCATTGTTTTTAAAGACATTCAACTGTAGCGACACGACCGCCACTCTCTGTGATAGCTGGCGCCAAGCTGTGCCACGTGCCCTCCCCGCAATGGCGTTTAACTTCCGGTTACGCTTGGTGATGTGTACGCATACGCCACCGCAATGGGAGAGGGTTAAAGGGCCGCACGCGGCTCTGGAGCCGCAGGTTTTTCCGACCCCTGAGTTACGCTCATCGCATTGTAAGTGGTGCCACACAGCGGTCAAAGTACAGGTACTCCTCTACTTACGAACGAGTGAGGTTCCAGAGGTCTCAGCACTTAGCACTGGTGTAAATTAATCTCAGTGTTTACTCATTAATGCTCAAAGTTAGGACTTTGTCAGAGCTGACTTTCATACGCTTCTTGTCATTCAGGACAGAGAGCATATGCATATTAATCTGCTTCTTTTATCTCAATCGCCTTGCCATTCCACCACCCACTTGGGAAGCCACTTGAACCCATCGTGACAATCGCACAATCGTTGTAGTGTATATATACATCGTGAGTCTTTTTAAGAGGGGCGGTTAGAGTACAAGGATTTCTCTACTTACAAACGAGTTAGGTACCACAGGTCTGTTCGTAAGTCGATGTGTTCGTAAGTCAAACTTTTCTCCAAACGTGTTGTACGGCATGTACACTTAACACGGGGAATGTCTTTAAAAGTTGTGTAATCTCCTGTCGGTGAAGATGCCAATGGTTCTTCATGTTCTGCAGTTGTAGATGCCGCCATCGCTACCTATTGCTCGGCAGTTGAACTTACTACTCTCGGTCCAAACAGGCAACTGGACATACGGACAGGTTGCTTCGTGTCTCTGAAAGTTTGTAAGTCGAATGTCCGCATGTTGAGGAGTCCCTTTATGGGCATTGCATCTGAAGATGCTTGAGTGGTGGAGAACTAATTCTAATGAGGATTCAGGTCATCCATGCTTGGCCATTTTATTTACGATTGCAATTTATATATAATATATTATATATATTGGACACAGACAAATAACTGATTGAGATGCGATATTGGCACTAGAAATGTATTGCTACAGAAGGATACTGCATCTAAGCTGGGCCCAAAGAGTGACCAATGTATAAGTAATAAAAAAGGTTGTGCATAGAAGAAGGCATTGATGAGAAGGAAACTGGCACTATTTGGGCACACATGTAGGATGGACAACAACAGAAAAACGTAAAGTGTGTTCTTGTTCGGGAAAATGGAAGGAATCGGAAAGAGAGGAAGACCGAACAGAGAATGGCTTGATGATGACGACATAAGAGATCGGTGCCAGAAAGATGTAGCCACTACTTGAGAATATTGGCACAAGACAGAGGAAAGTGGAAATCAGTTACGAAATGTGCAGTGGACACCTATTGGTGATCGGCCCATGTATTGTGAGGATGATTATTTTATATATAGATATCACATAGAATATGGCGAGTATAGCTAATCAACAATTACAGTACTGTAGTGATATACATTAAATATTTCCGCAATTATGGAGGAAGAAAAAAAATCTGAATCTCTATTTATCCTGGAGTAGTCCGATGAGCTATGAAGCTCTTTTCACAGACGTCCAGTAGGGGGCGGGTCAGAAATCAATGCATGAAAGACGACGGCGGTCATACCTTCAGCTTCGGGAGACGTTTGATGGTCTTCAGGGGCCTCAGCACACGCAAAACCCTGAGGGACTTGATCGTATTAAGGTCCTTGCCTCCCTTGTTGCTGGAGGTAGCGACGGACAAACGCACACACGTGCACACACACACACACGTTGCCACAGGGAAGTGAGATAATGAGAGATAATGAGGAGCTGTATCACAGCCGAGAACAGTTGCACCACATGCACTTGAGGCAACTGTTCTTCTCGCCATCGCTCAAATTATTAATATTTGGATGGGGGGGGGGAGGGCGGTGGGAGGGAGGGGGCGCGAAGGGCGGTGGGGGTTCCACGCCTTCGTCTGTCTTCTGCAGCCATCATGCTTTGACTCGCCCCAATCTGAAACCATAGGGAGCGTCCTTCCACTTTGATTCGGAAATTCGGACTCACGCTCTGCGTGACAAGACCAAAACAGCGGGGGGGGGGGGGGGGGGTGCTACAAAGTGGCACGTGAACAAGAACGGCCTCGATGGTGCCTGTGGCGTCAGGTTCGGGCAAGTCAGAGGGGCGAAAGTTTCTGTTGCAAGTAGCTCTTTATAATTCCCTTCGTTATGGCTTTTTCTCTCTCTCTCTCTCTGTGCATCCGGTGCCACATGCAAGGGAGCATATCTCTACGTGAGTAATGCACATTCTTTTTTTTGTGGGTGCCTCCGGGCATGCTAGGAGTTCTGCCGTGCAGGGGTGGAGAGGTTCGGAGGTGAAGAGGAGGGGTGGTGCCGTGCGGGTGGCTCCGTGGACATTTACCCTGCGGGAGTCCTGTGTTGTGTTTTCGAGGTGAGTGAAAATCAAGGGGACGTTGGATTTGAAGCAGAAGAAAAAATAACACGAAGGCGTTAGGGGGAAAGCTAAAAAGAAAACAGAAAACACATCACATCTTTCACTCACACAAAACAAAGACAAAGATTCGCCCGTATAGCCTTAACAGACTGTTGGGGCAAGTGCTATTAAGCGAGAACCTATGAAGGCCTGAACGATACACGAGGGGGTGGGTGGCCAGCACCATGCTCGACCTACTCCTCTCCCGAGTGCCGATGCTTACACACCACACCAGGTACTCATTTGAGGCTGAGTCGACTTATGGAAGGCCCAGTACCGTTTCAGATAATCGTCACTGGTGTTGGCCATGAGCGGGAATCGAATTCGGGTCTCCGGGTTCGTAGTACAGCACGCTAACTGCTACGCCACCGCTCCCCACTCACACGCACGGAGCACGCGGATACTCATCTTCTCGACAGGCCCAGGACTGGACACCTGGGGCAGAATGCCACGTGGGGCCTCCATTATTCGTTGGTGTTAAACAAAACAAATGGCCCATTTTGGGGCCCCTCTATGTGTTAGACCCAGAGTAAATGGGCCGTTTTTATTCCACCCTCCAAATTCTGGGTGGCACTGCTTCTCAATGTCAAAGGCACATTACCGAAAGACCCAAAGAGCACACATTACAAGTATTTGTAAGCGTTACATAGGGACAAACACAAACTATCGTCCAAGTATTCGTTTTGCTAATATTTTCTCCCCATTAAACACATTTATTTTGAGGTCATTATGCCTCAACGATGCCTTGCATCAGGCAGGAGTTGGGGGGTGGGCTCAGCCCCCCTTCTGAATTCTCACAGTCAAGTTATAAATGCTGGTCCAATAATAATCACCACCAGTGGCAGGAACTCTCCAAAGTTCACCTTTTCGGTGAACACCGATAACCACATGCAGTCATAATACAGCCATGTACTCATAAACACAGGAGGGTGGGAGCTAGAGCGGAACACACAGGACATACAAAAGCAGACAGCATAGCTTGTAATTCTGTTGGGCATTGAATATTTCTTTAAAGTTTGTTTAGCATTGACTGTGACATGTGTTCCCCCCTGAGTTTTTTGTATATCCCCCAACCCCACCCCACCCAACCTACCTGTAAACACGGTCACGTTACACGGTTGGCTAACACGGCAGGTGCACTCACAATACTCTCCAATAAACGTGGTGTTTTTATATTTGTTACACTACGGCAAAAAAAAACCCCGCGTCTGTTGTGCAAGTGTGTCCGCAAACTACTCACGAGAAGACGTATGCCATCAGAGCACCACTGACAACAATGAAGTCCAAGATGTTCCACAGGTCGCGGAAGTAGGCTCCGGGGTGGAAGACCAGGCCCAAGTCGATCATCTGCCAAGCACGGCGTTGCATACGAGATACTGTACCAAATAAGACTGAAAAATTAGTATATATTTATTTAATCTACCACTCTAATAGTAATAATCATGAAGAATAATATGCAAAGAGAGGTGGGGAGTCTGGAACGGGCTGCCCAAACGTGTTGTGGAACCTGATTCACTGGAAATATTCTAGAAATTATGTGATGAGATTCTGGGATAAATTTGTTACTTATGTATTTGATATTGATTTTGTATGTAGGATTATGTATGCAACAAAATCCCAATTAGTCTCGAGAGAAGGATACTGCTGAGGGCTATTGCTTTGATCGTGATGGTAAACTTGCAGATGAGACTGTCCAGGTTTTCTTGAGTTCTCACCTGGTTAAACAAATCAACTTGAACCTGGGTTGCCTCTAAGATAATAAATGAAATGTATAGAGTGCCCTTAAACAATTGTTCTCGAGGCGCTATATATAAAATCATGGGAATGGGAATATCTGATAATACCAGAAGAGGGGAGAAGAACATTCCAATTGTTTTGAGAGGTGCATTATTCTTAATAAAGGTTTATGGGTTAGATCACGTAAGTATAAATGTGTCGTAACCCTACACCACCCGGCACAGCCAATTAGTAAGGGATTTGTCACTTAAACAAAACGCCAATTAGCTACTACTTCAGCCAACCAGTGTGTTGGAGAGTAAATCCACAACATTTACATTTTGAGTAGTACGACGTTTCGCTGGTAATTACATCCAGCACCATCGGGCGATTTGCCTACGTGTTAAACAGGTGTATTATTACACATTTGGCACAATCGGGACGTTTACGGTACCGGGTAGGGCATACAGATAGATGTCTTAGCGTAGGGCATACAGATAGATGTCTTAGCACAGCTGTCTCAAAGGGAAGATGATCCTGGGAAAAAAAATGGGACCGGTGGCAACCACGGTCTTGCCACTTTGGGGTGTTTGGCTTAATGAGTGCGGAAGGAAACGCGAGAAAGTCCAGACGCATATCAGCAGTTGAAACTCAGTGCTGTCGTCTCGTATAAGTTAAGTAAACATGTAAATACGGAGCCCTGCAGGTGCTTGTTCAAGCCACACTGCAGGCAGAAGAGTTTCCCGCTCGAGGGAGCTCTGGATATTTTGGCCTACTCTTCAACGCTGGCCAGACGCCTTGGAAGTGATGCGAGCACCCGCACTTAAACCTCACCGCACGCGTCTTTACTAATCGGCCGTGGTGCATGCAGCGCGTACTGAGACAAACGGGATTTAAGAAACTTGACGTTATAGGGCAGTGCCAAGAATTTGCACGAGCGCTTTCATTAGTTGCACCTGTTAACTTCTTCAAATGCAATATACTTATACCAATGCACTACGGTAATTTGCATATTTTGTTCATTCATGTGCACTTCCACTTGCAAGCAAAAAATGAAGTCTGTTCTTGCCCACCCTTGCTGGAGCTCGCATGAGGTGTACGTGAAATTAAAAGTGACGTATGATGATGAGGATTCATACTTTTATGAAGAGCTCAAAAGTGAACACTCCGGTGAAAACATAGTCAAAGTTTCTCAAGATCTGAAAGAGAGGGAAACAACACGAGGAGAGACACAGCAACGTTGAGTGCAACATCATATCTGCCCGAGTGAATCATTTATCAAACCGAGTAATACCCTCCTTCTGAGATTCGCTATATGCATGCACTGCAATTTCTGACAATAAATAGAGCAGCAGTTATGATTTTATATTTATATTTGGTGGTTAATTTAAAAGTTTGCCATCAACGCTACGACACTTGGCATGCAATAGCCTAACTTTTTTCGAATTACGATCCAGGAGTTTTTTGTGGGCGTACTTTCAAGGAACGTGCAACTCCACAAAAAGCTAAATAGCCATTGCTGCTGAAACACATCGGTGCACAAAAGCATCAAAGGCCGATTGACAAGTAATATAATTGATGTTATTCGCATGGAGAAATGGACTTTGCAGGTCCGTTCACTACTTTAATGAAAACAGACCACCTGTTTGTTCACTGCACATTCAATTCACACGGTACAACATCGCAAATTCGACTCGCTGAGAACATAGGTATAGGCGGATATGCGAAAAGGTCGGATAGGCGAACATATATAGATACTCCCAGTCGCAACGCGTAGGAAAAGGTCACAGAGCAAAAAACAAAAAGGGCTTTCTGCTGTGAACGTGGGGGTAACGTGTCGCTGTGCTTTAGACGTAAGCGAATTTGTAAAAGGTCAGATTTGTGAACATCTGTCGAGAAAACAGCAGCTACAACCATGCACAGACAACGCTGCGCCCTGTGCGGGCGATGAGGCGATCGCGGTGAATATGCGACGGTTGCACCGAATACAGGAATCAAAATGGACGTCCTCTCCGTTAATTTCGCCGTTCGTCACAATGGTCTTTCACAATTGGAGACAACCTGTTCCACGGTCTTCCCTGCAAGTTGCAAAAGCACAACGGATGTCATCGAAGTGGCGGACGAACGGCCCACAAAAGGCATCCCGGCTTGAAAACAACAGTTGAAAAGATCCATCTCAGGGCCAAAGTAAAGGGAAGTGCCGTACGAAAGACGAATAATATTTCACAAGAGCTCAGAGTTGGTTATATTTTGTAGACACACGCCTATGCTGTGCATCCCGGATAGCCCTACACAAGTGTGAAGCATTGTTAGCGGGGGGGGGGGGGGGGGGGGGGGGGGAAGGACTTTATGTTATTTTTTAAGTTTTTTTTTGCTCTACCAAGTGAGAACTCAAGAGGTCAGGTTAGAGTAGTCTCATTTGCAGGACTGACCTGGGTCACCAAAGGGACGAAAGTAAAAGTAAAATACAGCAATGAGGAAAAACTGAAATTAGCGCAAAGCTACTACTGTGCATCACACGAAAACATCGCACAAACATAAGTCAATGTTAAATAACAAATGGCACTCCATTGGAGCTTTGATCTCATGAAGGACACACAACTGAGGCAAATATCTATAAGATATGAGCTACTTGATTTTTGTTCTGGTTGGCATGTTTCTGTAACGGCCGCTCCACCCCCCCGCCCCCGCGCTTTGTGGCTGAGATTTTGAAACTTCTGACTCACTTGCTTCATTGCATTGAATAGTCGCGAGTCATGGATCAACATCAAGGAACCAAGAGACGAAGCAACGTCCAGGACGAGCAACGGTTGGCTACGTACGTCGCGAACCTAAAAGTTCAACGTACGTACGTAGACATAACGCGACCTCCGGCCCCCACCTTGTTCCAGGGCGAGTCTGCCTCCACGGGGTCTTCAGCGGCGAGCGCGATGCTGCTCATGGCTATGACGAGCAGGATGCACATCTCGAAATAGCGGAGGGTGACGATGTAATGGCACAGCCTTCGGAGCCTGAAAAAGAGCACAGATTTGTTAAAGCACGACGGCCGTAGCTCGATGTGTACGTAAGCGCGTTGAACTTCTTTCGCACCGTACGTAGCTGACTGTGCTAATCGTAGATGTGCGTGGGGGGGGGGGGGCTGGTCAACAAACTATGGGTCTCTGTGTGAGTCTATGGGTCTCTGTGTGGTGAGTCCATGGGTCTCTGTGTGAGTCTATGGGTCTCTGTGTGAGTCTATGGGCCTCTGTGTGAGTCTATGGGTCTCTGTGTGAGTCTATGGGTCTCTGTGTGAGTCTATGGGTCTCTGTGTGAGTCTATGGGTCTCTGTGATGAGTCTATGGGTCTCTGTGTGAGTCTATGGGACTCTGTGTAAGTCTATGGGTCTCTGTATGAGTCTATGGGTCTCTGTGTGAGTCTATGGGACTCTGTGTGAGTCTATGGGTCTCTGTGTGAGTCTATGGGTCTCTGTGTGAGTTTATGGGTCTCTGTGTGAGTATATGGGTCTCTGTGTAAGTCTATGGTTCTCTGTGATGAGTCTATGGGTCTCTGTGTGAATTTATGGGTCCCTGTGTGAGTTTATGGGTCTCTGTTTGAGTCTACGGGTCTCTGTGTGAGTCTATGGGTCTCTGTGTGAGTCTATGGGTCTCTGTGTGAGTCTATGGGTCTCTGTGATGAGTCTATGGATCTCTGTGTGAGTATATGGCTCTCTGTGTGGTGAGTCTATGGGTCTATGTGTGAGTCTATTGGTCTCTGTGTGAGTCTATGGGTCTCTGTGTGAGTCTATGGGTCTCTGTGTGAGTATATGGCTCTCTGTGTGAGTATATGGCTCTCTGTGTGGTGAGCCTATGGGTCTATGTGTGAGTCTATTGGTCTCTGTGTGAGTCTATGGGTCTCTGTGTGAGTATATGGCTCTCTGTGTGAGTATATGGCTCTCTGTGTGGTGAGCCTATGGGTCTCTGTGTGAGTCTATGGGTCTCTGTGTGAGTCTATGGGTCTCTGTGTGAGTCTATGGGTCTCTGTGTGAGTATATGGCTCTCTGTGTGAGTATATGGCTCTCTGTGTGGTGAGCCTATGGGTCTCTGTGTGAGTCTATGGGTCTCTGTGTGAGTCTATGGGTCTCTGTGTGGCGCAGCCTATGGGTCTCTGTGCGAGTCTATGGGTCTCTGTGTGGTGAGCCTATGGGTCTCTGTGCGAGTCTATGGGTCTCTGTGTGGTGAGCCTATGGGTCTCTGTGTGGTGAGCCTATGGGTCTCTGTGTGAGTCTATGGGTCTCTGTGTGTCTATGGGTCTCTGTGTGGTGAGCCTATGGGTCTCTGTGCGAGTCTATGGGTCTCTGTGTGAGTATATGGCTCTCTGTGTGGTGAGTCTATGGGTCTCTGTGTGAGTCTATGGGTCTCTGTGTGGTGAGCCTATGGGTCTCTGTGTGGTGAGCCTATGGGTCTCTGTGCGAGTCTATGGGTCTCTGTGTGAGTATATGGCTCTCTGTGTGGTGAGTCTATGGGTCTCTGTGCGAGTCTATGGGTCTCTGTGTGAGTCTATGTATGTGTGCACGTTGAACTTCTTTCGCACCATACGTAGCCAACCGTGGGCGAAGGGATACAAAGATATATGAAGCAGACACGTTCCTGGAGCTTCGTGCATATATTTAAACTTCGTATATTTAATAACTTACAATATTAGCACTTTGGGGATGCGTTCTTAGCCTTCGTAACTTACCACTTCGTACTGTAAGCACTTCATAACTTGCCAATCATGTTATAAACAAAGACAATTTGTATTGAAAATAATATCAGATTTTATATTGTACTGTGTCAAATCAGCTACAGTATACAGCTTTAAGTCAGTGCTGTAAGTTCCAAGTTCCTATGGCAGGGGCGAGACTCACCATAGAACAACCACTGTTGACTAGACATCCGTGACAAGGAGCTGCACTCTTCCAGTGTAAATCAAACATCTGATTCTGACTTCCCTACAAAGTGTTACTCACTTTATCGACCCCCAAAGGGACGATGGGCCGAGTCAACCCCCCTCTCATACTCTTACAATTGTGAGCCGTTCGCTCTCCTGCTTAGCCACACTGTGACAACGCCAAGCTGCTGTGGGGCGGACAGCTGCTGTGGAATTGTGGGAAACATTTCCAATGCAACATCGCGTTCAAACCAAAACGGTTTCATTTGGGTTTAAAAGTTGAACGCACGAGATGGCCTGAATTGAATCGTGAGGTCATGACACACCCCATTAAATAGTGTGCAAGAATGTATTGCTTCAGCTACCCGTTCATTAAACATCTATATTATCTATTAATTCGTACTATGAAAGATTACACGCGTACCTTCAAAAACTACTAATATAAACGTCAAATTATCCATATTTTGGGTAAGTTATTGAACCCTGCACTCCAAAATACATTGAAGATGTTGCATGCAGGACTTTTAAATGCACGTCAATTGGTGAGATTATTTTCCCAGGAGAAACTCGCCGAGTCTCAACACTATTATAAAGGAGGGGTCCTACACATGGGTGTTTGGGTTTTTTGGCCCAAACCTCACAGCCGAAACCTACAGCATCTTGTATTGCAAAGGAAGTCTCCCACCCAAGTACTAACCAGGCTCAACCTCTGCTTAGTAAATATATACAAGCAAAAAGTGGTCTGAACATTGTGCAAAAGAATACACACAATACCAATGAATACATTGCCTTACATCCTCTACTCTGATTGCCTATAATGAAAATGCCCCAGAATGCACCTGATCCCATCATATCCCAAGAGCTAAGTGGTAGGCTACCGTGCAAGAAACGGCTTGTCACAAGGAACGCGGGGACTACGTTGCGGACAGCGTAGGACAGTGTGGCAAAAATCCATCATTGTACTGTGCTTCTACGCTCCCACATCGATGATACCCCTCCACCACCACCACCACCCGCACACTGGTCAGCGTGGTGACACGTGGTCAAGTGGCTGCGGAGACGTTCACGCAGCGGCGGTTCAGAATCAGAATATTTACTTCGGACTGGAGCAGGAATCCGATGAGCTAGGAAGCTCTTTTTTTCACAGACGAGGAGAGGAACTGTACAGACGTGTGCCGTGTTTAAATATTGAAAGCCACTTTTTTCAACGGTAGGTTTCCCTGGAGGGGGAAACAAAACCGCTGCTGAGCTAAATTAATGTTCCCGTTCGGTTGCTGCTGCAGCCAAGCTTGCTACGATTGGAGTGCGAGTGACGAGATGAGATTTGCAGGTTAAATATATGCAAATCACCAGCAAACACACATTGCCACCCACAGTATATATATATAGATCTCCTGTCTATTTTAGAATGAAGCTCAGCTATTCGAAAACAACCCCGTCAGCAGAATAGCCAGATAAGAAAGCGGAATGAACATTTCCTGCCGCACCCAGCGTCCACTATTCAATTATAGTTGAGGCTCTTAAAAGTAATTTGCTGCCCTCTGTCAATCCAGTGCTGTTTGAAAGCCGTACCCAATGCCACGTTGGTCATGGCGTTTGTTTGACCATACTTCACCATGCTGGTAAGTCACTTAGTGAAGGTGTGGAGAGGTGGGCGGGGGAGACTCAGGATCAATTCGGAAATCAATCACCGCCAATTTGAGCCGTGGATGACAATTGGACTCCCAGTCGCTGAGTTCTTAGCGCAGGGAGCTATAATGTTGACTTCAGGGAGGCCAAGAACCGATTAAGATAATCGCCACTGATATTTACCGTGGCTGGGAATTGAACCCAGGGCATCGGGTTTTGTAAGGAAGTGTGCTAACCACTACGCAATTGCTTCCCACATTCAAGTGATCAGAATAACCATATACGCACACACGCGGTAACCTCTGAGTCAGAGTAAATTAGTCAGCTACCCTGCCCTCCTATGACATCCCATGCAGGATAAAAAAAAGCATGTGCATGTTAAAAACATTAATTCAATAGATCAATTTTAATATGACATTTTCTGGAGCTCTCCGTCCACATAAATGCCAAAGCCACATAATGCCTCATGTGTAGAACATTCTTTTTTTCCAAAGCCAATATTCACATTAACATTTAACATGAAACATCGGGGTCGCGCGAGCGACTATTCACGACTCCACATCCGCGCGCAATAAACGTGTCCAATGAGACTCTACTTTTCCAATCGTAAATGTTTTATACGTGCAGTATTTGAACCCCCGGCTCTCGCGTAAACATTATATTATAATGTAAACAAAAACTTTGTTCTTTTTCACCAATGGGTTTGAAGGATGGTGGCAAGTGTTGTCTTGTTAAACTATGCCTTTAAAACTGAAAACTACTTACCTGCAGTACCTCTATTTAAATACACTATCGAAAAAATAATTTACACCCCCCTGTCAATCATCGTGTTTCTCAGTGTGGATTTGTGAACACACTTTGTAAACAGTACATAAAATAGTACGCGTTTACAATGCGCTGTTCATATTGTAACAAGCGTTTATACCAATGTTACTCTACAGAGTAGTGGGTCGCCGCTCCTCTTATCCGCATTGATATGAGCGGTATGTGGGGACTATGGCTTAACCGCAAAAAAACTTATCTGCACAGAGGTAATATGATTGTCATCGATTGATCCTGGCTGCAGACATTGGTAGGTCACAAATAATAATGAAGATAAGAGAGCAGTTTCACTGTATTATGCATACCGTTATGACAAAGGATTTAAGTCGTGTAGGCAGTTCGAGCAGCTTCGGATAAGACTTATGATCCTGCCCATACCCGAGTATGGAGTGCATTCGCTTGTTCAGCTCTTCTGCGCATTCGTCCTCGCCGCTGCGTTTGGACATAACACGACAACAGAATGATCTGCGCCAGGCGGGTCGCGGCGTTTATGTGCGCGGTGGGACGGAGTCACCAAAATAAAATGATTTCATAACGATTTTGACTTCCGTTTATTCGGGACCCCGGGGTCCAGCCATGAGGTTCATTCGAACGCGACCAGGTGATAAAGGCATTTTCAAAAGGTCCTGTACTTACGGGTTAGTGGAGCTGAATATAAACATGGAGCTGTACGGCAGGATGGGCTTATGACGTTTGTCATCATCGTCATCATTATCTCCCTTCTCGTCTTTCTCCTCCTCGGCCACCTCATCCGGCTTCTTCAGTTTGACCAGGGCGCCGATGTCTGATCGGAGGAGTGCACAAATGACACTCGTGAAATCCAACACCCTCCGAAGACAATGGGCAGGAAGGGTTAATAAATAAAGAGACAGCTGTCGTCCAGTGTGCATGAATAGACGAACACACTAGAGCGTATTTAAACCGCCTGACAAATGCATTTGTGTACAAAAGAGCTGGTTACATTTTTTTTAAAGATCAATATTGGTGGCGTGCACTATGCCGTATAGAATTTCTGCGTGTTTGTTGGTAAACAACACCATCTGTGTTCTTGCGTTTAACAAATGCAGGTGACAGAACATATATATATGTAAATAAAAGATACGAGAAAATCCTTTGTCCTAATTAAAAAATACGTACAATGAGCGTGATGCTGTGTTTATTTAAGTTTCCATCGGAAGTCGTACATTATTCTTGGAATGGTCATTACGGGAGTATATAAAGAAAATAAATATTTTTCAGATTAAGAGGAAAATTGAAACGATCAAAAGGCTTCACATCACACACATTAATCCATCCGCAATGCGTAATAGTTATGCTTATTGCTCGCTACCCAATAACCCTCAGTCTTAATGTGCTTTACCCGATCTAACCCCATTGGCCTTTTCACACATCAACCGCACGCATTCACCACAGCAGAACATTGCTTCAGTGTGGCCACCAAGAGCCCAATTCTGTCGCAGAAGGCCTATCTTGCGATATTTATCATTGACGAAAAAAATCGAAAATTAACAGCACCCTTTTGCCAATCCACTGCCGGATGAAAGCCTCTCACCATGTCATCTCAGTCACAGGGGTCATATTTGCCCATACTTCACCATGCTGGTCTTGGTGAAGATGGGAGGGCGAGGGGGGGGCATGACTTGGTTAAGAAATCACTCTCCACTGATGTTAGCTTTGGCCGGCAATCAAAGTTGAGGTCGCCAGGTTCATGTTCATAGCACTGCTTTTTCCACACTTTTCTTTCTTTCTATAAACCATCATTCGCCATTAAAATGCATAGCAAGCGTCTGTCGATTCACATAATGGGCACGTTAGAGACCACAGTGATGTGTGAACGCTGCCATTCTTTAAAGGTCAAATGCGATTGGAACAATTTTGTCATCTTCACGCTCTTATTTGATTGCCCGTATTGTCTGCGTCGTTGTGGTTGCCACTTTGAGAATCGGCAGCGGAGTGGGCCGAGCAACTGCGCTCCGAACCCGGCGAGGCGGAGTCAAAACCAGCGTGGGGCTGAAGTCGGTGACAACTATCTCAACCGGTCCCTGGGCCTGCCTCTCCCTAGCTCGCCCCAGCCTCACGTGGGCACTCGGCGCGGCGGTGCAGCCACCAGCACTGGGGTGGGAAACAAAGGTGGCCAGGGGTTGGGGTGCTCGCCACACCACGGCCTTCATAAACAGGGAAGCCCAAAAAGGGGAGGGGTTGTGGAGGAGGGGGGGCATTTGACATTTGCTCCGGGCCTCACGAAAAGAGTGTCCCACAACACGCCCCGTTGTATTGTTGTTAATGAAAAAGGCCTTCCCCCTCTCCCCCCATCCTCTTCCCCAGCCTGTCTCCACCTGACATTCTGCAATGGCCTGTCGCCCGAGGCCTCCATGAATCTATAGATGGGCCCGCTTAATAAATAGGCTGGCTCGCTCACAGTACTTGTCCCAAAGGTGCATCTAGAGTACAGCGGAGCTCTTTATCTTTGTTGCTGCTGCTACTACTGCACCTGGCGCATGGGCAGACTCCCCGGAGGGCCCCGTAATCATGACAGGAATCCTCACGGATGGGTCCATCTTGTTGATCTTCTGATTGGGCAGCTTACTGCTGACGTCCGTCTTGTCGGAGCTTTTCAGGTCTTCCATGTGGCCGGCTTTACTGCTTAAGAAAAAAAACAAAAGCAGTGAAGAAATAAAAACGTACTGCTTAAGAGAAGGAAAACCGATAAAATAATTAAAACATATAGACAGTCGTTTTGTTAAGAGAGAGAGAGAGATGTCATTCTAAAGATGTTATAGAAAGGCTAGAAAACCAACAATGTGTCACATATATAAACAAGTAATAATTATAATAATTTTGATTCATTTAGCATCTTAATATGAGGAACATATATTTAAGCTGTACAGGAACAAATAGTTATACCAAGTAACATCATAGAAGTCGACGCTTATAATGATATAAAATACGAAAAGCTACATTTTTCATCTTGCCCTGCCTTCAATGTTAGGCTAACATTTGAACCGGTTGTTCATTGAACCTTGGAAAGTTTGTGTTGGGTTAACGTAAAGGGTGCTCCTTCCAAATATGACATACGGCTTGGAATAACTCACCTTTATCAGGTTATTTTTGTAAGCGCGCATTGCAAACCACGTTTACCAGCTACGAACACTCAACCAGCTGACTGCATAGGTCAGAGCCATGGTGTTAAACTTCGTAAGAAAACACAGCACAAGATGCCCTTTCGGATTCACCTTTTTAAACAAATCTACGTCACCTGTGCCGTTGACCTTACACATCAGGCTTACTGTTCTCCCGGTGATAGTTTTTTTTCAGAACTGTGCAAAATAACAAACAAACAAAAAAAATCCCAGGGGAAGGAGGTCTCACGACAGGACAATCACACACGAACATTCACATCGTTTGAACCCCAAGCCAAAGCGAAGTGCTATCTGATGAGATACCGGGGTGGGTGCATGTTTTAGAAGGCTACAAATGGTTGTTGTGTGGCACAAAAGAAAAGCGAAAATATTGTTTTTTGCAAAACCATCGCATCTGCTCAATTCGTCTCTTGAGCTCTGCTCTGCCACACTGGGACACGTGGTGGGTGGGGGGGGGAGTATTTACATGTTGATTCATGCAGCCGCTAAATTACCGATTGTGATGATAATGCTGCAGCAAGAAACGTGTGAAATCATAACACTAATCATTCTCCAAATTACCATATGAAAATTGTAATATATGTTTAATTCGGCATGTAACAATTCAATGATTCTTACCCCCTCTTCCCAACCCTCCCCCCTATTCACCCCAACCCTGTCGTATTTGTTCAGTTTTGGTTGCTTCTCTAGTCTGTGCATTCGTTGCATAAATTGCAAACACGGTGGAACTCCTCCGCTCATCCCATTACGTGCGCCCTCTATTCGTGCACATGGCCTCCCATTGCCCACGTGTCCAATCTTCGCATTACCCGCACGTCTACACGGATAGGAGGAATAACCCGGAATTCATTGAAAAAGTAGGCCTATTGTGAGGACTTATCCACAGTTGTTTTGCGCCCCATTTAATTGCAGATGCTAGATGTTGCACAATTTCATCGAATGTACCGTGAGTGTACAAGAATGAGCTTTATTGATCAATGGATTGCTGCGGAGTTACAGACCCAACGCCCGCGCACGCAGCGAGGCCCGTCACCTATGGCAGTGGGGCTGAGAACGGGCCACGGGAAAACTTCGTTTTTATTTGTGTTGTGTAACCTCACCTGCGCTGACGGGCCTCCTTGGATGCGGGGTCGTCACGGCAACGACCTTTGCCCTCTTCCTGCTCGTCCGTCTCGTAGGTGGAGTGCGCGCGGTGGCGCTGCCTCTTGCCCCGAGCGAGGTCCTCGTCCTCCCCTTCCATCCCCTGCACGGCCAGGGCAGGTATCTTTGTGGAACACAAGGCAGTGTGAGCGACGGTGCAAAAAAAGACAAAGATCCCCCTCCCTTAAGCCTTAAGACTACTATTTAAACCATTTTTTTATCTTACCAGGTAAGGCCCACTGAGCTATATCACTCTTTTTTATTTCTTTAGAACTTCTTTTTGCATTTAGTTTGTTGTCCTTCCCCCCGCACCTCTAATTAGGACGGTTGGCTACGTACGGTGCGAAAGAAGTAAAAAATACATAAATACAGTATTGATGTGACCACAAATGATAGCCCAGCGAAGTGGATTATCTTGTGGAAATGTACTGCAGCCACATACTCTAAAACGCATGTTGATTTTAAATGCGGAGGGAAAAAAACGGAGGACCCGGAGAAAAATGCACGCAACCACGAGGAGAACGTGGAAACTCCAAATATACAGGTGTCAGGGTCGGAATCGAACCCACGACCTCCTGCATACCAAGTTGCAGCGGCAAAAGCTTTTGGAGCAAGTGCTTTTCGAGAGCACCTATGAAGGCCCGCATGTCACACGAGGGGTTGGGTGGCCGGCACTACACCCGGCTGCCTTTGTCTCCCGAGCGGCGATGTTTATGCACCGCACCAGGTACTCATTTGAGGCTGAGTCAGTTCAAATATATGCCACTGTTATTGGTCATACGTGGGACCCGAACTCACGTCACCGGGTTCATAGCGCAGCGCGGAAACCACTGGACCTGCGCGCAGCGCGCTAACCACTTTGGACAACCACACACACACACACAGCGCCGACCACACTCGCCATAGCCCAGGACCAGATAGACCCAAAATGTACCCAATCGCATCGCAACTTGGAAGCTAAGTAGGGCTTAGCATGGATACATGCTGGGCGACCACAGTGCTGAACAGGTGCAAAATGTGGCATGGCTATGTGGCAGGCAGCGCAGGTCAGTGCAGCGGAATATATTGTTCTATTCAACTCTCGTGCTCCAAAATCTATGCTCTCCGCCTTTACCGAATCACAGTGTCCAGCGCGAGCATGGTATACTCAAACAAACTGCCACAACCAACGTGGGGTGTGAAGGCCTTCATCCAGCAGTAAATGTTGCAAATAATTAGTCGTGAATACACAGCAGAAAACACACACGCATATCTACATTTATTTATAACACAAACGCTCTTTGATCATCTTGGGGGTAACAACAACATTGCCACATTTGATGGGGGGGGGGGGGGGGGGGAAGGAAAAAGAAAAGAGGAAAAAAAAAACTTTCGAACAAAAGTCGTCCAAACTCGTACCGGGCGCAGATCGTTTGGCCTCCGCAGTGCCCGCTGCTCGCGATCCTCCTCCAGCGCCTGCTCCTTGGGCTGCCTGCGCTGCTTGCCACCGCCACTATCGGCCGCCCCTCGATCGCCGAAGGCTGCGACGGCGACGGCCACGGCGCTGCCGTCGCCGCCTCGTCCGGCCTCGGGCAGGAAGGGAATCCTGGCGACGCCGGCGGCGCGGGCCACGTCGCTGACGCGGCGCCCGTCGCAGGGTGGGGGCGACACGGTGAGCGGCCGGTCAAGGTGGCTCTTCATGTCGGGGCGGATGTGCAGCGACGAGGCGAAGCGGCGGCGCTCCTCGGGGTCGAGCTCGCTGTACAGCGCCTCCGAGCTGGCGCGCAGGTTGATCCGCCGCAGCTCGTTGGTGCGCTGCTCCCACACGGAGCGAGGCTTGCCGCCCTTGCCTTGCGCGTCCTTGCATCTGGCGTGCGTGCGTGCGCGTTGCGAGAGCGCGTTGCGGACGACAAAGAACGTACGGCGGTTAGAGACATCGCCCGAACTGCGAGGGAAAGATGCCGCCGCTGCTGGGAGGGATCATGGCCCCGATGGTCAGGAATACCGAAGACGGAGGGGCGACCATGGAATGGAACGTGTTTGGGAGTACGCCCGCCAACGGAGACGGAGCAATGGAATCAGCTCGTGCGCAGGTGGATTATTGCATCGAAGGCCCACGGGAAATGGTTGCTTGGGGAGGCCTTCATCCAGCAGTGGTTTGATCATGGCTGATGGTGATTCATGTTAACAAGTAAAATGATGTTGAATTGGGGATGTGTAAATAACTGGTGTTAAAGCCATTCGAAAGCGGGTGAAGCCCACTACGAGCGCATAAATAAAATGCATCCATACAACAGTGCACACAAATAAATAATTTTCTCGAACATAATAGAATCCGGTAATGACAAAACAAACTGTAAAAACTCCACCGATGTTTCTACTGTTAAGAAACATCGCACGTGTGATTTAGCCGCGCGCACCGCAGAAGGTTGACTGGCTCGCTCACTTGCTTTGCGTGTCTTGAAGCGTGAAAATAATAATATACAACGTGGCAAATAAACACCGACTCCCAATTACAACGGGGCTACATCGGAGAGACATCATTGCAGAAACGTCAGCCGAGGAGGCAAGAGCAGAAGAAGTGCCAGAAAACAAATTAATGAGTATGTGCCCAAATGCACTGCAGAGATGGTGGGTGTTGTTGATTTTAAAATGGGAAAAAAATTCACGTTTAATAATTTAACATTTACCGAGCAGATTCTAGCAACATTAGCCGTGCGGACGTTCAACACGAGTTTTCGCCACATCAATAAAATGCGTAATGTACTGGAGCAGAATGGCAATGCTTCATTAGGCGCGCTACATTATTTCCCCATGATTAGCATCGTGAATGCATGTTTATCGCTACATTAATTTACACTATGCACATACATCCGATGTTATTACGGACCCCCTACTTCCAGTTGCCCATTCAATAAAGAGATCTATTTGATGGCCTAATAACACAAACTGGCTGCATGCTAAATGTTCATTGGAAAATGTAAAAGATTAGTTGCCAACATTATGCTCCATCTATCAGTGCTCAACAGCATAACTAATCACCTGCCCGTGGCAGCAGAATAGATTGGATGCATTTGTCCTCCAGGTGATTTAAGTTCGTTACGCAACACTGCGCTTCTACGTGTGAGACCCACAAATAGAAGCGTTGCGAGCGAATGTGTGTAGAAGAGTTCACGTTAAGATCGGCAACAGAAGCAGAGGACAAATATTGTCAGGCTTTTTGCCTTCAGTGCTATCGATGAATCTCAAACGCGTTGTTTTTTTCAATTGCACAATCGGCTTCATGTGATGAGATAGAACGCCCTTCTTGGAACTCTCGCAACACCAGTGCCTCGTCCTGTGTTAAAACAAAGAGAGAGAAAAACGCAGAAGGAGATATCCAAACCAGGGCCACTGCGCTTTCCCAATTGTCCTGCTAGACTGAAATGTCTGCCACATTACAGCCAAACTTAAACGCTTAATTATCAGAGCTGGATTTCGTTTGAAAACTTTATAAAAAAAATATTTTTTTTTACTTAATGCGATGTTTCTTTTGTGCAGTCATTGGTGGCTGGACTGACACAACTCCATCAACAAAGAACCCACTTTAATCCTTCGGTAGCGGCGACCCGGAATCGAACCCAGGCTCAGCACTCGGCTCGTGGGCCAACCAGCCACCTCCCCAAAGCTCAACCCCCTGAAAGGATTCACTAATCACACCCTGCACTGTCAATTGGACACAATACACCAGCTGCATTGGGCAAGTTCAATTTGAGAAAGACAAATATTTGCAGATGGCATGTACTGAAGCCCCACGTCATGTTTTAAGAGGTTTGAATTAGCTACTGATTCGTGTGGAGACAGTCATTGCGGTTTTCTTTTCGTCGTTACACGTATTTTGTCTTTCGTCTCATTCCACGTGATCTAAATATTAATATGCACCTAGGCCAGGTGAAAGACTACGACTCTATCACCCGTAGCACGCAAACAAATCCCATCGGGTAATAAATGCCAGTGCAGGAAGGTGGTTCAGGAACTTAAAACGAACCCGGGAACGAACCTTGGCTTCATTCGCCGAGCATCATTCCCCTACGCAGCAAGCAAGTAAAAAAAAACCTCCTCGAATCAGCATCCCGCTAGAAGTCGGCCGCCCCTGAAAACAAGAACCGACGGGAGCGCCGACGCGACCGACGCGAACTCACAGGGCATTTAAATTGAGGGTTGACGTCCTGGGCAGAGCGGAGAGGGGGGATTGATGACGCCGAGCCACGTGCGGCGAAACGTGCGTCAGCGCATGGGTGAGAGAAGAGCACAACAAACACATCGGCGTTAAAAGGTCGCCCCGGTCAAAAGGACGCCGGCGGTGGCGGCGGCCAATTCGACCGGGGGCCCACAGGCGACGTTTCTAACGTCGGGAGGAGAGGAGAGAAAAAAATCCCTAAACCCGTCGTTTTTTTTTCTCTTTTTTGATCATTCTTTCCAAGCTGCACTGCCGCGCAACGAACGGTTCCTGTAAATCTGCAACCTGATTTGCATGGTCGCATTGTCTCTGGGGGAAACGCTACCGGGAAGCGGCGGCATCGTGCGCGGTATCAGGGGGTCGTTTGTTGGGGCCAACAGCGCCAACAATAATTGTGGGGTAATTGAATCAAGACGGGCGGGAGAAGAAAGAGTTGGCAACGATTTTAAAACGCTCGGGTCTCTCTGTGGAGACGCTAAGGTTTGCGAGCGATGTGTATCTACTTATTTGTAAACTGTTTGGTTAAAATGATAATTGTTTTTTTACCCTTCTATCTGGCAACAAAACTGACACCTTTTTTACAAGGAGTCATGTTTGCATAGACCACAATACCTGCAGTCATAATGCAAACAAAAAACACAACTCTGATAATGTATGCACTGTCCTTGAAGTTGATTGGTCCACACCCGAGACAGCTTTCCTTAGAGCCTAGTCTCACATGGGTTGGACCAAATGAGGTTCCAATGGTGTTTGGTTAAACTCATTGTGCGCTGCTGTGGAACGTCACGGGGGAGAAGGTGTATAAACAGACCTACGTTGTTCTGTCTCCACTTAATGATACAATGTTTAAGATATTGGCCTACTGCCATTGCATTCAATATCATCCATCAAAATTTCTTTAACAAGCCAGACCCCGCTAATGAGACCAAGAAGGTCGAAACCGGTCCAGAGTTCGCTTGCTTACACAAGTGCCGCTGCGGTAATATTGGTCTGGAAAGCCAATAGGTTGACGGACTAAACAGATATTGGACTTGTATGAAGGGACGCATACCAGAGGTCTGTGTATTAGATGTCATTCAGGTCGTATGACTGATACCCCCAAAATTTAAAGAGGCACCATTCAGCCAAATGACATTATCGTGCTTTTGGTTGTTCTCCCTCTAACTCTGTGTGGTGAGGGACCTACGCTTCAATCGCTGTCGACCTTTGAAAGTGATCTCGCCGTGACAGGCTGCCATTCACAAACGTGGCCCACACGCGTTCAACAAAGGCAACATTTCACTGCTGGACTTTGACCCACTGCCCATACAGAGACGGCCAACGCTGTGGCCAAGAAACACCCCCGTGGCACGCGATCTCACCGGGTCTCAGAAACTACGCAAGGCTGAGTGAAATATGTGGTCTGCATGACGATTGGGATGTGCCAATTGGTCAAATATACAGGGTGCTTAAAAAAAACATGTTAACACTTACGTGGACCTATCGTTTTGAATGGAAAAAGTACACGGATAATACACTGTAACATGATAACAAATCGAATGTTAATAGCTTCAAAAAGTCAAAGAGTCACCACTTATTCGCCATCATTGTCAACACATGCCTGGAATCTTCTCCAAAGACCAGAGGCACATTTCTCATGGTATTGTTGCAATGTCTCAGAAGTGTAAAACATTTTTTGAAGTACCCTGTATATTGCGCCGGTCGGACCTGTATATCGTTAGCGCTCGTGTCAACGTAAAAAAAACTAAGTCCAAGTTTATGCCCCCTCTTGATTTGCTGCCTAGGAACAAATAAACCAAACTCACCCAATAGTGTCCCGTCTCGCAAGCTAAGCAGGGCCGGGTCTGGATAGAGCTTCGATGGACGACCGCATGTAACTGGTGTTATGTTCTGTGAGGCTGCATCGTGGGTTGTGCATGAAAAAAAATCCATTGTAATGCTCCCATGTCTATAATTCCACCCCTTCTCCAATCAGCACTGGCCAATACGGGTGAAGTATGGTCGAGTAACCCCCTTCCCACGGTGTGGAGAGGCCCTCATCAAGCAGTGGCTTGACGGGGGGCCATAGACTTGGACATTCAGATAGTCAAGGCATTACGCATTTCCATATTTTTGTAGAAAATCAGTACATATACGTGATCCGATGCAAAGACGTGAACTCCGCATCAGGTTTACAGGATTTGGCACCCATATGATTTGAGCTCCACATCACCGCTGCTTGTGTAAAATACTGCTGCCAGCAACGTTTCTTGCGCTGACACACACACACACCTGTAGATACGATCACGCAATAAATTGCAAGCACGGCAAGGTTAAACATGGCATCCTTGAACAACAATAATAACGTTAAAGCCACACGCTGTTATTATATTACACCAAGGCCACACATGCATCAAATCACATCTAACAGTTGAATGCGAAGTGGTTGGAACACAACTGGGATTTATTACAGATCGGGTTCTCAAAATGTTGTGAGTCGATGGTCTCACCCCGGCCACCAATGACTGCACATAAACAATACAAATTTGGTTTTCGCTAAAGTTGCCCAAATTCCAGATATGAGAATTTAAATACATTCGTTCGATTGCCGTGCAAATGAAAATCGTTTTTTTCCCTCCTGATGACGATCGCTTGTGTTGTTTTATTTTATTTACTTTTATTTTTTCTGTCTACATGACAAAGAATATGAAAACATAGCAGTGTGGGTGAAAGCCCCTCCTCCCACTCCCCTGCCCCCCTCGCCCCGCCCCGCCTAATGTGTTGACATAACAAAGGCCTCCTTGAAGGCTTTTTGCGGAGTAAGTTGAGTGAAAATATCTCACGGCCATTCGCACACACGCGGTGTTGCGCCGCTCGCTGAGATACCCCGATGGATTTTTTGGGGGATTACGAGACCGGTAGAGAGAGAAAAAAAAGACCAACACAAATATTTAGAGCATGGGACCTCCTTTGCCAGTACCAAAATATGAGAATAGGTTTTCGCCTTTTTTCTGGCGACAAAACAGCTGTTAAGATGTTAAAACACCAAACTGAAACCTTTTAACCTGAAACGCCTTTTGGCGTCTTCTGGTCTAACACCGTTTTGAGACTAGGCTCAAAAGAAAGGTGTCTCTGGTGTGGACCAATCGGTTTAAAATACAATGCATATAGTATCAGAATACGTTTTTTTGTTTGCATTCTGACCACAAGTATTGTGGTTAATGAAGACATGATTCCTTGTAAAAGGTTTCAGTTTGGTGTTTTAACATCTTAACACCTGTTTTGTTGCCAGAAAAAAAGGGGAAAACCTATTCTCATAAATATTTAGTGCAAAAAAATATACACCATTTACGATACACTACAAATAGAGGAAACGGACATCTAGAGATTGAAAAGGCTACTTTCTTGGAGCAGAGTATACGGGGGTTGCATCGCACGTGCTCGAGAAGGACATTGAGACGGAGTTGTGACGTAAGTGTAGATGAAGACACCTCGTAGAGAGCCAATTCGTAGGCAGAAGATGAAAGGATTGCAGCCAGTTGCATAATAATATTCCTCGTCATTCACATTGGTGTGCACTACAAAAGCAGGAGAAATATCACTCCAAATATTTAATGCAACTGACCACCAAATCTGGGCTGCAGTGGGAGTCTCAAGCAATGTGCTTTGCCACAGGACAGGAATTTTATTCTGTAGGCCCAGCAGCAGCAGAGGAGCGAGTTCCTAGCAAGCAGGCCGATGTTCATCACATGCATAACCTGTATATCCCTGTGTGTGTATAAACGCGCGCAAGTATTATTAAGGTCATGCGCATGTGATGTTAAATTACCAGTCGAGTTTTGATTTAAAGCTTTCGTGACTGCGGTGATTCATAATCTTGATTCTTTCGGTAAAATCACGTAGAAGGGTAATAATAAAATAATAAAGCAATAAAAAATATAAAACAATAAAAATATATATTTTCTTATTTTCTTATTTCCCTTCTACGTGACTTTACCGAAAGAACCAAGAATACCAGTCGAGTGTATATATTTATTTATACAATCCCATGATTTGTATGCATCCGTCCAGCATGGCACATTGGCAGAGAGCTGTGAGATCCTGAGCTGTGGGTCCACTCAATCTTAATCAGAATCTGTGTTCATCCTGGAGAAATCCGATGAGCTATGAAGCTCTTTGTTGTCACAAATGTCCAGTAGGAGCGGGTCAGAAAGTTACAACAACAAACGCTACAAACAATGATCGGAGTGCAAAGTTACGGGAAAGGAATGAAAATCACTAAAAAAAATAAATACGTGAAATAGATAAAGTATATGATTTTAAATTGCAAGGTACACCAATTCCCAAGTTGGTGCAAGGTTGAAGAACAACAGAAAGAGCAGTCCCAGACCACACCAAGACCACACAAAGTCCCTGAATAAAATTGCACGTAAAAAATTTACTATCGTTATACTGGCAAGGATAAAAAGTTACACATCACATTCCCAAAATGCAGCCGTATCCGGCACCAATCTTCTGCTTCAGCATGTTTCTTTTTAAGGAAGATTTTTTTTTACGACGTTAGATTGTTCCAACAATCAACAATCAATCGTCGAGCAGTGATCATCGACGCAGCGGTGGGACACTTACGCGCTGACGGAGAGGTTGGTTGCCGATATAGGGCTCACTTCAGCCACCTCGCGCGCCTTTTGTATCGCCAACTTCTGCGTCGCCGCTTCTTCCTCCTCCTCCTCATCCTGGCCGGACAGATGCGATCAAGTCACTTGTTAAAGATCGACACCGTCGTCGAGGGCACTTGGCGCGACAAAATGAAGGTGTGCGAAGCAAGCCCGCGTCATCCTTATAATGATTTCATTTGTAGATTTGAAGTTTTCGTGACTGCAAGGATCCATACTCTTTGGTTCTTTCGGTAAAGTCACGTAGATGAAAAATATAAATAATAATAAAAATGAAATCACGACGTTTCGGAGGCAACACAAGCTTCCGTCACCAGTCATTTTGCTGTGGCTGTTCCACCTGATGACGGAAGCTTGTGTTGCCTCCGAAACGTCGTGATTTAATTTGTATTAATATTTATATTTTTCGTCTACGTGACTTTACCGAAAGAACCAAAGAGTATGAGTTCATTTTATAGAGCGTCATTCATGCAATTTCCATCCCTCAACGCCGCAACATCAATTTGCCGGTCGCTTACACAGATGATACGAAAAACAAAACCCACACTTGGCAAATAAAAAAATAAAAGACGAATACATCAATAACGAGATAAACAAATGCACGTAACAAGAAAATAATCATCGCAGAGATGACCGTTGGTTCCATCCCTCCCAGCCAGCCAGCAAAACTTTCTATCTTATATAGAGGCCTGTCTCTCTCCACCTTTGTCTTACCCTATGTGTACTTTATATCTCAACTGATCTCGATTGCTCGCGTTGTCTCTTTCTATTTGTTTCTCCATCCATCTGTCCCATCGTCAACCCTCTCCCTACCTCAATATTCTTCTCCCTCCAGTGGAACTCACCCACCTCCGTCTCCCCAACCTCTCGCCCTGCTTTTTCCCCTCTCTCTTAAGCCCTCTGCACCAGCGTGGACGGCACCCTCGTGTTCACCTTCTGAAGCGCTCGCTCGTCACCGTGGCGTGCGCGATGACACCACAACCACCACGTGACTTTTCTTTTGTATTGTGCGCGGTGCTATTAGCGCCACAGCGCGTCGATTTGTAGCGTTTATTTCAATTTGTGTTGCTGGTGACTGTATTTCATATTGAAATCGCCTCCAGTGCTTTTGCTGCTGGCGGCAATAAAAGTTGTTTAAAAGTCTTACCTCTCGCTCTCTCTATTCCCACCTCTCCCCAGCTCAATCTCTCTTAACCCCTCCCGAAACCTCCCCTGCCCGCTGCTTGTCGCCTCCCCCCGCTCTCCTCTTTCTGTTTTGCTCTCTCTTTCCTCTCCATTTGACAACCCTCTCATGCTGCGCCTGTCCCCTCTCTTCGGTGTCCCTCTCCTACCTCCCACCCTCCTCAATCGCATTTGCGTGGGATACACGGTCAGGATAAATGGCGTAATGGAGAAGCACGGACTGGTCTCAACGCTGTGGAACGAGAGTGACATCGTCGTCGTGCCTACGGTGCGCGAACACGCACACGTGCCCACCCGTGCGCCAGCCAGCCAGCAAAACTTTTCTTTCTAAAATATAGTATTCGAACAAATAGTGTAACGCCGCTCATACAGGGCTATAGCCAATTAAACGCATGCATATATTATAAATACCGTACGTTCAAGTAAATTTATTTTTTATGAACCCGAATGATATATTTAAGCAAAATATTTGCACTGCAAGATGTCATTATGAAAATGAAGAAGGATCCCCAGAAGTGATGTGCTATGAGACATTACTGCTGTATACGTGGATGAGCAGTGGCACGTGGGCTACAGCACTGCGCTATAAATCTAACAACCTGAGTTCAATTCCCAGAAACATCGATCCCAGGATGTTATCTCTCCCTTCATCAAGCTACACTGCCTAGCTACACTGACCAGTACGGTGAAATATTCTTAACAACTGACAACATCTTAACTACATCGTTGGGTATGTAGGAGGTCGTGAGTTCGATTCTGACCCTAAAGGGTTGTATATATGGAGTCTGCATGTTTTCCCGAATATCGCGTGGATTTTTCTCCGGGTCCTCCGGATTTTCCCTCCACATTTAGAAACACACGTTTAGAGTATTTGGCTGCTATAAATTCCCACGTAATAAGCCGCTCCGTTGAGATATAATTTGTGACAAGGTGGCTTCTGAAATAGAGCTATATAGCTCAGTGAGCCTTACCTGGTAAAGTAAAAACAAAATGTTTATAGTTTTAGTGTATTATAGTATTATGAATGTATTGCTTTATGCAAAAAAATAATTTTGGGCTGAATACATTTGAAATTAATATGTATGTACGAACTTCTTTTGCACCGTATGTAGCCACCTCCGATTAGTGTCATTGACTATGTATGGTGCCAAAGAAGTTAAACATACATACATATGTAGTGACATAAGAAGGGAGGGGCTGCTGTAGGCTCTGGGTTCCCAGGTGGGTCCAGACGCGTAATCCCCTGGGCGCCAGGCGCTGGGTTCCCAGGAGGTCCAGACGCTTAAGCCTCTGGGCGCCGCCAACGGGGGGGGCTGTGTGTGCTCTGTGGGATGTCTGGTGGCGCACACGGCCCCACCCCTCGTTGGGGACTGGGCATATAACCGGAGCTCCCTGGACGATCGGCCCCAGTTGTAACTCAAGACCCAAGACCCACGACCAGCCATCTGAAGACCCTGGGATGCTGCGAGAGCCAGCGCTGGGACTCTGGAACTCCCGACGCTACGACCTTGTGAGGGCGAGTTCCGGAGCGTAGCCAGAGTAGAGTATCTAGGCTGTGTAGCTAGGCTGTGTACCTAAGCTGTAGCAGAGTATCAGGACTGTTGGAGCGTTGGACTGTTGAAGTGTTGTATTGTAATAAAGAAGTTACCTCTACAAGTGTCTCCGGAACCTGTTACACATACAACCGTGCTAATCGGAGATGCGAGGGAAGGACAACAAACTAAACACAAAAAAGCAGTTCGAAAAAAATACGTTTTCAATCTACATTTAAAAGCGAATAGCTTCCTAATATCGATCAAGAATGAAGAACATTCCAGACCGCGGCAGAAGCGCATCGGAAACCACGCGATGCAGTGGTTGCCTTTATTCTATGGTTAACCAAAAGCCGCTGTGAAAATATTATAAATAATTCGGGTTTGTTTGGCTTCGTGCCAATATCTAAAGCAGATATTTGGGTGCCGTCATGGATATATTTCCGTAGCCAATTCCCACCGTTCGACTCCCCTTCGCTTGTTCCAGGCCCTCTTGACATCACACTCCGTAGGATCGACGCCTCAATGTGAGCATTCACTTCGTCATCTCACCCGGCTGCGTCCGTCAGACTTCCATAACCGCGGAACCATCCACATTAATGTTACAGACTCGTGACTCATGACACCATCTTCTTGGTTCTTTCGGTAAAGTCACGTAGAAGGGAAGTAATAAATAATAAAAATAAAACGTAATAAAATAATTCTCACGACGTTTCGGCGACAACGCAAGCAGCCGTCTTCAGGTGAAGAATGAGACACTGCCAAGCTTGGAGCTTATATATAAGCTGGGTTGGAGGTGGAAGAAGAGCGCCTTGACAAAAGAATGTGCATATCAAGAGGAATTTAGCATATTCATGGGATATGCTAAATTCCTCTTGCATATGCTAAATTTATCTTGATATGCAAATTATGTTGTTAAGGCGCTCTTCTTCCACCTCCAACCCAGCTTATATATAAGCTCCAAGCTTGGCAGTGTCTCATTCTTCACCTGAAGACGGCTGCTTGTGTTGTAGCCGAAACGTCGTGAGAATTATTTTATTATGTTTTATTTTTATTATTTTATTACTTCCCTTCTACGTGACTTTACCGAAAGAACCAAGAAGATGAATCCCTGCAGTCACGAAAGCTTTAAATCGAAATTCATGATACCATGGCTGGTGCTATTAGGATAATGAGATCCAGTACTTGCCGGCAGAGGCCTGGTGCGTCAATATAGCTGTTCGGTCTCAACGTCTTGCGATGTCTAATCCAGAAATGTTGAAGGCAACCAGTGGGTTGCTCCTTCCCTCCTTATGTATGTGTTGGTCAATTTCAGACATTCTCATTTGCATTCACGTACATAAAATATAACATTTGGCCATGCAAGACGACTTTGCTGAAACGGGTCTGTAGACTTAGTGATGCTTTCTTGGGTGAGCAAATTAATTATTCGCCAATATTATCAAGGGATGCTGCCGGTCGGCGAATTTGACTTGCAATTGAGAGATCGCCCCTGTAAGTGTGGAAACTGCCCTGTGGGTCTCAGAGAAGTGGGGCAGACTCGAGAACAGAACGTTTTGTTAAGGACTTTGAATGTAGCGGCCAGAAAAAAACATTGAGTACGTGGAAGAATCACGAACACCCCCTCCCCACCCCTCCCATACACAACGGCTGAAGTAATCAGGCCCAATCCCAGCACTGGAGCAATCTGAGCTCTAAGCTCAGAAACAAGGAAGGTTTAGACTGGTCTAAACCTTAGACCTGGTCTTGAATACCTGAGCCCAGAACGGCAATGACCTGGCCAACGCTCCCTCCCACCTTGCCCAAGGAGCATCCCTTTCCTCGCCCCGCCTGCTCTGATGAGTCTGGTGTGCCTGATACCGACGAGGTGCCCGGCAATTGCGTCCAGAACGTCAGGATGTTGCGATGTGTGAATAGGAAAAATATTGAAATATATATACAACTATTTTATCGCATCTGTCCACGCAGCAATTGGGTTCATGGGTGGAGCGGGGCATGGGGGGGGGGGCCAACGAGCCCCTCCTCCAAACTGAACACCTTGATTCAGATATCTTCAGTAGTTTACAATGAAGATGAACAAAATATTAATAATCTGCACCCGCGATTCCTCATGTGAGGGACAAAGCAAACCCCTTGCTCCCCCCACCCCAAATATAGAATTTAACACGTAGGCTTTCGCGACCAATATTATTCATAATATAGGTTTTTGGGTCAGATCGCGTTATTTATAAATGTGTCGTAACCCTCCACCACCCGACACGGCCAAACAGTAAAAAGTGTGTCACGTTTTCAAAGGACAAATTAATTGACTTCTCAAATATAGAAGTCAAACTCTGCCCATGGGTTCACCGTCGTCAATCCCCATCGACAGGCGATGTGCAGTGGGGTGACATGAGGATACTTCCAAGTCTGATGTCCGGCCAGTGTGGGTAAGGAGGCTACAGCACTCTCTAGAAGGGCTCTCTCATGAGCGGCTCCCTCTATTGGAATCCCATCTGCGGGTTGAATTCGTGAAAGAAAGAAAAAAAAGAGACCGGTGCATCAAGTATGTGTGTATGCTGAACTTCTGTTGCGACGTACAGAGCCGACCGTGTGGTTATGCTTCCTCTTAATTGGTTTCCCCACCGAGAGTGTCGCTGCACTCGTGACATGACATTTCAACCCCAGAATCTTCAGGGTGATGGATAAAAAGCATTGTGGTCGGCCTTGGCAGTGGGCGCATGTTTAATGGTTTTGACGTTTCAACTGGCACTTGACTTTGGGCTTAGCGTGGAGCAGCACAATCCTTGAATCATTTAAATAGTCTTAGCTGGGATGCTCTGCAGAAATATATTAATGAACATGTAATATAACATTTTCCAGGAAATCCTCTATCTATTAAATCAGACCGATGCTTAGAATATTTTAGGCTATAATAGTTAAAAAAAAAATATTTGTAGTGACTTTGCACGCCATTTGTTCTCACAGCATGTCGAACTTTTAAACCTTGAATTATTTTAATGCGAAAAATAAATATTCCTTTTCGAATTCGTATTGTAGTGCACCCAAAATTAATAACATTTTGACACTTGCAGTGTGCAATTGTGGTGAAACTCCCGACCAATAACTCGAAAAACAATGTAACCAATCGTTTCATATGATTGACGCAACATTTTTAAATTAAACCACAAACACCAATGTCACGATGGTCATAAATAATAAATCGACGCGTGCGTGGGGTTCTCTCAGTCACATATTCACTTTAAGATGTTTTTTTGTTCATGTTTTTTTTGTTTGTTGCGGTTGCACCCGATTCAAAAGCCGAATGGCTCACAGGGCTATACCTAATAAATGAACTTGAACCTCTCTCTCTCAATCTTCTTGAGTTGTCATACACATTTAAACAGATGCCGGTAGACACGCACAGCGACACGGGGGGGCCCTACAAACGGCACGTAAATATTTAACCACAGCCGCCGCTGCCGTCGTCAGCCACACGTGCTCACGGGCAGAGGACCTCGTTGTTAAACGAGCCGGTGAAACGCTTCCCGTCCCAGGGGGCGGGTGGGTGGGTGGGGGGTGTACACGCACCTTCGTGAGCTCCTGCGCGTTGGCCAAGTTGTCCACAGCGATGGCGAGGAACACGTTGAGCAGAGTGTCTGAGTTGGCGCGCTCGTTAAGGCTATACGGCTGGGTCATCACCTCCGCGTGCCCGCTGGCAAATCGACAAAAAACGTGTATTCTCACATCGAAACGGAGTTTTTGTGAGATGGGCGCTATCGATAGTTCCGAGGAATCTCGGCCGCGTTCTTCGGGTCATGCCTTGTGCTGTTCGACATGATGTCCAACGTTTTCCCCACCCACGTTCTGGAAGCTTCTTCAGTTCCCGAGGAATGTCCCCTGTGCTGCCATCTCGAAGACTGCTCAGGATTCACCTCTTTCTCCCAATAATTTGAACTTCATGGTTCGGGTTCATGATTCCATTAAACAAATGCATCCTAATTTTAATTGTTCTCCTGCCTCTTTTGTGTTATTTCTCATTTATTCTGCCCATTTTCTACAATGCCATTGTCTCCACTTGCCTAGTACAGCATCAGCATCTCAAAATATTCGTGAGCAGAGTCGGGGCTCTATTGAGCTCCTCCGAGTGGAGGCCCTTCCACCACCAGTGGTCTTAGCGAGAAGTTGCATGGCTGTCCAGTTTGTATCGTAGCTTCCCTGGGATCCACCGACAATAATCCGTTGCCTATGTTTCTCTTTTGCTTTTATCTTTGGTTTCATTGTATCGTGATTGGGTCCTTACTTGGTGTGTACTTGTTTTATTTACCTCTGATACACAACGTTTAGAGATTTGAAAGCCGTTTTATACAACGGAGTTGATTATTATTGTTATTAAATTTGCAGCAATTTTATACATTTTCTCCACGCATGGCTCGGCGCATGTGGAACGTACGTAAGAATACATTTCAATCAATTAGTTGATGCACAGTTTATTTATTTATTTATTTTACCAGGTGAGGCTCACTGAGCTATATAGCTCTTCTTTCAGAAGCGACCTGGCCACAAATGCTAGCCCCAATGAAGTGGCTTATCACGTGGCAATTTTAATAGCCGAATACTCTAAACGCATTTTGATTCAAAATGTGGAGGAAAAAACCGGAGGAACAGGAGAAAAAATCCACATGACTACGGGGAGAGAGAGACACGCAAACTCCAAACATACAGTTGTCAGGGTGGGAATCAAACTCACGACCTCCTGCATACCGGGCGAGGTAGTTAACATCTCGCCATCACGGCGCCCTCATACTGTCACGTGACATGCCTCATACTGTTAAGTGCGGGAATCACATTCTAGCATTGCTTTCGTAGACACAAGCAGGATTAACTCAGGAAGTGGCCAAGCATCCCCAGTAGGAAGTTGTCTTGAAACATTTAATTCGAGTTTCCTATGTTAACAATGCAAAGAAACAGCGCATTATAAATAAATTAGAACCAATTTATCCATGTCATCTTTCACAAAAGCAATGTTGTAAAGGTTTAAAGGGATGACTACACTTTCTATTCATGTTTCTTACATGAGTTGCTTGGAGCCATAATCCATTTTCCTACATTTTAGAGATTATTTCTTTATTTGCCTAGGAAACTAAAACACTAGCAAACTCGTATTGAACTTTACACGTAGGCTTTCACAACCAATATTATCCATAATAGAGGTTTTTGGGTTACATCGCAAAAATCTATTTGTCGTTAAACCCACCGCCACCCAACACAGACAATATTTAAGACCGAAACAGGAGGATTTCTCAACAGCTCTGGCTGTGGCCTGATGAGGCTGGTTGTAATTACTAGCGAAACTTACTGCTCCAATTGTAAATGTTGTGCCTTTACTCTCCAACACATCGTTGTGCTGAACTGGTAACGAATTGGCACGTTCTGTTTACGTGACAAACATTACTAATTGGCTGTGTCGGGTCGTGGCGGGTTAACAACACATTTATATTCACGCGATCTTACCCAAACACCTATATTGTGGATGGTATTGAATTGAGTGGTGATTGGACTTTGGCTAAGAATCAAAACTATGTTTTTATTTATACAGTCTGTGGAGCCAGCTCGGCCAGGATTGGGCAAAGTCTCGCCAACTACTTTTCACCCAGGAAACTGGAGAGAGGCACAGACTCAGTGTTACCAACCTAACAATAACTCATTTAAGAATCACAATTAAAAAGACAAACAACGTATAAAATACTATATAAAACATTTTATCTCATCAATGGTCCACAAAAATAACTCCTTTGCATAGGGGCCACCGGTTAAGAGCAATTAACTCGCCATCGGAAGATGGTCGTGAGTTCAAATCCTGATTGTGCGACAACTTGGCCCCCATATAACCCCAAAAGGCGCGCATATTCAAAATGTGGACGTTTCAAGGAGAAACTGGCTCACCGCCATGCAACGTGACACCGCTGGCTTCCGTGGCTCAGTGGTGTCAAGAGATTAGCAGCACTGCAAGCTCATTTAGGCAGGGAAATAATACGTCTGAAAGGACTACCGAACTATAACCGTTACACACTGCTTACGTGTTCATTACCAGCCAGTGAATACTGTGCTTCCACGACCAACCTGTGCTGGGCCGTTCTTAGAAAACTCCAGAAGGGCGTGGTTCTTGTCCTAACACACTCAGAGTTTAGTCCCTCTAATTCTGTCCCCTCCACCGTATCCTTCTCATTATTTTTGTTAAGCGTAATGTATGTTTGGATGAGATTTAGACTTTTAAAAACTAAAAACGAACACATTCCTGCGGAGGGAGCTGGTAGGAACGTTGGGTTGCTCGGTCAATGGCCAGGGTCAATGGCGGCATGGTGTATTCAGCAAATATGGCCGACTGTGAGGGCGGGCACAAGCCAGCGTGAGTAGGTTAAACGTTGAGTTTTATAAGGGCACCACGGGGTGACCAGCCCCACCCAGCCCCACCCCTCCCACCCCCCACCCAGCCCCACCCTCTCCACCCATCCCCTCCCCACCCTCCCCTCCCCACCCTCCCCTCTCCACCCGGCCCCACCCCTCCTATTTTTGGATTCACGACGGACGGACGGACACAATAATCCCCTGTAGTCTGGTGGAACCAGGTGGTTCCTATCAGTATTAAATATTCTGCTATTCATTTTCAACAAAAATAAGGCCCCGGCCTTGACCGACACAAGAGACACCACTGACCACGCGACTCTCTCCTGCGCTGACCGAGTGACGTTGCGACAGTCTCCGATGGCAGCCCAACGTGTCCCAGTTAAAGGTCGTCAACGCAGCCAAGTTTGAGCCGTCGAGCCAGCTCCGTGGAGGTTACCAAGACAATCGGAGCCCACCTGCCAGGCTGGCATGCTTCCCAGCCGTGGTGAGAAAATGGCGTCTATCTCGTGCGCCAGTGCGAGGCTTGAACGCCACGTGCACGTTGCGCGTCATCGACCGGACGTGGCATGCTAAATCCTAAATGCGTAGCTGGTGGGAGAACACACGGAGGTGGGTGGGGGTGCTCCTGAATGAATGAATGAATGTGCTCCCCTTGCTTTAAGACGGAAAAGCAGAGTTCGGATGAATTCTCTGCGAGAAAGGATACAGTTGCCGAATAGAGTGAGGACAATGAAGTAGATGCAGAAAATGGTTCCTCGATTGATGCCACCCTGAGATTTGATCGCATCGTACATGACGACATTCCAGTCCTCTCCAGTGAGAATCTAGGGCAGGAGAAAATACAACAACGAGTAAAAAAAACATCGCTGAGATTGCATGGCTCATTGTCAATAAAACTCTTGGATCAATATCTCCCCCCATGCCATTTCGATCATTAAGGTCACTTGACTACACCATGTTGATCAACGCTGGTTGGTGAAGTTGGGAAAGGGGGCTAGGTTTGGGGAGGGTAGGGCCAGTCGAGATATGACTCACCACTGATATTCGTCATGGCCAGAAACGATTCTCAGGTCACCAGGTTCAGAGCACAATGCATTAACCACTGTCCCACTCTACAATAATAATTACAAGGAATGAATGTCAACTATGTCTGTCCAGGTCATTGAACTGGAAAATATATCTGAACCCTGGACACCACATATCCAGTATACAATTCACTACAGGCTGTGGCTACTAACCATATGCCACCTACTCCAATCAAACAGCGACGTTTCCATTGCATTGGGATGTGTGGTCAATCAGCATGTGGGAGGAAACCAGTGTACGGTAAGTTCTCAGCTTAACGCAGTGTTCTCATGGCGTGTTTTCACTCGGCCCAACGCTGCAGAGGTTCTGAGATTCAGGGAGATTTGGGCAATTAACATGTGTCACAATTATCATGATCTGTCACCAACAATCTTGAAATTATTTTCATTGACACCATCAATATAATTTGTCCGATCCAGTGTAATCATCATCAGCATCATCATCAATAATTATTCCACACAGATGGCAATTAATATAGCACCTAATAGTCTGACTGTACCAAATATAGCAGGTTCATAAATATAATTGATTCGAGACAACGGAGCCAAGTTTATCCCGCAGAAAATTCAGTTAATTCATTGATGATAATAAAATAATTCTTTTTTTTTTATTAAAAAAAAACTGTCTCTCACCTGGAAAACTGTCATAATAGCAGCTGGAAAGGTGTCGAAATTAGTCGGTGGAGTACATTCTTCAAAATTGAACCTAGCGACAAAGCAGCATTAATGAACGTTAGACTCGCTCAGTCGAAACGGGCATGTACGAGCTTCGCGAAGACATCTCTGTTATTTAAATACGTTTAAAATGTAATCAAAATATGAATCTGTTCAAAATATAATGGAGACCGTCAGGATGTTTACGGTAACGCCCAGAGCAAACCACCGTATCTAAGAGCAATTCAAACGTGTGTTGGGGTGACGATTATCACCATTGGTCGCCCTGAGCCTGCGGTGGAAACTCTACATTATCAAGGCAGGGTCCAGTCTCGCTATAGGAAAACGACTGCAGAATTCCCACGAAATGGAACATTTGTTTGACCAGCAGAGAGATGACGGGTCTAGTCGACTACCATCCTTGATTACAATTCACGACTTTGAACTCATTGTCCGCAATGCGATGTGCCCTGGTGAGATGTGCACTTAAAAAATGGAAACAAATATATACGGGTAAGGGCATGCACTCCATCCAATGTTCCATGCAACCACATCCATAGGCAGCACAGATGCAGATCTTAAAGCGTGGTTTCATTTTGCAAATGGTTTAAATCACGGCGGTTTCAGAAATGCCGTCTCCGTGTGCCAAAGCATTTGCGAAAATATGTACATTTTCTTTTATAGTCTTGGTTCTTTCAGTAAACTCACGTAGATAGAAAATAAAAAAATAATACAATTAAATCAAATACAAATTATTTATATTTATTATTTTTAAATTGTCTTTTTTTCTACGTCCCTTTACTGAAAGAACCAAGAAAATGAATTTCTGTAGTCGTGACAGTTTTAAGTCAAAATTTATATTTTCTTTGTTTCCAAATAAATAAAAAATATTCCGTTCTGGCCCACATGCACAACGAACGATACCGGCAAAGGGAATCGTGTGCGGCAATTGACAAGATGAGTAGATGTGGCCAATGTCAGAAATATTTGAGGAGTGGTTGACTGGGCGTGGCCATTGAAAAGTGGGTGGGGCTGAGTGCGGGAAGGTCACCCTGGATTCCGATTTGAGCCTCCCAAAATTATTTGGAAGCTTTAAACTATTTTTAAAAAATTAGCAGCCAAATACTCTGAACGCATGTTTCTAAATGAGGAAAAAACCAGAGGGTGTCAGGATCGGGATGGGACCCACGACCTCCTGCTTACAAGGCAAGGGAGTTAACATCTCGCCACCGCGACTGCGATCGATTAGTGGCGGCGAGGCCAAGGCAAGGTGGACACCACTCACTGGCCGCCAAACAGCTGCATTCCCAGGAGGGCAAACACCACGATGAACAGGAAGAGCAGGAAGAGGAGCGAGATGATGGACTTCATGGAGTTGAGGAGCGACACCACCAGGTTCCGCAGAGATGCCCAGTACCTGGCAATTGCAGATAACAACAAGACAGCGACTCCCTCGACGTAAGACGTATTTACACACATGCACGTATGTAGTGGTTAGCACGGTTTGATTCCTGGACACGGCTAACATCTGCGGCAGGTGAAATCTGAACCAGTTTTTCACGAACCCGCACTGACCAGCATGGTGAAGTCTGGTCAAACAAATGCCCGCAACTGATGTAGCATGGGAAGGACTTCATCCAGCAGTGGATCTACAAAGGAGTCCAGATAGAGATCTAGTCAGTGTTCTCTGTCATAGCTCTCGACTGGAGGCACTGTGTCTTCTCTGTGAGCAGATTCATTATGCTAGAGCGATTGACTGAAATGAAAAGTAAATGCTCTAAATAAATCCCTGGCAGCTCTGTGTTACATGCAGTTGGGAATGTGTACGGCAGCATTGAGTGCCAAGCTGGCACTACTGAGATCCTGAGTTTGAATCCAGATAGTTACCGGTGAATAAATTGGGTTCTCAAGTGGAATGAGTTGATGGTACTCGCCAATTCACTAATGGCTGGTAATATCAGTTTAACTTTTATTCTGCATTTAATTTTGCTAAATTCCAGCTATGAGAATTAAATATTCGGCTTGAATGTCGTGCGACGAGACGTTTATTTCATATGCAGAGCAGGTGGGTAAGTGCTGCCATCGACTGTGTAGACAAGAGGTCACTTTCAGGGATCTCAAAGGTATCTCTGTGATATCCACTTCTGTGGGCCCATTCTACGACACACAAAAATGTTGCACTGCTCTGCTGCTGTGAGAGATCCGAATGGATTATCCATCTCATGACATGACCCCGTTAGCACGGTCGGAATAAAATAGTGAAATGACAAACGCATTTAAACTCTCAGGTTTTTTTCGGTAAAGTCACGTAGGGGAAAAATAATAATAAATAATAAAATAATAGAAATAATAATAGAAACAAAATGATAAATCACGACGTTTCGGGCGCAACACAAGCGTCCGTCATCAGGTGGGACAACCACAGCAAGAAACAAATGTTGAAGTGGGCAAAAGAGCTGCTGTAACAAGGGGCTATATAGGTAAGAGACGGGGGAGGAGCGAGGGAGGAGAGACAGAGAAGGGGGGGGGGAAGTGGGCGGGGCTGGGAGTGGGAGGAGGAAGACACTGGAGATGCGCATATGAAGGGGGCTTTTGGCTGAGTTTAGGGGGCTTTTGACTGAGTTTAAGGGGGTTTTGCCTGAGTTTAGGGGGGTTTTGGCGGAGTTTAGTTTTTTATTAAGCATTTAAATCTAAAACTAAAAAGAGATCACTGCTCCAGTCCGCCGCCCCGGGCTGACGGCCACTCACTTAGTGACTTTAAAAATCCTGAGCAGACGCAGCGCTCTCAGCACCCGAATACCGAACGATGTTCCCGGCTGAATCATGGCCCAGATGATCTCGAAGATGCTGCCAATAATGACCTGGAAAGAGAACGGTGAAGTCCTTAATTGATATCTAACATTATAGCATGTTACTTGTTTTTTTTATTATTAATAGGCATGTAACAATTAATCGGTTAAAAGTTGAATGTTATTCTTGAAATATATGCATCAATCGGTCGGTCTAAGAACAAATTATTTTGCAATTCATCCTCATGTTTTGCCAATTATATTTGCTGTAACATTTTTGCTCATGCGAGCCAACATTTTTGCTCGAATCAAAATACGTGTTTTTTTTCTGGTTACAGAATGGAGTTCTGCTAATATATTATTTTATACATTATCATCCACAGCAATGCATAATGATATTGTATACAAAGTAGACCGATGGAGCGAATACAATTGAAATAGAAAAGGAGGCAGCATGAAGATACGGTAAAAATGCCAAAAATAAATTATTAATTTCTGGTTGAATTGCATCACCATCACGAACTGCGACAACTTATCAAATTGCTAGGGGAGGAAGGGGGGCGAATCATTACATGCCCATGAATAAACAAACATTAACCGTATATATAAAATGAACGATTGATAAATAAAAAAGTCAAATTATTCACGTACGCCAAAGTCGAAGCAGTTGAAAGATGAGTGGAAGTAGCTACGTGTGCCGAGTCCATACATCTTGAGAAGCATCTCGGACAGGAACAGACCCAGGAACACAAACTCCGCGTAGGCTGCAGACACAAGGGAAGGCGTAGATGATGGCACAATGGGGGCAGCACAAGAGAGACGGCTGTGGCACCGGGCACAAATAGGTGACACAATTGGGTGGTACAGAAGGGGCTGGCGCAGCGGAGTAACTACACAGCACGCTGGCACGTACAACGTTTGGTTGCGGTGGCCAGGTGTCACAGGGGTGAGAACATTAAGCCGGCAAAGTTGAGATCCTGGGTTTTCATTCCAGGTAGCCCACCCGCGATTGAACTGTCTTTAATAATTGCACGCGCGCGCGCGTGTGTGTGTTGTGTGTCGGTGTTGCACAGATGGCACAGTTTGGGGGGGGGGGGGGGAGCAACAGTTGGTGAATCTGTCAGTCATCTCGGTCCATTTAACCAACACCCGCGCGCTTTTGTCCCGGTGACCTGCCGCTGTCGCCACCACCAGCCGTCGGCAATTTCGCGTCGGGCTCCAAATCGCACACACACACAGCGCTGCGGCGATGACACCCCCGTCGTGCCGGATTAAGCTAGTACGGGGCCTGTAGCGTATGTTATCAAGGGGCCCTAAATAAATAAGTAAACACATTCAAACACACACATTTTAACTTGCATAGTAAAGTAATTGTATTTATTTTTTGGTTCTTTTGGTAAAGTCACGTAGAAAAAAAAATAGGATAACACGTGTCGATTGCAACACAAGCAATCATCATCAGGTACGAATGAATGGTGTTGTATTGCATTATATTTCTAAGTTTACTAGGTTTGTTTTCTCATTCATTCGGACCTGACGATGATTGCTTGTGTTGCAATGGAAACGTCGTATTCTATTATTATTTAATTTATTTTATTTATACGTGACTTTACCGAAACAATCAAAAAGTAATTCCTGCAGTCACGAAAGCTCCAAATCAAGTTTGTATTTTCTCATTTGCTAAACGGGTAGATAATACGACAAATCGCTAACCTTAAACACCCAGTCGTTCATAAAAGTTTAAGGCAGTATAGTACTATAGTAACAGAGCAAGTGCAGAATCACTGAACCGGAATTGATAGCTTCAAAGCATTTAGCGCGGGGCCCTTCAAAGTGCGGGACCCGTAGCATGTGTAAGCTACTTGTGCTCCTAGGATCCGTCACTGGGTGGCCGTTGTCTGAGTGCGGCAGTGATTGCGCTACGCTGCGCTACGAACCCCGGCTATGACCCGAGTTCGATCCCCGCTCGCGGCCAACACCGGTGACCTTAATCTGAACAGGTCATGGCCCCTCCCCCCCGGGTCGACTCGGCCTCAAATGAGTACCTGGTGCGGTGTGTAGTAAACATCGCCACTCGGGGAGTGTTGGCCACCCACCCCCTCGTTGTGCCGTGCCGGCCTTTGTAGGTGCCCGCTAAAAGCACTTGCCCCAACAGTCTTGTTAAGTCTAGATTTGAAGCTTTCGTGACTGCAAGGATTCATACTCTTAGTTTTTTCGGTAAAGTCACGTAGGTAAAAAATGAAATTAAAATTAATAAAAAATAAATAAAAATCACGACGTTTCGGAGGCAACACAAGTCTCCGTCATCAGGTGGGATCGTCACAGCCAGATTTGCTGCATCAAGTGAGGCAGGGATTCAAGATGCAAGCTCTTAAATACAAGTTAAGGGGGGAGGAGAGGGGGGGGGGCTTATCAGAATGTGGTAGCCAATGAATGGAACGTATCGGGAGGGGGGGGCGGGGCTATACGGGGGATTTTTGTATTGCGTGTGTATATGAGTGTCGGTGTTTGTGGGAGCACTGGCACGTGTGTGGTTCGGTCGGTATGCGTGTGCGCGTGTCTGTGTAGTTATGGTTCGGGGAGGGATATCGGGAGCAGTTAGCACGCCACTCAACTCGCTAACAGCACTTGCCCCAACAGCCTGTGCAGGCTATACGGGGAGGGAGGATGGAGGGGGGGATCTTGTCTGTTGATTTGTGCGTGACTCACTGAGCAGATCGGTGAGCAGCACGGGCTGGTCGTAGTGGACGATGGCGACGCACAGCGTGTTGAGGCCGACGAGGCACAGCACGGTCCAGTAGAAGGTGTGCGACTTGACCATGCGGCGGATGAAGAAGCGCATACGCTTCTCCTTGCGCTGGAAGTATGACGACGTCTCCTGCTTGACGCTCACGATGCTCGCGCGAGCGAACGGCGAGCCTGCGGTGCGCACAGCGTGTCACCCGGCCAGAGAGCGATGTTGGCCGATGGCATTCGGTTGTCGTACCCACCACCACACCACCGCCGCCCCCCCAGCCAATCCTGTCCACCGTCTAATTCTGCCCGAGTTACTTTGCGATTTGTATCGTGCATCTCACTTGCTAAAACGTGTTAGTTCTCGCATCGTCCCCTTCCCTTCCTTCTTTCTTTCCTTACGCTCTCCCCCATCGTTCTCCCTGCTCCCTCTACCCCTATATCATTTCCTAAGTTCCCCCTGCCTTGTCGTCCCCTCCACAATCAAAAGTATATTTTGCTCCCGCACGCGGTCCCTACCTGGGTGGGGGCAGCGAGCCCGATCTCCCCCCCCCCCCCATATGCCCTCCTCTAAACCCAGGAGCACAGAGGTCAGAGTTCGGGACTTCTCTCCCTGGAGTTGCTGTGCCCCCTTCACTGCGTCGCGGTTCATACTCTGTACCGGCATCTTGTTGAAATACAATTTAAGACAAATTGATAGTTCTACCTTCTTCCAATGATCTAAAGCGAAATTAGCACATGGTCTGCATCTATTGGCATCTATCGGAAGCAATAGAGGGCTCGAAGAAACCCACGATACGACGCACGTCTACATCGCGTGAACTAACGAGATGAAATGCGATCAATCACCGGTGTGTGCCTACTCGGTCACGTGAACGTCATCAAATGTGGAGGCATTCCGGTGTCTCCGCGCACAGTCGAGGCATGCGGTGGCGCTCATCTCCATTGGTGGCCCTGAGTCAGCGGTGGGAATTTCACGATCCCGTGGCGGGAGAGCCAGGACTCGCCGTACGATCGCCACCTGCTAAATGATAACGAAGTCCGACCGGGTATTTAACCGATGTACTTCTGATTACGAGTCAGGCCCTCTTTCAACAGTGTCACGCAGACAATAGATAGAAACATCTAATAACATGGACACAACTGAAGAAGCGGTGGTGCAGCGGTTATCGCACTGAGTCATGAACCCGGTAACCTGAGTTTGATTCCTGGCCATGGCGAACATCAGTGGCGAGTGATATCCCTAACTGGTCTTGGGCCTCCCTTCATTGACCTGCACTTATTGGCTCAGAGAAGAAAAAGAAAATAATACCCATGACCGGGTTTTTACGCAGCAGTGCTTTGATAAAGGGCTGTTAATTGTGAGTGTTCTTGTTATTATGATGACTGACACAATAACAATATCATAACAATATGCTCATGGTATTGCTCCTCTATACTGTGTCACTGTTGTGGGTTAATGTGGTAGCATTATGGTCTTTGGACAACATTAACCTCTGGATTGCATAAATATAAATGTGTCGTTATCCCGCCACCAGCTGACAGCCAATTAGTAATGTCACCTAAACAAAACGTAGCAATTTGTTACTACTACAGCACACCGGTGTGTTGGAGAGTAAACCCACAACATTGACAATTCTCCAGATCCTGTACAGAAAAAAAAGTGTGTTGGGCTATGTATCTGCCTTGCTAAAAAAATAATAACTTAGTACTGTCACTATTAATAAGCCCTGCTCTACCACTCGCCTATATATTTAAAGGTAAAGGTGCAGCCCTGCAAATCTTTGCTCATGCCACTGCTGGCGAAAGGGCCTCCTCCGCTCGAGGAAGTTCTAGACAGCCCCACTCGCGAGGCTGTTTTGGCCTACTCTTCCACGCTGTTCCAGACATCCTGGAAGTGGTAGTGGCAGTCCTCACACAGTCACCTAGCTTCGGTGGTACCTATGTATACTGCCGGCGTGGACAGGAGTGGGGTGGTGGTACTTTGAGAAGCGTGGTCCGTTGTTTCAACTCTCACACTGGCAGATCAAACCGTATGGATTGCAAGTCCAGTGCTTACCACTACAGCATGGCATCTTCCGTGTATTTCTGTATATGAAAGGTAAGTTAGCTCGAAAGCACTGTGGAAAGAGTGCCAGACTCAAAGTTGTAAGGTTACGAGATAACATTCCGGTCGGTAATTCGCGAAAATAACACTTCTGCGGTAAGGTCTACTTTGCAGTAAGTCAACAAATGATTGTCTGCTGCAGAGACTGACTCAGTCACGGCTGTCAATTGGAGGTGAGCGCCATTCAATTCCTCTGAAGCTGTTAAGAATGTACCATTTAAAAAAGCAGTGCAGGAAACAGGGGCAAAGGCAAAGCACATCGAATGAATGTTGGAGATCACTTTTACGAGAACGTGGTGCTTTTTTCTCGCTCGCAGTTTTATATGAGACGGCTTTCCATTCGCAAGTAAGTAATGCTCCTGTGTAGGTTTCAAAGGTTGCACTGTATATCTCTCCGATGGGCTTTCGGGTTGCACCATGCGTTTGTCTGGGTACGATGTCTGACGTTTCGCCCCATGCACTTTGAGCTTCTTATTAACGGTATTATTATCATTATCATCATCACCCACTTCCTGAAGAAGCTCCCAGCACGCAGAGAGAAACGTTGGACATCACGAGAGATACATCGCACCATCTCGATGTTATCCACTTCACGAGGAAGCGCCCGGCAACCGAATGTCCACCGTTCGCCGCTGGACCGTGAATCGACGATCCACGTTGCGCTGAACGTCGCGCGGCGCAACCGGCAAAAAAAACGCATCGGAGGAGAGGAGTGGGGGTTTAACGCGGCTGGATGTTTGGCTGCTCGATGGAGCAATGCGGCTTGTGAACCCACCCGAGGCTTTCCCTGTGGATGTGATGTCAGAAAACCTCTCATTGAGACCCTCTTCTGCTTGAATCAGATCGGTCCGACTCTTCTTGAGCGTCGCTCGTCGAAGCACTGTTACATTTAACCAACGATAATAATACAGGGTATAGTGCACTCATTTCACACTCTGTGTGTGTGTGTATATATATATATAAAAAACAAGAGAGCCCCACCCCCATGTCACCTTTTTTCAGGTTGCCGGGGCAAGTGCTGTTAAGCGAGCACCTTTGAAGGCCGGCACGAAGCATGGAGGGGGTGGTGTTGTCAGCACCGTGCCCTGCTGCCCGATGTCAATGCTGATGTTGACACACCGTACCAGGTACTCAATTAAGGCCGAGTTGACCTCGGGTAGGATCCAAGACCGGTCGAGATATTCGGCACTGATGTTGGTGGCCGTGATCGGGAATGGAACTTGGGTCACTGGGTTTTTGGCGCAAGTGCGCTAAACCACCGCTCTATAACTGCCCCCATTGTTATATTTAGTCACACAGACTAGAACAAAATGAGAGAGATCCCTTGTGTCAGGATTACAGACCGTCGGAGCCAGTACTGTTAGCGAGCACCTTTACAAGCACAACAATTCTGATACATCCATTAAAAGCATGATACAATGCGGCTAATTACACCACAAATTTGGACATAGCACCGGTGAAGACATATATATGAGCTGCGGGGGAAGGACAACAAACTAAGCACACAAAGCAGTTCTCAAGATATGAGTTTTCAATCCATAGCACCAGTGGTTTCCTAATATCGGAAGAGCGTTCCAGACGGCCGCAAAAACGCATCTGAAAGCGCCGCGCGATGCGGCGACCGTCTTTGTTCGATGGCGAACCAAAAGCTGCCGCTGCAAAGATGCTCACAGAGAGTTCGCGTGATGATGGTCTATGCTCATTGACTACTGGAGAGGGGAGGGCGGGAGGTCGGGGGTGGTTTTCCTGAGGTTGTTTCCTCTCCTGTAATTCACAGCACACCGGTTTTTCAGCGCTGGTGTAAGTGACGCACAGCGCCGAGACACACTTTAAAAGTGCGCTGCTGCGTGCTTTTAAAGTGCCACAACTATTGATGAATGCACGCCCCGTGTCATTTTTGGACCTCCTGTGCCATCCAGTTACGGAGTTGCATCAGCGTGGACAATACCACACTGGAGTCCCACCTCTGCCTCTAGGCCAGGCCTCGATGTTTACACACTGCACCTGGTGCTCATTTTAGGCTGAGTAAACCTTAAGGGGGCGGAGATGGGGGGGTCCAGGCCAGCTTCAGTTACAAGTTGGGAGGAGTTTAAACCCAGATCACCAGATTCGAGCCCACTGCAATGTGTTCCACTGTGTCACCACTGCCCCCCCACAATCATAAGTCCACAAACATGCACGGCAAAATGATCCCGCATCCCATCCCAGCCTACAATGGTGCCTTTGTTTACGCGTTTTGCCAGCTGCATCTCAAGATGCCGGTGTCAAGTGGGGGCTCCCCCCCACCCCACCCCCCCCCCCCCCACCTCGACGACTCCGAGAACCGACAATCCTTGTTACCGTCGAAGGCAGACTTGTCCTCGGCGTTCCGGTCCTCTTCCGCCAACATTACCTCTTCTGGAGGCCGCAACAGACAGGCGAACGGAAACAAATTAACGAGAGATAGAAATAAGGAAACATTTGCACGTATTGTGGCAATGTAATTATTCAACCGCGCTTTCTCTCTCTCTCTCTCTCAACACGTATGTTTTATTTCACCAGGTAAGTTCCCGCGAGAGCTCGACGGCTCTTTTTCGGAAGCGACCTGGCGATCACAAACGAAGAAGTGGCTTATCAGCACAAGGAATGGCGGAGCCAGGATTTTCAGGTAGGGGTGGCAACCCCTCCAGCAATGAGTTGTTAGTAAGTAAGGACTTGTCCCTTGCTTTTTATTCGACGCGTGTGCGGCGATGGCGCAGCCATTGATCGAGGGTCGAATTCGAACCGCGTTGCTGTGATCGGCATCGCACTCGCTGAAGGTGTTGATGCCTTCAGGGAAGTCGTGGACTGTATACGCAAAAGCGCACAATTCTGTGAGTCACTTATAACTGCTTTGCCGTTACTTATTGACAATTATGGACTCAGACTATTGTCCTATCATCTCATAGAGTCCCTGGCACATACGAATATGCTACACAGTGGCAGTGGGTGTCGCAAAATGCCGATGTATTACTAATAAACCCCAATGATCCCATCGAAATTAGGGATTTCGATCGGATCATTGGGGGGGCACATGCCACCCCACCCCCACCCCCCACCCCACTGGCTCCGCCAGTGATCACAAGGAAATGCATAGCAGCCAAATACTCAAAACACATGTTTCTGAAGGTGGAGGGAAAAACCGGGGGACCCGGAGAAAAATCCACGCGACTCAGTGGGCCCTACCTGGCAAAAAATAAAAATCGTTTCGTTTTTTGTTTAGTATTGACCTCAAAAACATGATGGGACAGTATACGCCTGATAAGGATTTGACCTCGCGACTTTTACGATTGCCAGTCTCGTGGGTTTGACCCGGTGCAGCACCGAGCGTAAAAAACAAAACGTGAACACACATATACGCACACGCACGCACGAGCACACAATATATATATGAGTACAAAGTGGTAGGACCTTACTCCCCCCGGAGGCAACACGGAGTGCAAAAAAAAACATAAACACATTGACAAGTAAATAATATAAATTTCGATTGCAAGCATGCCGCTGAGTGTAAAAATTGACGAGGAAGAGAACGATAAGAACGACGAATGCAACGTCACAGCCCCCAGCAGCTTTCGTGAAAAAGTGATTACGGCAAATGGATAAGTTTCACGTCGAGGGACGATCGACGGGATAAGGAATTAAACTGAGGCCGCTTAGAGGCGCCTCTTTTAAAGTGTGACCATTAGGAATTCAATAAAACGCGGCGGCACGCAAAACTGGCTTAATGGACGCGCCGCGGCACCGTCTCTCTTCCGCTTCCCTATTCGTCTCCTTCTTACCCGCAATTGGTAAATCCCGTGGATCCCACAGTGACGGCCAGAACGGGAAAGCCAATTAATTCGGTCAGTGCCCCCGTGTGCCCCCACGTGTGTCTATAAATAGCGTGTCACAGAATCATTCACGTGTTTTACTTAACCGGACAAGCGTTGCACACGTACGGATTTACACAACAGCGCCTCTGCGTGAGTGCGTGCGTGCTTGTGTGCGCCAGTGCTGCGCTGGAAACCGAGATGCTGTGTAGGTATGTATTTGAACTTTGTTCGCACCATACGTAGCCAACCGTGTTAATCGGAGGTGCAGGGGAAGGATAACAAACTCAACACAAAAACAATTCAAAATGAATATTTTTTCAATACATACATGATTTCAAAGTGCACAGCTCCAGTGGCTTCCTAACATCGGAAGAAAGAACGTTCCAGACGGCCGCAGAAGCGCACCTGAAAGCGCGCGACGCGGTGACCGTCTTTGTTCGATGGTTAGCCAAAACCCGTTGCTGCTACAAAGATGACCGGAGTTTGAGTGATGGGTTTATGCTCCTTTTAACGAAATCGACATGTACCGTGGAGGCCTAGCGACTATATAGCTCCACGTGGAGGTGTGCCAGGTCGTGGGATCGTGAAAGTTTGGAGGCCGCACGGATAGAGCCTTCGTCTGGCAAATTTAGTTCAGTGGTTAGTTTGTTGTCCTTCCCCCCGCACCTCCGATTAACGCGGTTGGCTACGTACGGTGCGAAAGAAGTTCAACATACACACATACATGAGTACATTTGGCATACGCGCACCATTTTTGTCGCGCAAGGCCATCACGAAGGCGCTGCGTTTCACAGATGAGTTTAGTCCGCAGCCGTTTCAGCGCAGGTGACGCCGTTGCTCTCCAGTGATTAAGTAATTTGCGGGTAATTTTCCTAATTTGTAAAACTTGGAGTGTGACACCAGCAGACATGGCCAACTCCACGTCTGGGGATCTTTCCCGTCCACTGTGAAATGGGCAGCGTGTACGTTTATGGTTCTTACAAAAAACTATAAACTATTTTTTTATTTACCAGGTAAGGCCCACTGAGCTATATAACTCTTTTAAGAAGCAACCTGGCCATAAATGATAGGTTACCTAAGTGGCTTATCACGTGAAATTTTACAAAAGCTAAATACTCTAACGCATTTTTATTCAAAATGTGGAGGGAAAAACCGGAGAACTCAGAGAAAAATCCACGAGACCACGAGAAGAACACGCAAACTCCAAATATACATACAGGCATCAGGATCGGGATCGAACCCACGACCTCCTGTATACCAGGCAAGGTAGTTAACATCTCGCCACAGCGGCCGAATTGAGTGGGTGGGTTGACGCTGGCTCATGATGATGATGACAATGATCAGTGGGCGATTGTGAGAGCCGTTGCTGCACCAGCAACTGAAAATCAGCGCTTCGTTTCACGAAGAAAAAATAGGGGGGTGGAGAGGACAGGGCGGTTAATGCCACACAGGCATCACTTGGGAGAGACAGGCAGACAATAAAGCTCAACAAGGGGGCCGAGCTGATGCATCACTTTATCTAACGTAGGCAGGCAGCACGGCGCTGTGATTGAGTGTGGCATGCCCATGTGCGGCCATTAAGCCGACCCTCCCGAGTCATAAGATAGGAGGGTCTTCTCTCGGTCCGTCCAGCCACGTTGAGGGCTTTTTTGTTTCCAGCATACCGCGTTGCGTTGCGCGTCTTTTTGGTGCCGTGGCGGGCAGGGGGCGCGCCTGGTAGGAAAAGCCCCCCCCCTAACTTCCCCGTCACCGGTCGCCGCTGACGAGCCGCCGTGAATGTAATCAGCTGACACCGGTGGTGGGTTTGTGTTACGACGGAGATGAAATTGCGCCAATTTCGTTGCGGTTTTGAATGCGTCGCCGCCGCCCCTGCTGACCTGCGGCGGGCGGGTGCGGCGCGACGGAGCGATGAGCTCGGTAACGCGCAGACAACAAAGATAGCTTTGTTGCGCATTTTTAAATAGCCACTTAAGAAGTGTTGGCAAAAGCTGCATTACAACAGAATCCCGCTCTGCTTTCGTTTTTAAACAAAGCAGATGTTGTGATTTATGATAAAAAAAAATTAAGGGTTAAACTGACCACGTAACGATCTGTCCGATTCTTTTTCGGTTTCGCAACCCTCCAGTCTCTGACGTAGCCAAACAAAAAAAATGTTCGCGTGTGTAAGCATTTTACGTGCACATTTTTTTGTATCATAATCGCTTCGGCTCACGAAGAGCAATCCTGAACAACCAAACGTAGCCATTAGATAGCGACGTTTGGCTGGAAACTGCGTCCAGCAACATGAGGTTAGAAACCAGGAAGGCAGAATGGACTTTGGCTATGTTGGGTGGTGGAGGGCTACACGGAAGAAATAAAAAATTGGCGACATCATTACATGGCCTAACCCAAAGATCAATTTTCAATCAAAGGAGCCAATGTAGTGCAGTTATCTAGATAATGGGCTCGTGATAATAAATGGCGTTTACTGCGTTTGATGTTTTGTAATATATGATACGGCAGTAAAGGTGCATCCCTGCAAATACTTGTGCGCCCTGTTGGTGAAAGGGGCATCCACGAGAGGAAGCCTCTAGAGGTCATTTGGTCTTCTCTTCAATGCTAGCCAGAGCAACGAAAACCCACACTTTGCCCCACCTGCTGATCAATTAACCGTAGTCGTAAACATTGATTTTGCTGCGTGGATAAGAAACTTGTGCCGTTATTTCAACTGATGCACCGGGAGATCGAATCTTCTACCTCTGGGATAAAAGTTAAGTGTGCTCACCATTACACCACAGCGGCATTTTTGTCAGGAGCGACCTGGCCACAAACGATAGCTCAACGAAGCGGCTTTCCACGTGGAAATTTATAGCAGACAAAAAGTCTCTACGCATGTTTCTAAATGTGGAGGGAAAAAAAGAGGACCCGAATAAAAATACACACGGCCACAGGGAGAACATGCACGTTTTAAATATACAGGCATCAGGGTCAGGATCGAGCCCACGACCTCCTGGTCACAAATGATTGCGCGAAGAATACCCATCATATTACATTTGGTTCTGCAATTATAAATTTGGCTAAATTCCAGCTCTGAGAATGAACGATATTGTTTTGTCCGTCACGTGATGAATATTTCCCCCAGTGGCAGAGCGGCTGCTATGGAAGTGCTGCTCCATATTGTGCACCCCAGAGGTCTCTTGGAGGGGTCACAGATGTGGCTCCACTTCTGTGGGCCATTCGCAAATTTAAAGGGTTGCACTGCCTTGTTAAATATTAAAATGTATACTTTGTACTCTTAGGTTTTTTCGGTAAAGTCACGTAGGTAAAAAATTAAAATTAATAAAAGTAAAATAAAAAATGAAATAAAAATCACGACGTTTCGGAGGCAACACAAGCCTCCGTCTTCAGGTGTTGCCTCCGAAACGTCGTGATTTATATTTTATTTTTTATTTTACTTTTATTAATTTAAATTTTTTACCTACGTGACTTTACCGAAAAAACCTAAGAGTATGAATCCTTGCAGTCACGAACGCTTCAAATCTAGAATGTATACTTTGTCTCAGGAGATCACGATCGAGACAAAGTTCGAGAAAAATATGAAGACAAAATGAAATTCCTTGTTACTCATAGCAACGTACGACCCAACCTTTTTGAAAGGTGCAAGTGATCGCATTGCCAAGTAAAACAATATATGGTAATTACTTACTATATTCTGTAATGGGGCATAGAATAACATTTTAACTTAGCTTAATCCCAGTGTCTAAGTGAAAGCATTTGAGTAAAGGTTTATGTTTTTAACAAGTGTTAACATTAGCATAAGCATTTGCACAAATGTTATCATTAGGGTTTATTTTTGCTGTTAATCAAATAAAAGCAAGACTTCCCCACTTATTTATTCCGGTTTTAAAAATGAATATAACCCTTGGTAACTTAATCAGCATCATTAAAATTACGTTGAGGTGGCCGGGTGGGTCAAAGGTCACAGTCCAGAGCCAGCAACACTGAGAACCTGGGTTCGATCTGGGATTTAGCTGCCCATGGTCTAACCGAATTCTCAATTGTGGTAAGGTGGCGATCTCAATGTGGCCACTAATCTATGAAGAAAAAAACCTTCCTTAATAAAAAAAAAAGTTGCTGTAAATACATATTGAGGTTTTCTATTAATTTCGGCGATGACAGTTAAAACATTGCTTTGATAAGTTAAACTATACAACTAAACAATGTTTTTATTTTACCAGGTAAGGCCCACTGAGCTATATAGCTCTTTTTCAGACGCGAGCCTGGCCACAAATAATAGCTCAACAAAGTGGCTTATCACGTGCAAATTTATAGCAGCCAAATACTCTAAGCGCACGTTTCTAAATTTGGAGGGAAAAAGCAGAGGACCCAGAGAAAAATCCACGCGACCACGGGGAGAACATGCAAACTCAAAATATACAGGCGTCAGGGCTGGGATCAAACCCAGGACCACCTGTATACCAGGCGAGGTAGTTAACATTTCTCCACCGTGATGCCTCGCAGTAGCCATGCAACAAACTCAATTCCATAGCATCGTGTTTGGAAAAATGGGTAAAGACCAAATAACTTCTTGAAGGGTTGAATAGGGCTTTTGGAGCACTTCTAGGATACGACGCCAATAGTGGGTCAGGAATATAATCGGTAAAAGACCACCAAAGATCGGTCACCACATGGTGTCTATTATTACATTCCACCAAATATGAGAGCACAGGGACTAAGAGTGATATAATCATTTCGTTTATCAAGTAAAATCGATTTCTTAATGCTCATGATTACATACATCGAATCGTGCATGGCAAGAATCAACTATTTCAATCTGTAAAGCCTGCATATAATTCGTTATCATGTTCCCTGCTGCCACTCAAGGCTGCCACAATCACCACGACATTAAAAACAAGGTATGAAAAATCATGCATACGCATGGATGCTGTAATGCTCTTCAACATGGTTGGATGTATTTAATTAAGCAAGTTCTTCATCACAACACAATAAGTCGCTTCATATCGGATCACATTTACCGACGTCACCGTTGACAGACGGAAAAGACTAAGCTAACGACTGAACACTTTAAACGCCAGTTGGAAAGTGATGAAAAAATATATTCCGTTATTGAATCAAACCGTGACCTATGATCACGATAATCTGTCAAACCGGCAGGGGAGAGAATTGTTAAACGTTTCACAAGACAATGCTGGGACAGAGATGCCTCTGCCATCTTGCCGGACCATACCTGCTTTGCAGATCCACTCCATGTAGCCGTTGAGCTCCCGTTCTATCTGCTGTTGGCGCCGTAGCTTGAGAAAAGCCCTCCGATTCTCCACGCGCTCTCGCTCCTTGGCAAACTCCCTGTGCCCCACCGCACAGCCCAAAGCGCCAATGACACACACGCGGACACACGTCATCACGAAAGGGCAGCACCGTCGGAATCGCGGACAGAGTTCGTGATGTTCGTATGTTGAACTTCTTTCGCACCATACGTAATCAACCGTGCTAATCGGAGGTGCAACTGCTGCTCGTGGATTTTTTTTGTACCACGCAATCCCACGCCCAGCATCGATTGCAATCTCGTACAATGTCCTCCCGACCTGCGGCATGTTTCAGTTTCAGTTTCATTTATTAGGTATAACCCTGTGAGCCATGCGGCTCTTGACTCAGGTGCAACCGCAACAAAACAAAAACATGAGCAAGAAACATCTTAAAGTGACTACACGCAAACAGAAAAATCCTGGAAAAAACAGCAAAGTCTTCCAGAAAAAACACCGCGTTTCAACGCTGTGTGCAAAAATCGGAGTGGGATGCAAGTCAAACAATAACAACCATAAGACAATGTAGATTCAAGTTATCAGGCTAACTCTGTACTACAACAAACAAACATGGCTAAACCAAAAGTTTTCAAAATCTCCAAAATAAAGCTATAAAAACAACGTAACAGTGATCATATGAACTGTGATTCAAATTTAACAATTAACGATATGCATAACATGTACGACCAAACTTTGCAGCCATAGCTAGCTGCACGAGTCACTCCATAACAGCAGGAGTATCAGTAGCAGAATAAAAAAAATTCAATACACCTTAAAGATCAGCACACTATAATAAAAACTCAAGATCATACTTTGCAGCGGTCATCCGGACTGATACATTTGATTTCAGGCCATTCTGAATAGCAATGGCAGCTAGGGGTGTACAACTCCTCTAGAGCAGTTTGGAGTGAAGATCTCCCAGGTAGTGATCCAAGTTGCAGTTTATTGGCGATAGCATTCCAGACCCTGGGGGCATCAATAGAAAAGGCCCTTCCTCCAGTATTTGTACGGCAAGGAGGAATGTGAAGCTGGTAAATGAGCGAATACCGTAGGTCACATTTGTTCTTCGAAACAGTGAGGAGATCCAGCAGGAAGTTTGCTGATTCTTTTGTAAGTACATCGTGAATAAATAAGATCTGATGCACAAGCCGTCGATCATTAAGAGAAGTTAAGTTTGACCCAATGTAGAGATCGCAGTGGTGGGTCCTATATGGGCAGTTCAATTCAAATCTTAAGGCCGAGTGATAAATTGAGTCGAGCTTCTTCAGTAAAATACTGGGGGCTGATTTATATACGATGTCATAGTAATCAAGTAGAGGCAGTATGGTAGCTTTCATCAATTCCAAGCGGAACATAGCAGGGAAGCAGTGCTTGTGTCGATAAAGAAAACCAATTTTAAATTTTGTCTTTTTACCAATATAATCAATGTGATCTTGAAAATTCAGTTATTAATCAAAGATGACCCCAATATACTTATAGATCTTGACTCACTCGATTTGATGATTATTTAAGGAATATAATTTGGGAAAAATAACTTCCTGCTTTAGTCCTGGTAGAAGCATAGCACCTTGGTTTTGGAGGTATTCAGGACTAGCTGAAGAGCAACTAGCTGATGTTGTAGTTTGCTGAAATCACCCTGGAGCTTAGCAATCACGTCATCTGGAGAGCGGCCAGCAGTAATCAGTATCGTGTCATCTGCAAACATATTTACCCTGGAATGATCCAGGTCAGTGCCCATGTAGACAGAACAAGAGGGGGCCGAGGATGGAACCCTATGGAACCCCTTTTGTTATCTTAACACTGGTTGACCTCCAATCATCTGTGAATACAGTTTGAGTGCGAGAAGAGAGGTAATTTTGTAACCATTCTACTCCATGTTTCGAGAAACGGAGGCAACTTAGTTCACTAAGCAGGGTATTGTGGTCGACTGTATCAAAGGCTTTGGACAAGTCAAGAAAAAGACTGGCGCAGTACTGATTATTATCAAGGCTATTGTAAATGTGATCAGAGAGTCTACTGCAGCAGATGTGGTGCTGTATTTTTTCGGAACCCATCTTGGTTTTGATGTAATAAATTGTTGTCGGACAGGAAACTGCTAATTTGGTAGTTCAATAATTAATCAAAATTTTTCATCAACGGAGACAAAATTGAGATAGGTCGGTAGTTAATTGGATCATCTTTAGGGCCCCCTTTGTGAAGTGGACGAACATAGGACTGTTTCCATTCTAGAGGTACTGATGCTTCTTTGATAGACAGGTTGAAAATATGGGCTATGGGTTTAGGTGACCAACAGTTAGCAGAGCAAAGACGGGAATACTATCCGCACCGGTAAAGTAGGACCCTTTGAGGTAGGACAGTTGTTTCAGAGCATTACTTTCGTGAATAGACTGGAAACTAAATTCGTTTAATGTTTGGACAGGGGTGTAGGAAATTGCATGAGCAGGGGTGACTCCCAATGCATTATCAAAAGGTCACCAGCTCAAAAATATGAAGGTTAAAATAGTTGAATATTTTTTGGGGCTCTGAAAAATGGTCCCAATTTCGGTTAAGCGCAACGGGCAGATTATCTGCGTTGGATGTTTTTTTTGATACATTTGATTGTTTTCCAGAAGATCCTGACATTGCCATGTGATTCCAGGAGAGTGGAGGAAAAGTAAGCATTTTTTTGCATGCCGTATTTTTTTGACACATCTATTCCTTAAAATCCTGTATTCTAGCCAGTCATTGACCAAATTACTTTTCTGAGCACATGCCCAAGCCTTGTCCCTAGTTTTTTAGAGCTTAGTAATCACACCCTGGTGGGTGGTTGCCTTTAGTTTTAAATCTAACCAACGGAGCATGTTTGTTAAGAATTTGGAGAAACGTGTACCTGAAGGTCTCCCAAGCCGTAGTCAGGTTGGGGATATCACAGACCTTGTCAATATCAGAGTGAAACACATCATTAGTAAATGTCTGAGTGCTGAAGTGTCTCATGGAGTGCTTCTCAAACAATTTAGGGGGGGCTTTGGGTCTGGCTGATGATCTCACTCCAAATATGAAGGAGTGATCACTCAGGTTATTACCCAAAACACCAGTCAGCACGAAATTGTGAGGGGCATTTGTCAATAGGACGTCAAGCAGAGATGACTGTCCCGGATTTTTTAGGTTGGGTCTTGTGGGGACATTTATTAATTGAAACAGGTTAAACTCATCTGTAAAAGTTGTGGCCACAGCCGGCGGGTTTAGTCAATTCAAATTTAGATCACCCACTAAAACTATTTCACCTTTAGGGAGGCCCCCAAGAAGCTCTCTCAGTGCAGATGCAGCTTCAACATCATTGCCACTAAGCGGTCTATAGCAGCACACTACCAATCTGTTGATTATTTGGGAGAGTTATTCTGAGAGCCAGACCTTCAAAGCAACATTTTTTAACAAGGAGTGAGCTGTCTTAATTTTGGAGCTTTCGTGACTGCAGGAATTATTCTTTGGTTTTTTCGGTAAAGTCACGTATAAAAATAAAATAATAAATTAAATAATAGCATACGACGTTTCGATTGCAACACAAGCAATCATCATCAGGTATAATGAAATAGCGACATAGAATATAACCAGAAAACTATAGACAGACATATAAGCAGACAGATATCACCAAGATACATAGAGAGAGCAACCCAGGTACAGAGAGAGGTGATCGTCTCTGTGGGGTGGCCTTAAATAGACAGAGGGGGGCGGAGGCAGAGAGAGGGAGGGGGTAGGGAAAACATTTACATGTCAATGAGTACGAAGGGAGGGGAGTAAGGTAAGCAGGCTTAGAGGGAGACAGAACACACTAAATTAAATAACCTAGCAAAGTATCGAAATGTTATGTAAAACGACACAGAGAGTCGGTCAACACACAATTAACGCATTGCCTGGTCGATTACGTATTTCAAAGATTGCTAAGTTAGAATTTAAGTGTGAAAATTCCAAAGAAAGACAAAACATAAAAAAAGAGGAACGGAGACACACAGACAGAGCAGAACCTAAGAACGATACAAAACGAGTGTTCTCTCTCTCTCTGCCTGTATATTTAGTGTAATTTTCTCTGTCTACACTCGTTTTGTATCGTTCTTAGGTTCTGCTCTGTCTGTGTGTCTCCGTTCCTCTTTTTTTATGTTTTGTCTTTCTTTGGAATTTTCACACTTAAATTCTAACTTAGCAATCTTTGAAATACGTAATCGACCAGGCAATGCGTTAATTGTGTGTTGACCGACTCTCTGTGTCGTTTTACATAACATTTCGATACTTTGCTAGGTTATTTAATTTAGTGTGTTCTGTCTCCCTCTAAGCCTGCTTACCTTACTCCCCTCCCTTCGTACTCATTGACATGTAAATGTTTTCCCTACCCCCTCCCTCTCTCTGCCTCCGCCCCCCTCTGTCTATTTAAGGCCACCCCACAGAGACGATCACCTCTCTCTGTACCTGGGTTGCTCTCTCTATGTATCTTGGTGATATCTGTCTGCTTATATGTCTGTCTATAGTTTTCTGGTTATATTCTATGTCGCTATTTCATTATACCTGATGATGATTGCTTGTGTTGCAATCGAAACGTCGTATGCTATTATTTAATTTATTATTTTATTTTTATACGTGACTTTACCGAAAAAACCAAAGAAGGAGTGAGCTGGTGAACATGCAATAGTATTACAAACATAGATGGCAATTCCACCTCCTTTAGACCCTCGGTCAAGCCAAAAAAGGTTGTAGTTGTCAATCGTAATCTGCAAGTCATTTACGGCAGGAGTGAGAAATGTTTCTGTTAGGCAAAACATGTCCGGGTCCAGATTTGCCACTTCTAGTTTTAGTTGACTTAATTTAATCACAAGCCCTCTGATGTTGACATGTAGAACACCAACACCTTCTCTGCCAAAAAAATCTACAGAATTATACGAGTTCTTTACATTTGGGCCAGGATGAAGCTCAATACCTCCCAGAAATAAGATAAGTAGATTCTAGATTTGAAGCTTTCGTGACTGCAAGGATTCATATTCTTAGGTTTTTTTCGGTAAAGTCACGTAGGTAAGATATTAATAAAAGTAAAATGAAAATAAAATAAAAAATAAAAAATAAAAATCACGACGTTTCGGAGGCAACACAAGCTTCCGTCTTCAGGTGGAACCGTCACAGCACGATAGCTGTATCTCACTTGTGCTGTGACGGTTCCACCTGAAGACGGAAGCTTGTGTTGCCTCCGAAACGTCGTGATTTTTATTTTATTTTTATTTTACTTTTATTAATTTCTTACCTACGTGACTTTACCGAAAAAACCTAAGAATAAAAAAAGTAGAATTAATAGCTTGCACAGGTATTTTCTGTGAAAGGATGAAGAGCGGCGAACCTTGGACGAATAGCAGCAGCTCGCAGATGGCGATATTTTAAAGAGCAGAATGAGTTCTCCCCGTGGTCTCGTGGATTTTATTCTGCAGGTCCTCCGGTATTTATCTCCACATTGCGGTGAAGAATACTTGGCTTCTGTAAATTTCCACATGATAAGCCATTCGTAGACTTATCATTTGTGGCCATGTCGCTTCTAAAAAAGAGCTTAATAGCTCAGTGGGACTTAGCTGGTAAAAAAAAAGTTGTTTAGTTTAATGGTAATAGTTTAGATCAGGATGTTTTCAGCCACTTAACGATGCCTGTTTATGCACGTGAGCGGAAACCAGAACACCCAGCGAATAACTCCCCCACACAGATCGGGCGGGTGATATTAGTCCACATTTTCTCGCACCCCCTTCGCCTGGCTAGCCACTGTCTAGCACCTCGACTACCACGGGAAGGGATTTTTGCAACATTTGTGACATCCACCGACCATTGCATCCACAGTGCTGGATTACAGGTCAAGTTGCATAGCCACCACCACCGTGATTATGGACTCACTACTTAAGGTGCATGCCCAGGATAACATTTTGTTTATAAACATCAAGTCAGTTTGCGTCAACTGGGTCCTTTTTTCTCTTTTATAAACCACCGTCCACAGAGGAACAATTTATTATTCAGCATGCTCTCCGAGTCAAGTTCAATTTGACAAAGTAATAGCAACCCCCCCCCCCGCTCCCGCTGCCCCCCCCCCCTACCCCCCGCAAACCACCACCACCCACAGGCACCTTTTTGTGATTTAATTTCCCGAGTGCTCTGTCATGTATTCGGAAAACCTCCACAATGTGTAAGCTTTAGGCCCTTGAAACATGCAGATCAATTTTAGGATGAATTGCGTCTTAAGTGAAACGCATTTTTTTTATTTTCCCTGGCAATTAATTTGTTCATTACATACGTTTGCTGTCCTTAACAGCGCTTTGGGAGGAAATTTGTGCAAATATAATTTTGAAAATGAAAAACGCACTGCTGCCTGCAAGATATTTAAACAATATAACATGTTGTAAATTAAAATGTACCTTGTTCAAATTTACGTTGAGCGTTTACCATTATTAATACTATCATCATGATCCATATTTAGTCATTTTATTTACTGAAAGTATAACCAGTTGAGCCTTCACGTGGCAATCACGAAGTGTGTCAGCACTTGCTGTGTGACTCGCTTCACGGCAACTTCTCAATGCGTGCAAACGGTGCTGGGCGTGTTATTAGTTCGCTTCACGTATTTATAAAATGGAAGGCAACACCGTTGTCTCGAAGCTTACGGCATATAAAATGTCGCGGTTTAATAACGTACAGTTCGCCACTTTTGTTTTCCCCTCGGTACAATGAAAATGTGCGCACGGTTCGAAGATAAGCCGCTCACAAAAGCTGAACAACTGCAATCTACGAATACAAATCTGCCCGGGTGGCTCAATGGTAGGGCAAGCGTCTCGCAGTGGGAAGTTTGAGAGTTAAAATCCCGTTTGTGGTGAGGGGGAGAAGGGGGTTGCTGACTCAACCCATCATTCCTCTGGGATCGTGTAAAATTAGTACCACTTTGTGGTTGTTCTTTGCAGAGATACCCACCACCCCCCACAGCCACAGGGATGTGGAATTTCAGTTGTCTTCTTAGGGCTGCAAACAGAAGATGAGCACCGGCTCGATGCTCACTTCAGAAGGAAAATCTCGTTGACTTTGAGTTGTTGTAATGTGCGAATTCGAGTTGGACTTTAACCGTGTCATCATCGTCTGCTTGGACATCACTGGATACAAACCGAGAAGCGCGTCAAGAGTGACGACAAAGGAACCGAGGCATCCTTTGTCCATTCCGCGACATGCAGGTCAATCCAATATGGGGCCAATGAATAATTTGAAATCGCAGGGTCAGTACTTCACAAGGCAAGTCCACACCACCGCCGGTGCTGAAGTCCACAGATAACAATGGTCCCGCAAAAAAAGAAAACCACTTCTGTTACGGCATTACGTTACATCATATCGACCCCGCGTGCATAAGTGGTCATGAGTAAAATTATTAAGCACCTTGCACCACTTAGGATCACCCATCACTCAATGAATATGTGTGTGTGTTTGAGTGTGCGTGCGGGGAGCGGTAGTGTGAGCGGTTAGCGCGCTGCGCTACAAACCCGGCGACCCGAGTTCGATTCCCGCTTACGGTCGACACCAGTGACGATTATCTCCCCTAGTTCGACTCAGCCTCAAATGAGTACCCGGTGCGGTGTGTAAACATCGCCACTGGGGAGACAAAGGCGGTCGGGCGTGGTGCTGGCCATCCACCCCCTCGTGTACCGTTCCGGCCTTCATAGGTGCTCGCTAACAGCACTTGCCCCAACAGTCTGTCGAGGCTATACGGGGGATCTTTGTCTTTTGTGCGTGTGTGCATGGGCGCGTGCATGGTAGCGGTGGCTCAGCAGGTAGTGCTACGAACCCGGCGGCCCGAGTAAGATTGCCCCTCACGACCAACATCGGTGAAGAATATCTGAACTGCTCCTGGGCCTACCCTACGTCGACTCAGCCTTAAAGGTGCAGCGTGTAAACATCAGATCTGTGGAGACAAGGGCTGTGTTGGCCTTCGTAGGTGCTCGCTAACAGCACTTGCCCCAACAGTCAGTCAAGGCTATATGGGGGATCTTTGTCTTTTGTGCGTGTCTGTGTACTGCGTGATTGCGTACGTGAAGGCATGCACCTGTGTAGTCGTCATTTGCACCGCATTACGTACGCGAGTCTGTGTGTCTGCGTCTGTCACATCAATCGATGCGTCCTTTACTCACGTCTTATCGATCCACGATTTTATGAAGTCAATCGCACACATTCCACCTGAACAGCATGACATGAATCCCATTCGGTTTAACACGTAGGCTTTCGCGACCAATATTATCCATAAAAGAGGTTTCTGGGTTAGATCGCGTAAATATATAAATGTGTCATCAAACCCGCCACCACCCTACACAGCCAATTAGTAAGGTTTGTCACGTAAACAAAACGTGGCAATTCATGATTAGTACAGCACAACCGTGTGTTGGAGAGTAAACCCACAACATTTACAATTCGAGTGTAATTACTGGCAAAACGTCGTACTCGAATTGTAAGTGTTGTGGGTTTACCCTGCAACACACCGGTGTGCTGTACTAGTAACGAATTGGCACGTTCTGTTCACGTGACAACGACACATTCGTATTTTGATTTAAAGGTTTCGTGACAGCAGGGATTCATATTCTTGGTTCTTTCGGTAAAGTCACGTAGAAGGGAAATAATAAAATAATAAAAATATTAAACAATAAAATTCTCACGACGTTTCGACTGCAATACAAGCAATCATCATCAGGTGTAAAATCTACAGCAAAAAAAAAAATCTTGCTGTGGATTTCACACCTGATGATGATTGCTTGTGTTGCAGTCGAAACGTCGTGAGAATGTTATTGTTTGATATTTTATTATTATTTTATTTCCCTTCTACGTGACTTTACCGAAAGAACCAACAATATGACACATTCATATATTTACGCGATCTAACCCAAAAACACCTCTATTGTGGATTAATCCCATTGTAAAGATGCCTCCCCATGTCAAATGCTGTTCCGACGCAGCGCCTCATAAGCAGGCCTACCAAGAGAGATTTGGGGCCTCAGGTCCATAATATGTTGGCTGGAGCCCTCATCTCTTCCCATCCTCCATCGTCGCTCTCAAAGGAAGAAACCTTGCTTCGGCTAATATCGGTCATCATTGTCATCATCGTCATCATCATCATCATCAGCCATGATCAATCCGCCGCTGACGGCCTCCCAAACCCATCACCATTCCCATGATCTCACGCTGCAATAATCCACCGACCGCCTGTTACACGAGTTCTCCTGTTGTGGTTGCCTCACCTGATGACGGTTGCTTGTGTTGCGATGGAATCATCGTGATCTATTAATGTTCTACCTTCGTGACTTTACCGAAAGAACCAGAGAGTAAGAATTCCTGCAGTCACGAAAGTTTCAAATCGCGATTGAGCTGATGCTGTCACTGCAGTGCTTTGGCATATGTACGCATGCATCAATCTGCACCGTCCATTTCCTCCTATGCAGGACATGGCCGTTGTCTGCACACCATCGGAAGATTCCACGCATGCTACCGTGCCCCGGAGTATAAACTAAAAACGGAACATTTTTATTTTATATTCTTTGGGTCTTTCGTTAAAGTAACGTAGATAAGTTCATAGAAAATAACAAACAAACTACTTTTTATTTTACGAGGTAAGGCCCACCGGGCTAAATAGCTCTTTTATTCAGAGGCGACCTGACCACAAATGATGCCTCAACGAAGTGGCTTATCCTTGTGGAAATTTACAGCGGCCAAATACGCACGTTTCTAAATGTGGAGGGAAAAACCGGAGGATCCGGAGATAAATCAAGGCCACCACCAAATATCCAGCAGGCGTCAGGGTCGGGATCGAACCCACGGCCTCCTGCATGCCGGCGAGGGAAATAACACCAAGCCACCGGTGGTGCCCCAGTGATTTGCTCGTAACTTTAAAGGTGAACCCGTGCTGACGGATGTGCGCGGGAGAAGCCGTCCCCATATGCTGCTCACCCGGATAGAACTCCCAGGACGAGGTTGAGCATGAAGAAGGAACCGAGTATGATGAGCGGCACAAAGTAGAGCCAGTTCCACGTGCTTCCCAAGGCGTCGTTTGTCTGTGGGGACCATAGAGGGATGGGGGGGAGGGGGTGTTAGGGGGGAGAGGGACCGGGACAGAGAGCGGGGCCGGGAGAGGGGATACCGTTCGTTAATATTCTTAGGTTTTTTCGGTAAAGTTATGTAGGTAAAAAATTAAATTTAAATTAATAAAAGTAAAATAAAAAATAAAATAAAAATCACGACGTTTCGGAGGCAACACAAGCTTCCGTCTTCAGGTGGAACCGTCACAGCACGACTGCTGCATCAAGTAAGAGAAATTCCAAGAAAACAGTCCTTGTATATATACTGGTTGAGGGTGGGAGGAGCCATTGTGAGGTTCGGTGCGGCTGGAGCACGTATTCGCTAACAGCACTCGTTCGTTAAGGTGGAGCTGCGATCTCGTGGGACTGGTCAGACTTTAGCGTTGTGATTTCCAGAAATATAATGAGCAATGACAAATATACGCAGAATCTTAATTCAGTGTCTCCGCGGATATACATTTTAAAAATATGTGTTTTAGTCAATCAGCCTTTTGGCGGCTCCAGACCAATTTTCGTTGACACGGTATTTGTTTAAGATAAGCAAGCGCTGCAGCAGTTCAAGACCTTCTGGGTTCCACCAGCAGTCTGTTTTTTTAGAGAAAAATGCTGCTGGTTTATTGGATGTTACTGGCAAGAGGACTCCTGCTCGGACTCCTGCTAGGACTACTGCTGAAAGAGAGTCAGTCCCTGTAATTAGGCTTCTTAATCAAAAGGTCGCTGCGACTACGCACGCGTAACAGTGCAATGCGTATGACGAAACTATGTTTTATGCACGCTTTGAAAAAGTCAATGAAAGTGTGGAAAAAGGTAACGTTGTCGTAAAAACTCACAAGTCAATGTTTACAATGTCGGAGTGACTAAAACCTATATATATATCATATATTTCAGTATTTTTATTAGAAGAAATGACAGGGCATCAGCAGCAACAAAGACAAGGAATTACATTTGTGGGGGCGTCCTAAACCGGGAGAGGAATAAAGCACTTTGTTAATAAACCCACACAAAATCAACATGATCATACGCGCACATTATTTACGCGTCATGTGATACGCGACATGCAACGTGAAGTCACTTCAATGTGGCAGTAAAGTACGGCTCCCACGACTCGCAAGTCAAATAATCCTCAACCTCTTTCATGCAAAAAAAGACGTGAGATGAAGATCCCCTCCCCCCACATACAGCCATAGAAGAGTGCTGTTAGCGAGTACGTTTTAATGCTCGTGGAGTGTCTACGATTCAGAGACGAAGTTTCTCGGAGGCACTTTCTTAAATAACAACTTTCACGCTCACGTCCGCACACTCCCCAAAGTAACTTAGCCTAGCCTGAACACAATACTAGCCGTCGAACACTGAAAGGCCCTGACTGAGATAGCCAACTACTATCCTTTGTAGCTCAATGTCTAGCGGAGACGTTGAGCGATGACGGCGACGACACGATAGCGACGACGAGACGAGTCCACTCCCAGAACCGGCAGCCTTTAGCTCCCACGCTCGGCTCCTTTTATGCTCCCAGCGCGGCCTGGCTCCGCCCTGACCGCGCCTCCCTTCTCGAACCTGCTAGCAGGTTCCAGGGGCCTCCAGACTGGGGTCCTCTGTGACCCTTGCCCGAGTTCAGGGGTCGGCAACCAAAATAACAAGAAGAGCCATTTCTTTCCAATTCGGTACAAAATTCAGTATTTCACGAGCCGCAATGCATCTATGTACATACGTACATATCGTCAAGAAGCAGCCCATAAAGAGCCGCATGCGGCTCCGGAGCCATAGGTTGCCGACCCCTGCCCTAGTTCCTCCGCTCTGCTCACACACCGTGATCACGCTCACCGGCGTGTGCGCTGCCTGTCCACTACAGTTGCTGCCGCTGTCCACCAGCCGGCGCTATTACACTGCACTAGTATGCATAATAGAGGTTTTTAGTGTTAGATCGTGTAAATATATAAATGTGTCATTAAAACCCGCCACCACCAGACACAGCCAACTAGTAAGGTTTGTCACGTAAAGAGAACATGACAATTCCTCACCAGTACAGCACACCGGTGTGTTGGAGAGCCAAGCCACAACATTTGCAATCTGAGTACGACGTTTTGCCAGTAATTACAACTAGCTTCATCAGGCGACAGCCAGATTTGTGGAGAAGTCCAACTGTTTCATTCCTTATGTAGAGGCGTAGATGTGGTGACCACGCTTCTGCGCTCTTGCGCCACGTGGGGGGGGATTACTGAAGTAACGTACATTATGCATTATGCGAGCCCTTTGAACTTGTCCTTCCTGTCTATTGTGTGTATTAACATAGCCGTACCAACGGTAATCCCTATTGCAGTATGCTGCCCATTGCAGGAATGCATTTAAATAACGTGTTATTTGATGATTCGCTTCCACGCAGCAGTAAGGCAGTTAGCTATCCGAACGGTTAAAGTTATTTTTTTTTCTTTAAATGTCGATAGATTCTCTAATTAGTCTTGGCCAGTAGTAGCTAGTTTTGCACAAGTATGCATGTTAAACTTATTCCGCACCGTACGTAGTCAACCGTGCTAATCGCGGGTGCGGGCAGGTGGGACAACTAAACACACACACACACAATGGAACATTAAGCAATTGTGTGGCCAGGACAATGCCCAACCTCCTTTGCCTTCCCAGTCGAGATGGTTGCAACACTGCTGGCTCAAGCTGGGAGAGAGTGCAAAACCGGTGCTGAGACCACTTTCCAAACTGATGTTATCCATCGTCGGGAGTCTTGCCAAAGTTCAAAGCCCGGTGTGGATGAAACCACCGCACGAGTGGTACCCAGAAGCTGTCATGGGCCTTCCATGAGGTTAAATCGGCCTGAAATGAGTAGCTGGGGCGAATGTGTGAACGCCTGCACTAGGCAGAAGAAATCGGTCAGTTATGGCGCTGGCCAAAGTACCCCCGTGTCATGCTGCCGTTAAAACGTGCTTGCGAGGACATCGCGTTTATGTTATTTTATTTCCGGTTCTGTTTGGTTACATCTCCCCCCCCCCCACCACCTTCTTCCCGTCTGCCATAAATACCCCTTGCTTCGAATCGTTACCCCTCTACCGCTGTAGGGCATTGAGTCCTCCCCCAGACCCCCCCATCACCCCTTCCCCGATCGATCCCTAATGTAGAGGGTGCATCGCGCCGGGTTTCGTTCATATCATTTGCTGGTTCCCCCCCCCCCCACCCCCTTTTCGAAACATACTTTGTATTCTGGGTTCTTGAATAACAATAAAAACACACGTATAAAATTATTTTTTGAAAAGTGTCTGTTAACAGCGCTTATTATAAACAACTGCCGCACAGATCGGCGGCACGATGCGGCATCGTAAAACAACACCCTTGGCCGACACAGCACTGGACTGACAGTGGGACGCAAAAAAATATTTGAAAAAATTAACCCGTAAAAACAAAGTTTTTCACTATAAATCCTTTATATGCGTGGCATCGGTTTTATTTTATTATTCATTTCTGTTTTTCTTGAGTAAGAGTTTCAGTTTTATCACATTGGTATTTTAAATTAAATATGAATTTTTTTTTCCTAAAAAGTGGAAATTTTTGAAAACAATGTTCACGAAAATAAATTGTCACGCACAACGAGTCTGTGTGCAAAATGTCAGCTCGATTGGATCACGGGAAGTGGGTTGAAACACGACGGAAAGATTTGCACGGTCGTAAGCGCGCAAGCAAGCAAGCAAGTGAACTTAATATAAAGGATTTAAAAATAAACAGCACCGGTGCAAGCAGTCCATATGAGAGAATAGTTATGTTTATAAGTCCATTCGCTGCACGAATGCATTACACACGCACACTGTTCAGCCTCTCTCCTCAACTGATTCCTGAACTCACTTCTCTGAGATGGAAACACCGCAGACACATTTTGAAACAGCATGGGGGCATGTGATCTGTTTTGTTTTGTGTGACACCTGCAATGCATTGATTTTCAATGAACAATTCTAGTTTCGTCTGCCATCTAAGATGCTCCTCTATCAATAGTAGGGTTGTCACCTCCACGGTATATTCAATAAAAATTGGCATATCGTGGGAAGAAGCAAGCATCTTTCACAACACAGAAAGAGGAAATAACTTGAGTGGTGTATTATTATTGTACAACTGACATAAAAAACCCAGGCGTTGTAATGTCCTGGGACGACTGTTAGAATTTGGCAGACAGCTACCTCCATAAGAGGGCGATCCCGTGAAGATCTGGATGTTTCAATCCTCCGAGGCACTCTCTGAGGACTGAAAACGAAAAAGTGGAATTCCGGCGAGGAACCCAACACGGAGCGCTTGCACGGAAGTGGAATGCAAGAAGCACAGATGAGGGAGTCTCCATCTGACAAATGACGAGAGCTGATGATGAATGGCTTTGGTTTGTGGCCAAGGGTTTTTTTCATTCAATTCGTTTGAGCGGCAAGGATAGGAATTGGGAAATAGACACTGACCGCGAGTGGGTGGATGGGTGGGCGGAGCGGGGAATGGAAAGGCAGTCAAGGTAGCATCGGTTTCATATTCTTAGGTTTTTTCGGTAAAGTCACGTAGGTAAAAAATTAAACCTCTCACTTGATACAGCTATCGTGCTGTGACGGTTCCACCTGAAGACGGAGGATTGTGTTGCCTCCGAAACGTCGTGATGTTTATTTTATTTTTATTTTACTTTTATTAATTTTAATTTTTTACCTACGTGACTTTACCCAAAAAAAAACCTAAGAATATGTAACATCGGCTCTCAAACAGCGCCCAAAGCCTAAGCCCCCCCGCGTTGAGCGCGGGTGGCAGCACCACAGCGGGTGGGGGCCTGCCATTCGTGCCACGACATTTTCAGCAACGCCCCAAACGGCGACCGCGTGGCTCCAAGCGCCGTGGCTTCAGGGCTGCAGGCATTGCCCCACCTCCCCCCACCCCGGCTTGTCGGTCCCCCGCCGCCCGCGTGTCACGATCAAACTAAACGGGAATGCGTTGTCACGTTCACGGCTCCCCGTGTG